ACGGCGATAGAACAAAAACGATCCATGATTATCATCTTTTTTTTCTCACATCGATGGGATAAAATAGATAAGCAATTTGAAATTTGGTCCAAATGAATTTTGCAAATTCGATAAATTATTTTCATCTTTAGGCTTTTAATTGCGCTTCAATTACTCCGCCAAATCCAAGTATTCATTGCATTTTGCAAAATAAATATTATAGTATTTTTAGAAATATTTTAGCACTTTTACCTAAAAAAAATATTTTTTAAAAATATTTATTATAACATTTAAAATAAATATTTCTAATATTTATCGAAAATATGAAAATTTTTGTGAAATCAAAAGGTGAATTGGGAGATTAGCGAGACTGCCATCCTTAATTTAAGTTTAATGCATTCTTATAATCCGTGTTAAACACGCACCCTTAACGCGCCTTAATGGTTCTATATTAAGGAGCGATCGCTAAAAAAATAAGAATTATTATCATTTCAAATTTTTCAAAATTTTCCTAAAATTGCTTGTCATAAATTATAAAATAATAATTAATTGATTGATAATTGATAATAATGAGTGATTACTTGAATTTAAAAAGAAAATATTTATTTTGAAAGCATTAGAACTTTTTGATAATTTGATAATTTTTGATAATTGATAATTTGTTAAAAATTTTAGACTGGCTTATCATTAGCAATAGTTCACCATTTTCTTATCATATTGGTTATATTTCCATATGAATGGCAGATTTTCTCTCTGTATTCGTAACCTATTGAGGTGATTCTCGTAGCACCTATAAAGCAAGCTGCACATTCGGAAGAGTTCCACTTTTCACTAAATATTTCAACTGGGCATAAGTAGGAATATTTCGACTCTTAACCGGAGCAAATCTGAAGTTGTAATCCAATGATCTGTAGCACTGATCTGGAATAATTCTCTAGCGTACTTTATAATTACTAAAAGATTTGGTGTTCATACTCTGATTTATCGTATTTATTATACAAATTTTCTAAATTTAGAAAATATTCTAAAGGAGTTTTAAAAGAAAAGTATAAAGAAAAGTGTGATAAAATAGAAAAAAAATATTTTTTTTTGTCTTTATATCTACATCAATATTATCAATATCATTTAGTTAATTATTTGGATGATATCAGTTAGTTAATTTGGAATAAATGAAGAAAAAATCTATTCAAACGGATTAGACCAACAAATTAAACTGGCTTAGTTAGTCCATTTTCCCATGGCTTTTTTATTTGATCTTTTAAACTAAGCCACCTGCATTTGATTGATACATATTTGAAATCCGATTGAAGCAATCCCGTTAAGTCCTACTATAATAAATTGCTTTTAGTAGTGGGTTATTATAATGCTTGGAAGATGGTCAGAGCGCAATCTTCTCATGCCAATACTATTAAAAACTTGAGCGATAATGGTGACATATTTCAAAAACCATTCAATAATCGATGTTTCCCATGATTTCCAATTGTCTAAAAATATTTCACTGTATTGAGCAAAAACTATTTTTATAAAAAAGATGAATAAATATTGAATAATAGAAAAATAAAAAGTTTCACATGAAAAATGCTGAAGATTTTTTTTTGAAGTAAAATTTCTGATATTTAAAAGTTTATAAATCTTTGGAGATAATAATTTAAGAGGAGCAGAACTTACAAATAATTAAGCCTTTATCAGTAAAAGTATGTAAGCCATTGATTAGCGTCTATCATTTCTGGTTAATCCCTACTGGCTATTAATATGGTTAAAGAATAGAAATTTTTAGTTGGTGATAGAAATGTAGGCGAATCGGCAACACCACCGTGCTTTTTTTAACATAAAAGTTTATTTCTGCAGTAGAGAAGAGCTAAATTTTTGCCTAGCAACAGGTTAATCCACTCGGCTACCCTGCTCCTCATAAGTTTTCATTCATTAATTAAATTTCTATCTATCATTTTTTAAATTTTTATAATAAGTGTCATTACATACATGAAAAGATATTTTCTTTTATTATTTCTGCAATTCATGGTGACTGAAATATTCAGGGAATATAATAAACCAGAGTTCTAGCCTACTCCAATTTTTACGACAAATCTTAGGTTAAGTGGTGAATGTTAGATCGACTGAATAGTAGCTTTATAGCAGTACATATGCTGACGAATGCCCACGAATTAAAACTGCAACTCGTTAGGTATTCCAAGTTCCTCGATTTATTCCAACTAGGATTTGATTAACCTTTAAAAAATTCGTTTAGCGAAAAGAAACCAAAAAATTAGATTCAATTAAGATCAAAAGAAAAAAATTAGCTTTTAAGTACAAATTAGTTTTTTACTTCGTTTTAAAGGAACGCTAAAACCAGTAAGCGAGAAGGAAAAGAGAAATCTTACTTTTATCAATCTCATGGTGCCCAGGCAGGTGTTTTCCCGCTATAATATTACTTATATTAGGGAACCCCTACTGACTTTCTGACATTTATCTTGTATATCCGTCGAAGATCCACTATACTTTGGTATTTTCCAATATTAGTTAATAAGACGAATATCTATCTCCTTTCTGTGTTAACTTTTTTGCTAAATAAATGCAAATTGCTTCTGTTATTAGAAAAAAAGCTGCAAAAAATCTGAGCCTCAATAAATAAAAATAAATGTCATTTTGTTTCAGTTGTATGCATCAATTTTTGGTTGGGATAATTCAGCCGACCACTAGAGGGAAACTTTTTTACTGGGGAGTCATTTAGCGGTAGAAGTATGTGCACATTCTCCACCCCCCCCCCCCCCCCCCCCCCCCCCCACCAGCCGCACACTTGAATAAAAATTAATAATCTTTAAATGCAAAACAAATATTAAATTAGAATAAATGCTCGGAGGCTCAATGCTTAATCAGTTACAAACTGATTAACTTTTATAAATTTTTGCAAAAATCTATTATAATGTGGGATTTATTAAATCTAATGGATAATTTATTTAATCGTTTCAAACAATCCAATTTTTAAAAAAGGCGAAAAAAACTGTTTGTTTTTTTTAATAGAATTTTTATATTGAATTTTAATAAAAATTTGAGATTTACAAGCAATAAAATCTGGGTTAACTAGGAAGTTCAACCTAAATTGTCATAGGACGCATAACAACAACAACAGAGGTACGATCGGCACACTTTAGGAAAGGTATAAGTGAAAAACAATGGACAATAAAATATTATACAGTCGTTGCACAATCGTAATAATGCAATCTATCCTTAAGCCATGAGAAACTATGGGAAATAATAACAAAAAGTGAAGGGAAAAGAAGGCGAAAATCGTTGAGAATGAGTAAAATTACGATTTTAGTGAGGGTCATAAACATTGGCTTCAACTACCGAACCGAATCGTGGGAAACTCCACCAAATGGTTCTTTTCTACTTTTTTCATAACGAATGGCCTCTCTCATACATACATCGTCATTATTAACTGAGCCTTTCAAAGGAATTAATAATGCATTCGCGTTATTAAATAACGAGACAACCGACGATCGTCGCCAAATTCTATTTCTCTTTTTAAACAATAACTTTACTATTTGTAAATTATTTTTATTTTTTAGAAAATAAAAAATTTTAATTAAATTTGAAAGAGAAAGATGAATTATTCGGAGAAAATTAGCCTAGAAAAAAGCGAATAAATACAACATTTTCGATTTGATTACGGACTGCCGTACGGTGATTGAACGGTATTTTATTTCGCCTATGAGTAAAGCAACATGAGTTCAATTTTTATCACTTGAATTAAACATGCGATTGATTTGTTCATGCGATGAAGTTATCAGGTCATTTTAATAATTGGCACTGATAAAAGTGATAAAGTGTTAAATGGGCACTGATAAAAGTGATAAAGTGTTAAAACAATATTTGCCAATATTTGTCCTCCATATCACCTGCATTTGCCCATAATCTTTGGTAAAGATTCATTTGCTCTAGAATATAACAATAATCTCATAAAAGTAGAAAATCTTGTCTTCGTTTGTTATTTCGTTCCTATTTCTCTTTAATTTTTGCACTATATAATGTTATAATGTTTACCATTCTTATTTTGTGTTCTTTATAGTTTACAGTTTAATTCGACGCAATGAATTAAATCCAATAGCCAAAAGACGAGCCATAAGATATAAGCATTGGCTACGATAAAAATTATAACGAAAGATGAAGCAATGAGAGGAATTTTTCTTTAATTCTTAAGAAATTTCATACATAAATCATCAAAATCATAAATCATAACTCATAAATCATCAAAAATACAAAAATTCCTTATCATATTATTATCAAATTATCATAAATCGTTTTTAGCTTATCCATGGTATCATAAAATTGTTATTAAATATCCAAGTACTAAGTACTAAGCCAATCGCCATTATTTTCCTTTAAATTCAAACGAACAATCTTTGACAAAGCTAAAGTGTCAAAAAATCGAACAAATTAACTTTTGGCTCTTTCCTCGAATTCCTTCTTCTTCTTCTAATACTTTCAATCGGCCTAAATTAAGTATTACAATGGTTCTTAGCAGTTTATTATAAATTTCATTCGATCCACAAATGCACATTATTTATCAATTTTATAATTCTTCTATAAATTTTGTTTACATTCTTCTGAAATTTCTGAAAATTAATAGAATTAATTTATTATTAAATTCGCATACTTTTTTTAAATAAAATTTTTAAATATTGCTGATATTTTCATTTGAAAATTTTCAAATTTTTTCATTTTCTTATTTTCAAAAATATTTTTTTTATCGGGGCAAATTAAGTAAATTAATGAAAAAAAATGTGAAAATGCAAATTAACTAAAATAATAACAAAGTTGTTTGTTCCATGCTTTCCATGCTTATGTAAACAACTTTTTCATGCTTTCTCATGCTTTCACCATAACTGATTAGACTCGCCCCTTCGGCTTGTCACACTAGACAATATGCCGGGGGAGTCGCTTGGCGATACGGGTGAGTCGTGCATGAGATTATAATTTGGTTTACTACAGTATAATCAAGCAAGCATTTCATATTTGACTTGATGTTACCCTTAAAACTCTTCGATTTTAGGTTAAATCTGATGGTACAAAAAGCAATGTCTGATTCACCCGACACAACTCCGGATTTTCATGTTTCAAGAAAAGTTTGCGTTTTTTATAATTTTTTCAAAAAAATATTTTAATTTGGCAAATTTCAATCTTATTGGTTGGAAATTTTAAAAAAAATATTTCTCAAAGAAAGGATATTTTAGAAGGCTGGCAGTTTAACTAAGTGCTTTCTTAAAGGTTTAGAAATTTAATGTGAATTTAAAATGGCAAATTTTTTTGCGAATTTTTGATTATAAAGGAAATTGAAAAATTTCCACATGATTTTATGCATAAGAAAAATCATTGCTAGCAAAACTTATACAAAATTTTTGTTGAGCTTTGAAAAAGGCTTATCTCTTCAATATTAAACAGCTATGAGCCCCCAACATCATTTTATTATATATATGCAAATTAATTTATTGCAAAAAAAATATTGAGTAAATATAAAATTAAAATATTTGAAGAACTTAATATTTAATAAAATTAGCTTAAAACAGAATTCAGAATTTTGCAGATAAAGAAGCCTTTAATGGAAAAAATGAGGAGAACACGAATAAATAAATGCTTGGATAGATTAAAAGATATTTTGTTGGAAATCACCCCACGGCAAGGAACGAAACTGGAAAAGGCAGACATCCTTGAATGGACAGTGGAATTTGTACGACGCGCTCATCAAGCAAAAATATTGGGAATCGTTGATCGTGGTTAGTGGCGTTAGCGTCGTAATCATATACCTTTCTCCTATAATATATAAATTTTTAAAAGCCATATTTTTATATATTTTATAGAAAACTAATATTTGATACTATTAATGCTATAAACAATATTTTTTATTAGTTTGCTTTTTATAAATTTTCCCTCGTTGGATTAAATTATTTTAGGCGAAGAACGAGGAAAAGCCGAGGTATTTCGTATTATTTATGATGTAAAGCAATTTAATTTTTAAAATTTCTTTTGCTTTAAGCTATTTATATTATTTAAATTATTTTCTTTGTCCCTTTATTCCATACTTTTTTCATACGACTGATTTTTTAATGATGATTCAATTTTTATGATAATTCAATTTTAGACTTGGTACCACTCTGCAGCAAGTGGTATTCAGAGGGTTTCTCGATGGCTACTGCTGTTTGTGGGCATTATTTAGAGACAAGGAATGGCCTTTTTCCAACCGCATTTTTAGCCCATCAATTCAAAGTTGAACTTCTACAATATCTGCAATCACAACAACAATCAATTATCTCTAGTTGTTTGACTAATCAATCAACAGAGCAGGTACCTTGTACTAATCAGCTGCAATCTCAGCCTTCAGTGCTTTTATATAATAGATTTCCGATGGCACCGGTGAAATTACATCAATACAGCGGTCAAATGTTACCGCCTGATCCACAAACATTTATGGTGCAACAATGTCACTTATCATGTGAACCGACTATTATGGAGCATTCATTAAACGTAGGCACTAAAAAAGAAAAGGAAATTAAAGCGATCAAAGACGGAACCTCATCAGTTGTTTCAAAGGGAAATATAAGTGAAGTTGGGAAAATCTCTTCTGTTTCCGAAAGTGAACAAACAAATTTAACGTCATCGAAACGCTTTGTTAATCCCAATTCAAGCGTTTCAAAGCATAATTTGTTGGATTTAACACCGGAAAATTCGAAAATTTTCAATAAGAACATAGGCATCGATATACCTAAACAATGTTCACTTTGGCGTCCATTTTGAAATGACATATTTCCGCGTTTTTTGGTTTTGGTAAATAAGAGTGGTAAATATATGGAATAAGTTCCCTAATAAAGCCTTTATTTGTTAAAAACTTTTAAATTTATCATTGGTACTGTTGAGAAATTCAGTATTATTAGGAATTATTCCATTACTTGTCAATTTTTATGTATTAAATTTTAGTTTTTCAATGGTTGTCTATTTTGTTTTTTTGTTTTTATTTTTGAGTTCATAACATATATAATAATATTTTTGTGTTTATAAATTCTTCTTCGAAAAATAAGGCAAAAATTTCCCAATTGCCTTTAAAAGGAAAGAAAATTTATAAGCGTATTGTAAACGCAATAAGTAAAACTTTTATACTTGCTTTTTGCGTTATTTGCATATTAAAAAAATGTTTTTTAAAATTATTCATATGCACAAATAAACAATAAATAAAATTAATTTCTTATGGAATAATTACAATTAACCATGAAAGCAGAAAAAATACATTTGGTGGTCAAAAAACGAAAAAAATGAAAAATGAAAAAAACCAAACACAAAGAGTATGGGCATATAATTATATAGATAACTACATCTCGGATTTTTACATTTAAACATTCAAATCTGGACGATAAATAAGAACGCTCTTCAAAAATTGTTCGGGAAATTTAATTTTAACTTTTTTTCTTATTTTTATTGGCTATGTAGCTTTACTTAATTCTAATATATATAGTATTATTATAACTACTGAGAAATAGAATAAAAAATAGAATACAATAGAAAAAAACTATAAAATCTTGACAGTATAACTAACAAATATTTATTAGATGATCGAGACCGATTGGAGCCCATTGTTGCGTTTCAACATTGAAACCAAAAATGACATTACGATCAATATATATAGATATATTACCGAACCAATAAACTGGCTTACCCTCTTTAAACTTGTTTGGTTGAGGGACGTATGTAATTCCAGCGCTACGCGCTCGCATTTCTACAAGTTCCTGAAATAATCTCAAACAAAGCTTTAAAACAAATTATGATGGACTTTTTATCTTTTTTATCCTCTCAAATGAATTTTAACATTAAAAAGAAGAAAAGCTTCCATTCTATCAAAAGATGAAAATTTCTAACCAAAAATTAAAGTGATAACCTTGAATGATAATTGAGGAGGAGGCGGTGGGATTCGAGGCGAATGAGGTCTATTTATTACAAATGATGGAGGCTCAGGTGGAGGAAGTGGTTGCATTGGCACATTTACACCTTGCTGAGCTTGATTCATAGCCATTAACGCACGAGTTAATTGCTCTAAAACATTTGTCAAAATATATCAAATCTTAAAAAAAGAAAAAACTATAAGTTCGCTAAAATTTAAATTATTTACCTCGAATTACTGGCAAGGATGATATTTCCATCGGCAATCTCGTTTTCCATTCATTGTACCACATTGCAACTTGATCCATTAAGACTCGAGGAGAATTTAACCATGTGCATAATGTTTCATACCACTGTATAAAAGTTATGTAAATCAAAGATGAAATAATAAAAGATCTACTGCATATAATAAACCATAAAACATGTTTTTAGGCTTGAAAAATACCTTCGGGAAAAAACTTCGAACGAGTATAGCAGCAACACCTTCAGTACCAAGCATTTCGCTCCAAGATAGAGTTGCATAAAATTCATCATATCGCTTAAATATTTATTTATTTATTTATTGATAACCAGCCAAGCAGGGCGACAACGCCATGTGCTTGTATTAATAATAACAATTAAGATAACAGAAAAAAAAACACAAAAAAAAATATAAATAAAATTAATATAAACATAAACAAAATTAATTATAAAACAATATGACAAAAATTAACAATTTAAAGAGGAAATTACAGATCAATATAATATAGTACAATTCGAAGTAACATATATAACCTGAAGATAAAATCGAGATTTCTCACTTTCTGCAGTTCTTGCCTGGTGTAAACTCTTTTTTTTTTTTTGTTTTTAAATAATATCGTAAATGATATTATCTAGTCTTTTTTTAAAGACAGCTAAGGATGACGCACAAGCTACATCGTTCGGTAATTTGTTCCAGTAGTTAAAAGTACGAATAAAGAAGTCATGAGTCCTCAATTTAGTTTTGCATATAGGTTTTAGTAATTTTAAGCCATTAGTTCTTGTTGGATCCAAATTCAGTCCAAAGTTATAATATTTCGAGCAATCTAGTTTAACATAACCATACATATCTTATATGTGTAAATTGAGTCTTGTTTAATTCTACGAACTGAGAGAGAATCCATGTTATGTTGTAGAAGTGTTCTTTTATAATTAAAATTATAATTTTTATTGGGAGAGAGGCGTCTTAGAAAATATTTTTGGAGTCCTTCGATTATTTTACCTGTTTTGCGATGTCTAGGGGAGTAACATATATTAATCTATTCAGTGAATTATCATACCTGTATGTCAAGGATGTCAAGGATAACTAATATATCAAGGAAAAAAATGTTTTAAAGTGCGAAATCTCAATTGATTGTTACGATCGGTGCAACTTCGTAAAGCAAAAATGTTGCATGCCATTAGAGTACTTATGGCACTTTATGTTTGATTAAAATCTATGAGTAATTAAAATTTGGTAAAAATTTAAAAGCACCAATATATATTGCAAAAAATGATAAAAATATTTATAAACCTGATTTTTCGTAGGATCATAAATCATTTCTCGCAAAGCTTTGTCCAATTTTGGCACAATATTTTGCGCCAAGAAAGCAGACATTGTCGCAGAAGCAAAACAACCTTTCCATGGTCTTAGAATCGATAGAGCACTGAAAAAGAATTTATGAATATTAATTTTATAACTTCTTCTTGCAAAAAAAAAATAAATAGAGCAAAAAACCTTTGATCTGTAGGATGCCATTCCACCAGTGCCCTAGCCAATTTTTGCCGGATAGGAGCAAATATAGAGTGCAAGCGATCGCCCATGATATTTAGCCAAGGATGCAACCAGGTATGAATTGGCACTCTATCAATTAATGGATTCCATTCATCAACTTGAGAAGCTATTCGTGGTATAATGATCTAAAGAAAAGAAAATCCTGAGAATAACAAAAAAAATCAGCAAATTCTAAACCTGATTCCAGCACATACATTAAAAGGTTAATTTAACACTTTCAAACAAAAAATACCTGCTCTAGAAGATTTTCTCGCAACCACAAAGGTAAAAGAGGCAACCATTTTTCAATAACTTTCAACATTGGGTATATACTATCACGTGGATTCCATTTCAATACAGATCTCCTGATATTTGGCATCCAACCATCCCACAGCAAGCGTTCGAAGGGAGTTAAATTCTCTTCAAAGATAACTTTTTTATAATTTAATTATATAGCGATAAATATTTTGAAAAATCCTTTTTTTACCAAGATTTTTTACTCTTGTCAGAACGCCTTGGTCTTCCTTTTCTAATATCCTTTTCCAAGTAATAATCAGATCGTATCCGTAGTTTGTTTGTGACTCATCTAGAGGATTCCACGTAGAAAAATGTTTCTGAATCTAAAATGCAACAGATTAAGCAAAATAAATAAAAATTAACCCCAAACATCCCTAAGAAAAAGTGAAGCAAACAACGCTGAAACCATGTAAATCAGCATTTTTTGAAATAAGTTTTTATCTCCCGCAAAATCGAGTTAAAATATTTAACACAAATTTAAGTAAAAAATGGTACACATGTGAATTTATTTCATTAAAAATCATTTACAAATCATTCATTCAACGCAAAAAAACTTGGAAAATATTACCAATGGCAAAACTGTTGCGATTGCGATTTCTTCCAAATTAAACAAGCGATATTCTTCAAAATATTCAGTCTGCAATTTTTCGAAAAGATTGTAACAAGCTGCGAGAGTTGGCGGATCAGAATCGGCGCAAGTAAAACTAAATAAATTGGATTAAGAAGTTTAATATAAATTAAAAATTGAAAAATAATTTAAATATTTGAGTAAAGAAAAATTATTAAATGAAAAGGAAATGTTAAACGCTAATAAATGAGTACCGCTGAAGTAGAGCTAAGACTTCATTCATTCGCCTTCCTTCATTTCTTTCATTTATAAGCAATTCTTTAAGCTGATCGCGATCGTTTTCCAGAGCCGTCGTTTGATCCTGGATTTTTCTATCATTATTGTTTGTAAAGCAATTATAAAATGATTTTACTAGATAAACAAGATATACAACAAATAAAACGGATACGCCTAGAAAATGAAATTAAGAAGAAATAAAAATAAAAATTAAAAATTTTTATTTTAACAAACATAAAGAAAGCGAAGCTGATGATCTGTTCGTCGAATTGTCTCTTCGGTCATATCCAAAAGCATATTGATGTTATAAGTTAGTTCGGGTACATCAAAAGCCAACTTTTCATCGTGCTCTTCCGCCACTATTCTTTAAATACCATTTCGAATAAAAAAGAATTCGTTTATCGTCAATTAAAAACTCATTTTTACGCAATTTTTTAAAATACCTATGAAATATTTTTGAAATGATTCTTTTCAAATCAGTAGTTCTTAATTTGGCATTAATTTGCATGACTGTAAGAATAAATTCACTGGTGAAGAAAAATAAATTTTGAGAAAATTATATTAGATTATAAAATAATATTAAATTATATTAGCTGAGGAAAAATTAGGGAATAGTGAATGAACTATATGAGTTTTTTAAACAGAAACTAAATTTTTTAAAGAAACAACAGAAGAAAAAAGTTGAAAATCAAACCTGGCTTTTGCTGCATAAGCATCGTATCCAGAATATATTTTCTGTTCTTTGCCAGTCATATCAATCACCTATAATTTAATCAACTAATCATCAGTTTCAATAAAGTTATAAAATAATGGCAAAATAGGCAAAATAAATAAGAATTAACATCCCCATAAATTAGTTCCCTAAAGTAAACCTTAAATTGCAAAAGAAGAGATAGACCAATTAAGCAATAAAAAATCTTACTTTAACTCCTGAACCGCTTAAATCTGCTCGTTTTTGTAAATTTTTCAAATTACCTCCTTCAGCCAAAACTTCGTCGATGGTTTTATAACGGATAGTCAAAACTTTTTTTGAATTATTTTTTTTCCAGTTCCCACGCTTTTCAGCATTAGAGGATAATGAATCATTAGGATGACCCTCATCCATCCTTTTTTGAGAATTTCCCGCTGATTCTGAAAAATTAAGGCTAATTTGAAATCGAGAGTTGAAATAAATTTACATCAATAAATCTTCAAAAAAAACGATTTAACCTCCAAAATTTGGCCCTTTTGCTTCTTTTCCATAAGCTCCAACTGCTGCGCGACCTGGTCGGACTACAGCTTGTATAGGTTCTACTATCCCTTGCTTTTTTGCTCCAAGACCTTGGCCAGGAATATATCCCATATTTGTCATCATTTTCATAATAACACCACTTTTTGAATGTTTAGCCCAATCAGCGAATTTCTCAGGGTCGATTGTACCATGGGAAGATCTGAATGTCTCTATACTTAAAATTTAAAACGAAACATAAAATATAAATTTTAAGCAAATTTAAAGAGGCAAAAGAGTAAAAAGTATTTCCATAAAATTTATTTATTTTAAAGTTGTTATCGCAAATATATATATGGAAACAAGAAGAAAATGTGTGTTGTTAAGAGATACACTTTGCCAAAATGCCAAAATAATCGCTTCGGTCTAGCAATTTGCAGATAACTGGACCTAAAACAAAAGAACCAAGTAAGCCAGAAAAATTTGAATATACTCACGATGTACGCATTCCTGCAAGAACATTGGCTCCGGCAGCCCTTCGTTGTTGCCGGATGCGCTTCTCGAAACGTATTGGTTCTTCTTCGTTAACATCATTCGACTAGAAAAATAAGAAAATCAGAATTAAATACAGTTGCAAATCAAAATATGAGAAAATGGAGATTACATAAAATAAATTAATTAATTTAAGCATCACATTTATCATATTTATTTATCATATTTATCAAAAAATACGATCAATAACCTCGCCTTCAATTTTGTTACCATGTTTAATTCCACCACTAACAAATGAAACAGGAGCCGAATAATTTTTGCTCCGTTTTCGTGAACCTAATGAACCAAGTCCTGCATAACCATTTTCATCGTCACTTTCTTCACGATCCGCCCAAATACCTGAAGAAAAAAAATTTTTCCAAATTTTTCCCACTATAGAAAATGCTAAAAAATATTCTTTAAATATTCTTAAAAATATACAAAAAAATGAAAGGAAGAATCGAAACAACCAAAGAAAGAACAAAGTACTCATCTTAAGCGAAACGGTCAAGAAAAAAAAGAACTATCATAGAGCCACAAAGTTAAAAAGCTATAGTACCATAGAGATGTTGGTTCTTCGAAAGGCTACGATAAGAACCAGGATTGAGGGCGAATTCCAAGTCGCGGTCATCAATTTCGAAACTCTCCATTCCATCTGCATCGTCGCCATCCATTGATAACGCTTTTGCTTCTTTTTAAAATAATTCAATTTTTTTAAGGAAAAAATTTCAAATGAAAATGAAAACTTTCAGCATTTTTTTCATTGAAATATAAAAAAATTAACTAAAATAAAGAAAAAATAATTTGAAAAACTCCATAAATCTAATTTTTATTAAGAAATATCTTAGATAATTTTTAATAAAATATTTTCAAAAATATATTTTCGATTGAAAAATGAAAAAAAATTTAAAATAATTTTTCCATTAATTTTTAATTAACTATCAGCAAATTTTCTTTTAAATAAACATTTAACCACTTTAGAAAAACTTTTTTAAGAAAAATTCCCCGACAAAATCAAAACCCCTTTAGAAAATTAGTAAAAAATCGCCGAAATTTCGTAAAAATTTTGAAATTAGCTAATCCGCTACTGCATTTTTTCATTTGGTGAGTACTACTTTGCAGCTGAATTGTCTGAATCGATTTTGACTGGACGGAATATTTTTTTCGGCCTTTCGAGATTTTGTTTACTTTTTGGTTGTTTATTTCAAGGACGGTTTCGTGGTAGCTTTGTGGTGAAAGCAAAAGGTAAGGAGAATATATTAGTAGGGATAGGGGAAGGGCGATCGTCAACTAAAGCCTAAGTTCTGGTACTTAGTTTTTGGGGAGAGGAAATTCCCTATTAATAACGAAAAACTGGTAGTGCTGGAAGCTCCTCCTAGTGGTGCCACCTTGCTAGCCAATGAAGCGAGTCAGTAGTATTCACTATTTTATAGAGGAAAAGACAAAGATTCGATAACTGACTCGGGCGAGGCAAATCGCTGATTTTAAAGAAAATAAGATTTTGAAAGAGCTGGAGAAGTACCACGAATTGTCGGCATATTTTTACAGAACGTTTTTTAATAATAGTTTATATGTTTAACACCAAGTTAAATACCCAGTGGAAGAATGGCTTAATGGATTGTTTCTCTTCATTTTGGAATGTCGATGCGTTCTCCATTCTCGGCGGGCATAAATCTCTATCCGGGAAATCCGTGGACACTTCGAAAGTGCGGATGGTAACGTATTTCTATTGCCAAGTATTACCCTCTGGCAAAATTTGTCTGGTTAAGTGCTCTCAGAAAATAGAAATTATTTCTCTTTAATAAATAAATAGAAATTTAACTTTTGAATTTAATCATCATTATGATCTGTTAAATTTTTACGTGAAATTTATTAATACAGTTGTTTTTATAATTTTTTAAATTTTTATTTAATATTTATTTTATTAAATTATCATAAAATTATTTTTTATTATTAAAATGACGACGATCAAATTTAAATTCTCGGGATTGTAGAAGATTTATTTAATCTAAAATTTAAATAATTTTTCCATATTTCAGCTTATTTTATTCGCTATTTATGGTAAATGCAAACAGTTATTGCTTTATGCCATTTTTGTGAAAATCATGGACCTCGAGTTGTGCTTACAACACAATCGGTTAGGAACACATCTATTTCAGAACAGTTCCTTCTAAATTCGACGTTGGGTAAGAATTTTCCACGCAGATTTTCTCATTGAATGCTGATGACGAAGAATATGCTGGAACAGCGTTTTACTTTTCCTTTCTTCTCTTTTAGGCATATTCTGCTATATCCTTCGGATCACCTGAATTTGCTTGAGACTCACTCTTTTTTCAATTACTCTGTGTTGAATAATTGTCAGTTATTTTACAAATTGAATAAGTAATTTGAATATTTCAAACAATAGCACTTTTTAAATTGATAACAATGTTTAAGAATGGATTTGTACCTTTATTACAAAATTTTTCCACGCATGTTTCTAGTAAGTTCTATCCTCAGTTCCTTCTGAATTTTCTTTCTTTTTTTACCATTTAATTTTTTAATTGATATAATTATTTTATTTTATATTATTTCAGGATTTTCTAGTTTATTTATTCAGTAAAATATTAGCCTTCAATTATCCATACTAAATTTCAGATCCGGATTATGATCACATTGATGATGAGGCTCGTTGTTTAGCATGTTCTTCATTTCTTGATGGAAAAGGTCTTATTTCTAGTGATAACAAATGCAGTTATATCAGTTCACAGGTAATTAAATTACTCTTTAATTCTTTTATTATCTTTTCTCAATAAATTTTTTATTCATTTATGGCATTTTTTATGGTACTTTTCCAATAAAAAACTTGTTATAATTTGTTAGATTTTTATTAGATTTTACTTGCTTTCTTGGAAAATTTTATATAAAATTTTTTAGTTAGTTTTTGAAAATGAAAGGTATTATTTGGCATGAATTTTGCATGAATTATTTTGCATTATATATTTGTATATTTATATTTATATTTAAGCAGTACAACGAAAATCACTGACCACTAAAATTTTGAATTTTTTGAACTTTTTGAGAATTGGTTTAAATTTAAAACCTTTAACCTTTTGATTTTCGTTAATTCTTCAACTTTTTTATTAAGGCTGCATTGAACGATCGTGTATATAATTTGTTGAAAAATGCTTGTTTGCGATCTTTGAGCTGCGAAATATCTGTTTCGACTTTAAATATCAACAAATCCAGTAAAAAGAATAAGCATTCTTGTTCTCAATTTTCCGATTCACATGATACATCACTTCCATCACCGGTAAAAGATGCCTGGTTTGAGGCTAGAAATAGTGCCGAAAAGGATGGCGTTGTTATATTTGGTGATGACGAATATGGATATTCCCTTTCATACACATTTAGGTACGGTAGTTCACCATTAGCATTTATCCAAATTTTTTTCTCGTTTTGTTTTTCACATTTTTTTTCTTTTTTTTCAGGCTCCGTGACAGTAAAGCACGTGGTCTTCAGCGCTTATTTTCTTTAATTGCTTTTTCAATGGATAAGCTTGTACTAACCAGTAATTATGATTTTTTCGTATCTGCTTTCACAGCGATTATTGAAGATTTGCAGGTAATTTTCTGGCTTTTTTCCATCATTTTAGAAAAGAATTGATGTGAAGACACAAACAATTATCGAAAATTATTGTTGCAAGTAAAAAAGAGGTGACTTAAAATTGGTATTTTCTCAAAACCCTTCTTATTCCATTAACAGTCGCCTTTCATGCCTCTAAATCTCTTGTGGTTGATTCTTTATGATCGTTCTAAGTGGGCTTTTGAGAATGAAAAAAGAATATTTATCAAGAATATTTACAAAGAATTATTTAACAGAGTTTGGGAGTGTTTTTACAAACTGTGCACTTTTTGGGATAATCAAAGAATTTTGCAGAAATGAAAATTTTGATGGTATTGTGAAATGAATGAAAAATATTAATGGGATAAAATACGACTTATACTAGAGTCTTTTCACCTTTTCACTCTACTATATATGTCGTGGTATGCTAGGGTATCTTGATAGAACTAATATTTTATAAGAATAGTGCAATAACTTAGTATATAAGAGATGGAAGTGATATATAAAAGAGTTTGAGAAAATCTTTTTAAAAATGATGGCGATATTGTTTTATAGCTGTTTCACAAGTTTGTAGGATTATACAAAATTTTAAAAAATATTGCTAAATGAAGTTAAAATCATGAATGGTGGCGACGACTCTAAAAACTGAATTTGGAGCGGAGGGAGCACAAAATTTTATTCAGTGGAGTTTTCAGCAATGAATTTTAGTTTTAGTCAGTTTTGGAAAGAGACGGGTTTTTATTTTTCCTGGATTACATATAATATTCACTTACATTTTTATTTTTATTTTATATTTCATGTTTTCAATGCTGTCAAATTCATTTTCTTTGACTAAAGAATGCCTGTCATCAAAAGTACAATCTGCGTGGTTGCTGGGGATCAATTTTTCTTTATCCTTAAAAGACTTGATCGAAAAGTTCATTTGAATCCCTCATTCTAGTAGATAAATGTTTTTCAGACAAAATGTCGCGAAGTTTTTATTGAAGAACAAAATCAGTCGGAATGTTTGAAGAATGCCCCTACCACACGGTCATCCCATCCTCCTGCAAATTTGCTTGAAAAGCAGTTTCCTGACTTGAAATTCTCTGGTTCAGCTAGGAATCTTACGACAATTAGTGGATGTCCGGCAGTTTTCACGAAATTGCATAAGTATTTGATATTTAATAATAATTTTAATAATTTTAAGATATTTAATAATTTGTGAAATATGCAAGTTTCTTTATCCTTTTTCAAAGCTTATTTGTTAGTTTTTTTCAAAATTAAGGCAAATCTCTTGGATTCTGCGGATGCAAACTTGTCTTTGCATCGAAAATATTATGGAAGGCTTGCCGAATGAAGATACACTTGTTGAAATGGAAATGAAAATGGACGAAGTAAAAAAGGAGAATCTATTATTATATACTTCTAATGCCAGAGAAAATTTATTATATTTTGATGCATTGAAAACTTTGGCTAAGAAGATTTATGAACTGGGAACTGAAGCGAAAAATGATTTCTTGAAATTTTTACTGACTCAGGTTGTAATTGGTGGATTGGTATGTTCATTATTTGTTTCACTATTTGTATCATTTGTTAGTAAGATTGGAAATTTTCACTATTATACTTTACCACTATGTCTTTTTGGATTTTTTTCTTTATATTTGTTGGAAAAATTACTCCAATTTTTTAATTTTCAGAAGGATTCTAATAATTCATCAGATTAATTTATAAATAAATAATGCCAAAATATGCAAAAAATAAGTACATTGAAATAATTTCAGATTATTTTAAAGTGTGATAATCGAAAACTAGCAGATCATTTTCTGTTAGCAATAGCGAATCTCTTGCCTTTTGGGTGCGTTCGATTGGGTTATTGCACTCTCTACAATGAATGCTATAGGTAATTGAAAATTGAAAATCGTCCAAGAAGATTCTATATTCTTTCTTTTAATATATTTTTAGATTTAATCTATGTTCTTGTCCTTTTGATATGTATTTGCCACAACAAAATGGTTTTGTATCCGTTTCCATATCAACGCCTGGTTATATGAATGGTGAAGTATTTAAAAATGGCTTAAATGGTGAATTTTCTCCAGATTTGTCTTCTTTTGAGGAATATGAATCAGATTCATTGAATGAAAGCAAAAGCGGAGAAGCGGACAAGGTTCGCCCTAATCTTTTTTTTTGGTTCTTTATATTATCTGTTGTGACGATGCATCTTTTGGCGCTATCACATGATTAATTTAATTGTGAAGATTATGTTTTGTCTGGGTTTTGGAAAAATTATTAGATGTTCTTTTGTTTTCTTTAAGTCATAAGAAACTGAAAGGTTTAAACAACGAAATTCTGCAATCAACAAATAAATAAATTAATATAATCTAATGCGATTTTAAAAGTCTAAAAATAAAAAGTCTAAAGTCTAAAAGTCTAAAAAAAATATACGCCGAAAAATGAGCTTGAAATTATTTCATGGTCGTCTAATTATAGATCCAGAGCTAGAAAGAATATCCAATCAGTTCATTGTAAATTTCGATAAGAAAAAAATTTCTCTGAAGCTCAGTTTAAGTAATTCAGTGCTAGCACTCACCATTTCTCGCTAGATGACTTTTGTATAATTAGAAAATTTTACTCAGCGAATCAAAAATGGCTAATCAGCTGCACTTGATTTGGTTTAGAGCAGGAGCTAAACACACGCCTCCCAGAGGGATAATGTGAACCAACATCTGTTTTTCTATCCTGTTGCTTATTGTGTTTGGTACATGTATTTTCTTATTGTGTTTGAGTCTGCTACATGTAAAAACTATGCATAGCCATTTTTCATCGTTGCTTTCATTATTTTCCGTACAAATTCCTTATTTCCCTTTGAAATATTTCGACGATGATTAGTTCATTAATGGTCGCATATTTCACAAAAAGTAAATAAGTTGAAAATAGCCAGGAATTATCATCATTTGAGGGGGGAGGGGGGAAGGGGGAGAGGGAAATGAAATCTAGCAATTTTAAATTCAATATGGCAATTTCAAAAAGTCATAAGAAGAGAAAAATTCGGCTACAATCTTCTGGTCGAAAGAATGATTTAGCGCCAAAATATTTTGTCGACAGGATTACCCTTAGCTCCTTGAAATAGGCTCCTACAATCATTAAATTCATTTATTTATTTATTTCTTTTCTATTTATTTTCACTTCTATTTGTTTCTTTTCTAAATAAATAAGTAATTTTTGATTTAAATAAAGTTTAGTTATTTCAGTTCAAATACGATTTTTATGTTAACACAAGGACTTATAATAATCAGCAATTGTTGCGTGATATTGAATCATGTATTTTTACTAATTTTGTTTATCCAAATAGTTATTTATTGAGATCCGAATTTCCAACTGTTGTTTCACGATATAAGGATATACTTTTAGGTATTTTATTTTAACGTTGATCATAAGAGAAAAAAAATGTTGATAAAAATTGATAAAATCTTTTAGAATATAGTTTGTTATATTCCATCATTCCTTAAAATCGCTATAGATAAAGAAACAATTCAGATAAAGATCTCAGCAAATGTGCTCAAGAAGTTATTATCAAGAACACTCGGGAATATTGGTTAAGTAAAACGAAGCTGTTTTTCCAGTTCAATATTGAAAAAATGGATCTGGAAAAGGCTATTCGAATTGTTAAATGTACGAAAAGTGTATGCGTTTTTATTAAATTTATCTTTAATCGTACGAGAATAATCGAGAATGAAGAAAAATTGTTTTAATTTTCAATATATTCATCGGCATTTGAACTCCAGTTTTTTTTTTGAACGATTTTATATATTTCGTTTTGCAGGATTTACAAGTCTTATGCACCTGGGAATCAGGGCTATCAAAGTCATATAAGCAAAGTATGTTAGAAGCATTTAACCATAGTAAAACAAAAAGTGAATCAGGTAAACTAACAATTTTCTCAGGTTATTCATTGTTTCTTTTTTTACATTAAATATGAATGTTTTCTAGTGATCTAACGGAAGAATCCGTCGTTAAAATTATGGCTGCTATGACGGCCATATTTAAATAATTTAAATAATTCTATGGTTTTAAAACAAAAAAGTTGAATAGAAATTAAAATATGGTCAATTTCAGGCATTCTCGAATAATTTCCATGTTTTTTCCTAGAATTGATTCTTTTCTTTCATCTTATAGATTGCTTATGCTCATTGCTCATGATCTAATTGCTTGATTCATTCGGTTCTTATTAATTTCATATTTATTCATTAGCTTTTCTTTTTATTTTATTTGTTTTTTTTCAAATTGTTTTTTATTTGTTGTTTATTTCCAACCACAATGGTAATTACTGCGATGCTTTCATAGAAATTTATTGGGCTTTCTTTTTTAGAATATTTTTAGAATAGGTTGATTTTAAAAAAGTTTTTGACGGTTTTGTTATTGTGGTTATTGTAGTTATTAAACTTTCGTAGTTTCTTAAAAGATATTTAGAAAACTTATGAATGAATTGAAGGACTTAATAATTTGGTTTCTTTTAATGAAAAATTGATTTGAGATAAAATTAATAGGCAAAAAAATAGATATATAAATTCCCAATCAGTTTTAAAATTTATTCGGATATTTATCAAAAAATAAAATATCTGATTAAAAATCTTGGAAAATTACGGGTATATATTGTAATGATTGTGAGTTCCAATATGTAAGCTGAATAATTATTATAAAAAAATTGTCGAAATATATACATTTAAAAAAAAACTGTTGGCAAAAGTCTTTTAAGCACCATAAATTTAACGTTTATCTGCAGCAAACATTAAGTGGTGATACGGTGGACTCCTTGCACTTAAAACCGTTTAAACAATCAACTGAATCAGCTTCATTATTACCAGTCAGTGAATCGTGAAAACATCTTAAAAACGAAAAATGCTTTCGTAATGTTTGGAAAAATAATAAAAATAGTAAATTGTTGAAAATATTTTAGGAAATTTGATGAAAATTAATTTTGACTGGGTATGCGCAGACAGTATTTGGCTGGCTAGTTGATTGGCCTAAGAAATATGGCCAAGTCCAAATGTAAATCTTTACCTTTTGGCTTGATTAGTTGTAATGTCGATAAGAGGTGAGCCTGATAAACAGAATGCGATTGCTGAACAACACAGAGATTTGTTTGAATTGACCATTTTTTTGCAAACATAATTTTTCGGACACACTGAATCTATCGAATTGCAGAATAGCAATGAATCGTCGCCAGGTTTTCGGTATGGTTCTCTAAAATTTTAACCAATAATTATTACAATTTTGGTTCAGTTTTAGCAAATTACCCAGAACTAAAGATCCATTTCTTATTTGCCTATTCTTATCTATCTAGTAATGGTTGATAGTCAACATCTCTAATCTCTAACTGGCTCAGCAATAACTAGAATAAGAGATTTTATTGTTAATGAAATTTCTCTTAACTGAAAGCAAACCAAAACTTGGCCCTGAGTTAAGCCTGAACCACCAGAATGCAGAATTAAACCTCCATGAAACGAGTAAATAAACGAGTAATGAAGTAAAATAAGGGACCTATTTTGGGGGCATATTAATGTCCTACGAGATGCTTCTTCACAACACACATGTTCTAGTGTTGATGTAAAATTTGAGCACTGGTAACCCATGGGGCATGACGAATCTGGATTGCATGCAACTGCCGCATCTCCAAAAAGTTTAGTCGCACGTCCCAGGCATCGAGTCCATTTCTTTGCTAATGGGCAACATATTCGATATCCTATATTTTTGAAAAAAATTTGAATTGTATTATATGGCGACTCATTTGTGCTTTTATCGTTGAATAATTCTCTGGTTGTCTCGTTCGACAAGCCAGCGGAACGAGCCTAACTAGCTATAGTGAGAGCTTTTAGGATAGAAAAATGTATAAATGTATATAAATTAGATTTTTGTAGGGGCAAAAACCATTCGTTCATGCATAAACTGGAATTTTGCCGATTATTAACCTTCAATATTCCTCGAATTGATACACTGATGATTTATCGGGCACTGCCAGTCTGAACTACATTTTCTTATGTTTTTAGGAAATAATCCAGACGGGCAGATAGGTTCCTGACAACAGTACATTTTTGTATTGGTTAGTGATGGTCGACACTGGAACGTCTGAAATAAGTCCATAGCTAGTAATAAATAAATTGAAATAAATATATTATTTTGAAATCTCTCGACGATTTTCGATTTAAATCTGAAAAGTCCATTCTGTTTTATATGCTTTTTTCTTTGCTTGGTATTCGTTAAATTATAAAGTGTTAAACATTGAAATCTGAGAAATGGAACATCTCGTCTAAAAAATATCTCGTAGATTAACCTCGGGGCATAGAAGATCTGTGGAAGAACATTCGACCGGTCGACCGTTCTGTTTGTAAGCTATAGCATTTGTACCACACACGAGATCCAGCGAATGGTCCGATTGGTACCGTTTACTAAAGATTTTAATTTTAACCGTTTTATATATACATATATTTTAGAAATTTCCGATTCATTTAAAATTAAATTATGTTGCATGATCGTTAAAAATTGAGATTATCAGAATTTGCGAACTTAATAGGAGTTGATCTGCAGCAAACATTGATTCCAATACTGGTGGATAATGTGCACATAAATCTTGGCGGACATCCAAAGACTTTGCCAGGTTCTGGACACCGTTTTGGTTCATCGCCTTTCATCACTGGAGACGAATTATCAGCAAGACATAGCGGTTGTTTATCATTCAAAAATAGTGGTTGCTCGCGTGCTAGCATATAACCACAACAAATATTTATATTTGCCTGCAGTTTTACTTGCTGGTAATATACAAATTAAATATTGTCTATCCAAAATAATTAGAATGCAGAGGAAAGAGGCATTTTCCAAAGATCAAAAATGCGAAATTACAGGAGATGAACGTCATAAATAAATAAACCCATTAGGCTCATGCAAATTGTTTCTAAGAAGTGGGAAAGATCTTAATTAATAACCTTTTTCTTCTAATGGCAATAATATTATTTTCGGTCCCTTACTTTTCTTCATCAATAATTTCGATCAAATTATGAAAAAAAAAAAAATGCGAATAGTTGAGAAACGAAAAAAGAATTTGAAATTTTGGCATTTAATTTAATTTTTAAAACATAAAAGTGGAAATAATAAATTCGAATTAGGAAATGCTATTCGTTTTAAATATATAAAAATTAGTTTTGCCTGGTATCTCGCATTATCTCGCAAAAACTTAAGAAAACATACGACAGTGGACCGCATGCAGGTGTATCCCGTCGGGCATATATTCGCCTGAACATTATTGCAAAGTCTCGGGTGATTATTCGAAAGTAGAGTTCGAAAACCGGGTGCGCAATTTAAAGTGGCTCCGAATCGACAACATATAAATATTCCCACTTGAGTTGACTGAGTGCACGAAAATCCGGTTGGACAGCTTAAATAATACGATTTATCAATATGAACCAATAATTTGAAAATTTTAAAAATTGATCAAAAAATTAGTAAAATTTATTTTATAAAATTTGAATTTGTTTTATTTATTTATTAAATATTATTTATTTATTAAAGTTAAGCAATGAATTCAAGGCATTCACTATTTATAATTGAAGGGAAATTACTGCGGTGAATATTTCGAATAATCGCCTAAATCTCGGAAATAGAAATCCGGATTTATATAAATAATATAAAAGAAATTATATTACTTATTGTCAAGAACATTTCGGCAAAAATGAAATTTGCTATCGATTTCATTTCGATAAGGGTTCCATCCTATAGGACAACCGAATGTGACTGGGAACAATGTAGTGGAACTGAACGGTGCAATCGATGATGTGCCCTCAATCTTGCAGCAAACGGAAATCCCATTAACATTAGATGGTGCACATTCGTAGTTTACTGGACATCCGGATGGATATTTTCCTGCTTGACAACTGAACGTTTGATCTAAAATGATATTTGATGTTTAAATCTTTAAGAAAATGATTATTAACTATGGTCAAAAGTAGGTTAAGGCGGTTAATAAAACAACCTTTATTAACTTTATTCACTTAATGAGCGGTTAAATTTTGAGAAATATTTTCGAAGACCATATATAAATTATTTTGTATTGTATGAAGAAAACCTTGAATTTGATAAAATGTCTCCCTTCCATCAAAGCATGTCGCTGCAATTGCTTTGTGAGCACAGCAAATCCATGAAGACATTGCTAGCGATACTTCACAAGTATATCCTGCCTAAACATAAAATACAATTGATTCCATCCCATAGGACTTTCATATTTTTGTACCCCCGGAAATTATTATGCAGAATTTTTTGTGAAACCGTCCTTATCCATGCAAATTTTTTGAGAATATGCAAAAGACTAGACCTTACTGCATACAGCTCCTGCTCCTGAACAAGTCTCTACTTTTCCATTTGGAAATAGCAATGGCTCTTGGTTATTCGGACAGACGATAGGTGATTCTGCACGGCGACAACAAACGAACATATTGCGAGCAACCCGTGATTCGACACAAATAGATCCGCCAGGACACGTAGTGGGGTTGTTCGGTGAGCAACGTGTCTTTTATAGAGAAAATATATACAATTTAACTGTATAAGTATAGGAAAAACTGAATACTTGACTGTATAAGAAAACTATATATGAACTGCTGGCGTCAAATATCAGAAAATGATTATAATACCTGCATACCAACATTGTCAAAAACTGGAATAAAATTTTGTGGACATGTCTCCGGCAAATCCATCGAGCAACAAACGAAAGTGTCCGGCTCATTGACCGCTGTTTTGCATCGATAACCTACTGGACATGAAGCTGGATGAGTTGGACTACAATACATTGGTCTTTCTCCTTCCTATAAACAAATTGCTTTTATTGTAGGATTCATTCAGCTAAGGATTGATGGGGAATTTCACTTATAGGAAATTCAAGGTTTCATAAAACAAATAAATTATAAGCATCAAATTTCCACGACAACCATGTGAAGATGCTCATTTCCAGGACACGAAGGTGAACCGTTCATGGCATTTAGCTGTTTCATTAACGAGCAACACAGATGAATCGACGGATTATTCGAAGCTCGTGTGCACTCATATCTGCAAAACGTCTTAAATTACTTTCATGCTGAATCAATTAAAAAAGTAAAAAGTTCCAAATTGCGAAATTCTCTCTTTAGCCATAAAATCACTTGGAAATAGTGATTGTTTCCGAGCAAATATTTCAACGACTTCAAAATTATTCATCATGAAAATCCATCAAACATTTGAATTAATTTGCTTTTGCATTGTTTGCCTACTGAAGCTTACGGAAAGATAATTTAGAAATTCGCTTCGTCCATCAATGAATACTTTTATCGTTAATTGTTAAGCTTTTATTTAATTTATTTTGGCTGAATTAAAATTGCATTTACCCAGATGAACACAACGAATTTCCCAGCGTGCATAATCGTTTTTTACCATTTGATAAAATTTCGGGAATCGCATTACCGCAAGTTGGCGAATTCTTAGAAATCGCAACCACATCGAAAATCAAATGGATATTTTAAAGAATTATTGCATAAATTAGTTAAATTAGTTAAAGTTCGCCCCAATCTCCATAAGGAGATAAAGGAAAAGAAAATTAAATTTCCTTCAAAATATTCAATAATTTAAAAAAAAAACAAAGTATTGAAAGAAAAGAAATAAAAAAAAGAAGTTGAATGGCAAAACATTTTTGGTATAACAAAAGAATTGAGGATTGTTGCTCGTCGACAGGAATGGATCGACAGTGCTGAGGGAATTAATGTTCATCACAGGTTGCAAGTTCGGGGTTCCACTGGCTTTTTCTCTATTTAGCTATAGAACTATATATTCTTTGCATGCATTTTCTAACACCTAATCGAGTTGAATAAATAATTGGAATTTTTTTACCTTCCAAGCAACATACATATTTATCCAGAACTGCGACTGATTGCAAGCAGTCCGCATTCATTGAACATGTTTCGGGTTGCGATGGATTGCAATACTGTAGCAAACTTGAGATGGTGCGTTGATGATATTAATATTAATATAGCCAAAGTCTCTACATCTCTACGTTATCGTATTTCGGAAAAATTACCTTAGTAGACGATGATATATCTGGAATCCAACCTTGCGGACAATGATTCTTTATTTGTTGAAAACGCCGAGTTATGCAGCAAATATACTTATCAGTTGTGTCGCTAAAAGTATCTATCAGTATGGTACAGCGATAGGATAAGCCATAAAGTATTATAAGGAATTATTACCAAAGTTATAGGAATCTACCATTTTATCATGAGCGGCGTGGCTATATCTTATTTGTTAATAGTTAATATTTATAATGTAGCAGCCTAAGCCTAAATCCAACTAGGTTAGCTGCAAATTTGTGGGCAGAAGTTGAGGCAAACTTCACCTACCACCAGCATTTCATTTTGTTCCTATCAAAGTACAAATATCCAAGTTATGCTTATACGCAGTCGAAGCAAGTGATTTTCTTCTAATTACTCTATGCATAGATTATTTAACGGCAATATTACAAATTAACTATCTAACTAATAATAAATAAGATAAAACCTCAACAAACACTTTCCTAGAGGACATGAATTGACTGATTCTAGTGGATCACATTCTAGAGGATCGACTGAATTTGGATATGGTGTATTCCCGCCTGCACAAGTAAAATTTTCTGGATTGCAACAAAGATGTTGAGATATAGTCGATGAAGATTGGCAAATAGATGATAATGGGCACGATTCACCAGCCAAGGAACATACATGTATCCGACCTGCAAAATCTATGACGAAATTCTCCTATAGGATTGAACAGTTTCAAGTCTAAATTTACCAAAATCGTAATCCAAAACAATTTGTGAAGACCTCATTTGATTGCGTTATTCACATAATAATTATAATAGGATCTTGAAGCGAGGCAATAGGCCTCAAGAAAGAGGAAATGGATGATAAAGCAGGAGAATAAAGTTGGACAGTTTAAGGATCATTAGCGGTCTGAGTGAGTTAAGGGAGAAGAAGAGCGAGGAGATGTTACTGGCAAAAGGATTTTCAGGTGCACGAGTTTGATGCAACAAATGGTCTCGGAGAAAATCCTTAAAGTTCGTAGAGTTTAGACGAGTTAAAATGGTTAAGATGGATTGTTCTCGAAGATACCGATTGGGAGTCGATGCTCGTTGGAACAACCTTGATGGCATGTCTACTGATGAGGTGATTTACGCCTGCTCTAAAGGAAAGGCTATTCATATTTACATTCCCATTAAGAGGATCTCACCGAGAAAGCTCACTTAATTAAAGATGCGAGAGAGTGGGATATGATCGCCTCAAGAGCCATGGACTTAAACGCTGTTCACTGTCCTGAAAATGACTGAAATTCCCAGTCATATCTTTGCAATTACGAACCTTTGAACGCGTTCTAGTTTGGAATATTTTTTATTATCCAAAATCATGGAGTCAATAAAAGTTCTGGAGAAGGCGATCTGAATTCTTCAGATATTATCAATGGTATAATTCTTCAGATATGATATGAATTAACTGGTATGAAAAAAAATATTCATACATTCTGAAGGGCCAAAACAATATTTCAGAAGGTTTCTTCCAGACTATAAGTTTGCATACTGAAAGGTGTCGTCTCATTATAAGAAGTCGAGACTATTGGAGGTTGCCTTTCTTCTTGATATATACCCAAAAGAGTTTTAGAATTTATCAAATAATTTGGTAATGCAATTGTTTTCATAATATTTATAGACATTTCTTTAGCGGTGATGAGTAATTTCCAAAATCAAGCAATTTCCAAAATTTCCAAAGTTTCTTGGATTTCTAAAATTGCTCTTCTTGTCTTCAGGGCTGAATTCCGTCCTCATTGAGCCTATTCCTTTGTCTGCTTAATTCTACACATACTTTATTCGAAGTTCTATCTTTTTTGGATTCGCCTCGGAGCAAATCAGTCTCCGCGAATTGTCATCTAAGTGAAGTCGAATTGTGGTACTTCAGTACCATTCACAAGTGGCACAAATTCATAGAAACAAAGCATTTCGACAATACATTAATTTACGTCTAAACACATTTAAATGTTGAAAAAAATAACAAATGCTTATGCTTAATTTTTATGCGAATGATGATTTCCCACATTTAAATGGCATTTACTTATATTTCTGTGATTTTTTCATAAACACGGAGATTTGAGTGTAGAACGGCTTGGTGAGTGAGCTCAGTTCGGAGCGCCGATGCTGAGGCTCTATTTCCTGCAGACTAGCCCTGCCCTTAAAAATCCAGGTGATACTGGCGACTCACCTATATTTCTATCACCACTCCCTGGCAAAAATTTTTTTAGTTCGACAAGCCAGCGGATTAAATTCAACCAGCAATGTTCTGTCCTTGAAAAGGATACATATGTATGCATCAAAAAACTCCAAAGCACTGTTTAAAAAAATTGTTTTCTGGCGTCTCAGTTTATTTTTATAATTTTATAAAATATAAAATTATATGCAACAGTTATGAAATGCGTTGTAAACGCTATGAACACGAGTGCAAAGTTTATGAAGTGCGTTGCAAATGCTGCGAAGATATGTGCAAACATTTCGAAGACAGTTGCGGATTATGTGCAAACCGTGCACACTCTGTTGCTCGGCATACAACAGGTGATATTTAAATTGCATATTGCAATCATAGATTGAAATCTCGGTCTTTGCACCGCTTTATCACCCCACTTCTTCCATGTTGGTTTATCATCCTCTCAAACCCAGTTATATCTAAACACTCTCCAAGATTTTATTACATATTTTGGAAATCCACAGCTTCTTAAATGAACCTGCTTTATCGATCGCAATTTTTTGATTGCCTGGACATGTTCCAGGCGTGCCACAGCAAATTTTATTAATATTACAATAATAGCCTATAGGACAACGGACACGCGAAGAACATGGACGAGCGCGACCAGTAATTTCTTCCAAAAATGGTACTTCACCAGTAGAACAAAGATCTTAAAAATCTTGAATTTATCTATTAGAATTAAAATTAGATTTAGTTTTTGCATTCTACACTTCTCACAAATTAGTTCCGCATTTTTTTCGAATTAATCAATTAAATAAATTTTAACAAATGAAATAATTTTTATTTATTTAAAAATTAATAATCTGAATTAAAACAACCATACATTCGATACGTTCTTGTTTTGTCCATTCCAATTTTAAAATTAACCAAAAAATGATAAAATCAATTATCATATCAAATGTCAAATATCGTTTACCGAATTTATATTCGCTAATAAATGTTCTTCTAATAAGGAATGAAGCAGGAATTCACCAAATATTATAAGGAATGAGGCTAGTCGTATTCACTAAATGTCCACTAATAATAACTTGTGTAATGAAAGAAATAATATTGCTTGGCAAACAACTAAGTAAGGTTAAGTGGATTCGTACAACAAAAACGATCGCTTTAATTATATTTGCCCATTTCAATTTATTTAAAACGATTTTAATTAAAATTTATTTTATATTAATTTATGTTAAAAATTAAATAAAATTATTTTAAAAAATACAAAAAAATTTTAAATAAAAAATTTTTTCAATATTTTTTATTTATTATTTGTTTATCACAAAATATTACTCGACAGTTGTTTTTTTCATTGATATTTCACAATTTAACAAAATTTTAAGAATATTTATGACAAATTTGACATAAGATTAGTTATTATAATATTAGTTAATCGTTTGTTGTTTGGTATTTCTGGATTTATAAATTTTATTATTGTAATTTGCAATATTTGCAATATTTGTATTATTGAAATAAAATTATTATTATAATTATTATAATTATTGTATTGTTGAAATAAAATTTTACATAAAAAATTAAAATTAAAATTTCAATTAAATTAATTTATTCTCACTTTAACTTTCTTAGTTTTGAATTATTTAAAATTGAATTGTTGAAAATTTAAAAATAATGTAAAATAAAATTTTGAAATATAGTTTTTGAATACTAAAAACACAAATTTTTTTTATTTTTATTAAAACAAATGATTCAATAAATAAATAAAATTTTCTGTCCCTTTGTACTTCAATTTTTTTTTTTCAATTCCTAGGCGAATTTCATTTATTATAAAATGTTAATGTATATTGTGCAAATGTTATTTGTGCAATTTTTGCAATGCACCAACCAGTGCAAAAAGCATAGTGCAGTACTAAAAGAGGAAAATCATTGGTCGACCCAAATTACGACACAAAGATGGCAGATTTGAAAGTTTGCAAGAATGTTTGCAACACCAGTTTTAGTGCACTTCTCTTTTTTTATGAGTCCTCACCATTACTGGCTAAATTCGTTCCGCTGACTTGTCGCATTGGACAAATGTGCCAGGGAGTCCACTGGCGATCGAAGTATATAGGCGAGTTGCTATCATCACCCGGATTTTTGGATGTTTACTTCTGCTGGGAGTAGAACCTCAGCATCGGCGCTCCGAGCGACTAACCACTGAGTCATTCTATCCCTAATAGCACTTCTCTTGCTACGAGTGTATAAATATGTTGAATTCACCTCGTTTAAATGTGCATTTCACGAGGCGAAAAGGGAACGTTAAAAAAAAGGTGTTAGTGATCGTAAACGTGCAGTAATGCAAGGTGATTCTAGCGTGCACGATGGTCGATAGTGCACTGGCGTTATCATTTATTTGGCTTTCGTTCGGTTTCAGAGTCGAGTATTTTTCTTCCTTATTTCGTATCACATAAGCGTTTTCATGTCTTTTCGAGCAAATTAACAAATTTCTTATCGCAGTCACACGTAGAAAGATAAGATTTTTGGCACTTGGAACTTTATGTGCTCGTCGAACAAGAGAGCAGCTCGGGAAAGAGAATCGCGAAGTTTAAGTTGGCAGATAGGGACCTCGAGAATGCCTTAATTTTACTGTTTCGCATGGTGTTGCACCGATGAATGTTTGCATATTAGTGTACCACGAATGACACCAATATCATACCAAAATGAATAGTTTCAAATTTTTAATCTGACATTCTGAAATATTTGGATTAGGTTGATATTTACCATTGTTCGTACAACGTTTAATCTAAATATATAATGGTTGGTATAAAAGCGATATGATTAGTTGGTACAAAATCGTCAGTTTTCGAATATTTCCTGGTATTTTGTCGATCAAATATCTCCTTATTGTCGGTTAAGCAAAATTTCCTTCGAACTGATTCTTCTACTTCTTCTGACAGCTCTCACCATTACTGCTTAAGATGCCTCCGCTAAGATATCTCCAAGCTGTTCGATCCGATGGCATCGTTGACAATAACAGAAATCAATCCTTTTTCCATCGTCTAAGTCCATATGTTATGGTCCACCTATATGTTCAAAATCTCCTAACGAATCAGTCTTCCTTTTGAAGCCATCTATCGCAGGGTTTAGCAAGTAACGAAATATATGTCAACTTTTGTGGTGAAGGCGACGCTTTGTGACGACGCGTTCTTTCACTTTTACAGTGATTCCGGAAAAAAGCAGTTCTAGCCAACGTTCATCCAGGTTGTAACTTCATCTTTCGCTTGGCAGTTTGGGATTAGAGCGAATCCGAGATATTTGAGACCGAATACTCCTTCAATCGGCAATGGATTGATAAAAAGAGGTTATTAGCTTCTTTTATATAAGTATATAGAAGACGAAAAAACTTTTAAACATTGATCCTGAGATCCGGAATCGACCCAATATTATTCCACTTTATTTCATGAAGTTCATACGGTTTGATAGGTGGAAAAGTGATAAAATATGAGATTATGCTCAAATCGAAATCTGAAAACGCTCACTGACTCTGTTGATAAAAAAAAGAAATTGAATAAAATAATACGATATGATAAAATAAATAAAAAGAAAGTGGCTGATATTCGATATTTCTCGTTGAGCTTATTTCGCCGTTAGGAATTTTGGCCAAGGAGACATTTGGCAAGAAAAGTGGTACTACTGCCAGCACCGCTAGGATTTTTCAACATAAGTTAGCTCTCTCAGGGAGTAAGAGCCGAGTGGCACCTTGATTTCGACAAAATTCGACACAATACTTGTAGGTTGTAGAGCTGCAAGAGATTGATTCGGCTCATGAGCAGATTTTCTAATCCTTTCCTGTAAATTACTGTATTTTTATCAGTTTTTTTGGAAAATCGTGGAAAAATGTAGAGGTTGAAAAAGGGTTCGACGGGTGAAGTTGTTGAAGCAATGGGGTGGTTGCGTGGGATAGGAAAGGAAGGAAGGGACTCCAGTGATGTTGGAAAGGGTATGGGGAAGGCAAATGAGCATGTTTTCAATCAGCATCGGCTCATAAGAATCCATCCAAGTGCTCTGTTCTCCTTTCCTACTCGCCATTCTTCTCTTCACGCCGTTCATACTACTGGTTCATCTATTTGCAATATTCGCGGCAGTTGCTAGCTTTCCAAAAATAACTGCGGCTGCTTTTTGTGCCATATTTAGTCCGATTTTTGATATATTTTCTTAAGCTTTTTTTTCAGTGATTAATTAACTATATAAATGAATAAAAACAATTTTTCGCCGTATAATATAGATAAATCAAATTTCGATAATTTTCGAAATTTTCCACACAATGGAAATTCAAGAAAGAATTTCTCCAGAGGTGGAAGTATTTTTTTTTTCAATTTAAAAATTCATTCATTAATTATAATTGAATTGTTTATTCATATTAAAATTTTTAAAGAATTTCTAATTTATTCGAATTAAATCTTCAAAAATTTCGTTTCTTTTAATTTTATAATTTCTATTTCACTTTAGAAAAATATAAAATTCAAAAAGTTTGAAACCCAGAAATTTTTCTTCTTGGCAGTTTTTCCATAGTTTTATTCTAAAAGAAATATTATATTTTGAAATATGAAAATATATAATTATGAATATAATAAAAAAATAAATATATATAAATATAAAAATGTAATAAATATAATGTAATATAATAAAAATGTAATAACTGTAAATATGAAAAAATATATTTTAAATATAAACCTTCCTTCTTAATTAGTTTTTTTTTAATTTTTATATGTTTTTTGTTTTGTCTAAATGTATTTAATTTTTAATTATTACAGCTTCATGGCAAGAAAATGGGCGATTTAATAATCGGTTTAATGATTTTAATAATTATCGTACTGATGGATTTGGCAATTATTTTAATGAATATTCTAATTGTTGGATGGATGATGACCGTTATTATAATCGACCTCCGATGACTTCACCATTTCCCGAATTTCGAGAAGATAGTTGGCGAAATGATGAGTTCTCTCGAGGACATTTCAGAGAGTTTAATAGGAATTTTTATCCTCATCATTCATCAGAAAATCCTGCATTTTATCCATCATTTGATAATCGACGATTCAGTGAAATCTCACCTTCACCTTCGAACTATAATCGAACAGTACAAAGACAGCGGGTGAAGTAGGTTATAGGTTTCAATTCTTTTTAGCAGTTTCTTTTAGTTTCTTTTATATTTACACTTTTTTACACTTTTTTAATTCTTACAAATTTTTTCTTACGAAAAAATGCGTCAATTTCGGCATCACTAAATATTAGGTTTTTTATGTAATCAGAATGCGGTAGATATCGTGGCAGCTAATAACTTAACTAATTATTATCATAAATTGTGATTAGATGGATCATTTTTTTGCGTAAAAAATTATTTAAAAAATTTCCTAACAACTCTCACCATTATTGATTAGGCCATCTCTATCTGCGCCATTTGTTTTTCCGTCCCTCTGAGCTTATATATCGCAAGGCCACTCATATATTCAAAATCTCTTTTCTAACTGTATTGAATCAAATATCGACTGGTCCTCCTCGCTTCTGACGCTATATAGCCATGGCTTAACAAGATTTGTGACAATTTTTTCATTGAACGGCGAACATGACCTAACCACGTTAGGCAATATTCCGTATTTGAGCAGAGATTGGTGGTTTCGTTCATTCTCTTTGGTTATATTTCGCTAATAAAAATAATCGTATGTAAGATCGTATATAATAAAATGATACTGCAGTTGTGCAAATGCGTTTCATTTTATGGCATTTTGCGGTATTTCCGCAGAAAGTTCGCTAAGAACGTTAATTTCCCTTGGCTGTTTGCTATTAGAGTGGACCCAAGATATTAAAGTCTGGCACTTCCTCATATTATAAGATGAAAAAAACTTTTTTTGCGCTGAGTTTAAGTCTAATTTTTCAACACTGACACTTTGTCTAGTATTTCTTTCATTTCTTCTGTCAAAAAGGATTACACTGTCAGCGTATTCAGGTTCTATTGTATTTATATTTATTGATTGATTCGTATTCTTGTCCATGTCCTGATGTCCTTAATCCCATCGCATAGTTGGGGCTGCAAGGAAAAGAACATCGTGCCTGGCGGACACAGCTTCGAAAAATTCTTCCTACACAGATCTATGTCGAATATATATATATATCTTTAGAACATGTCGCATTCTAATACATTTCAGTGGAATCTGTTGAATCGAAAGTAGCAGCAGAATCAACAAGGTGACGGCGGACCGTCATTATTTGAAACGATGTTTCAGTAACCTATATTTGAATATACATCTTTAGTCCGAGATATCTTGTAGGCCGGTTCCTGGATGATTATCACAATATGTTATATACATATATACCTTTACACCTTTTATATACCTTTCTTAGCGATTGGAAGTATTATTTTTTTGTTTCATTCACGTATTATTAACACTATACATTGAAGATGATTTGTGAAGGAGAATGGACAATATTTGAAAATTTCAGTTTACAAATCATCTTTTTCTAGAGCTTTATTAGCCTTGATTGACAGAAATTATTTCTTGTTCTTTGTTCTGCATTCCCTGAACATAGAAAGAATGCTGTCGTCAGCTGGAATTCAGTATAAAACTTACCGTTCTCATGATCATCTGCGCATGAAATGGAAATATATTATAGTCGAGACATTGCAAAAGGCATTTCCTATAAAGTGGGCTTCTTCAAACATTCGCCATTTCCCTCTGATTTATCCGAAACGCCACAGTGATATGGTCAATACCGCAGTACCAATAGCCAGGTAGAGCAATTGCTGGAGATCCTAAAATGAAGGTGAACATGCTTCCTAGAGCCGGTGATGTACGATATTTGGATAGGGTGTGGACTATGATTTGTGATTGTCCAATTAAAACCATTAACCATTCTAATTTTTTTGTTCTTTTCTGCTATAGCCATCACTTGGCAACATGCATAGAGTGGATGAAGTTCCCTATGTCGAGTGTCAAGATGATAAAGTCGTTTCAGCATAGTGTATAGAATCACGTGGGGAAGCATAACAGCCATTTGGATTCACAATTCATGACAAGTTTCCTACCAAAGAAAGAGAAAAACAAATTAAATAAAAATTAGTAAAATAACTTTTAAAAAAATTCGCATTTTTTTAAAAATATTTATTTTTTAATAAAAAGATTTCCCACTGGATAAATGGAACAAATTTGACTGAAAAAAATTTTTTATAATTTTTATCTTTTTTATATTTTATAATTGTTGTTTTTTTTTATTATTTATTATCTGTTACATTAAAATAAGATCTTACGAAATTTTTATTCAAATCAATATAATTCATTAAAGTCTTTTTAAAAATGTTTTGCGAAAACTTTTTATTTGTTTTACTATTTTGTAATAATTTCAGCGATTCATGGAGATATGACGATAGAAGCATGCATACAAAGAAAGCTCCTTTAATAAATAATGTATGATTTTTTATTTATTAAATTTGCTCTTAAAGTATTTTTGCCAATTTTCTGTTTCTATATTTTCAACATTCGTAAATTTGTAAATTATTTCTATCATCATTTCATCTCAATATCACTTTTAATGTTTTTCATTTTTTTAATTTTTAAATCTGGTTTACTTATATTTTTAAATTATTAGTAATTGAGCCCTTAAATTCCTAGACAAAAGTTGTAATTGTTTGGATTTTTATTATTTTTGTAATTTTAAATTTTTCTTCCTAAGCTTTTTTCCAGCTTTATTGCTTAAAGATTTTAATTTTTAATTAGTCTCTGCTTTGTTTTTAGGAAATAAAAAATGAACCTGAAAAAAATTTTATATCAAATATAAAAAACGAACCTGAAAAAAATTTTGTGTCAAATATAAAAAACGAACCTGAAAAAAATTTTGCGTCAAATATAAAAAACGAACCTGAAAAAGATTTTGTACCAAATATTTCAACTGTCGATGGTCAAAAAGAAGGTGATACCACAAACGTATTTCAGTTAGTTATTTATTTAGTTATTATTTTAAGATTTTCCAACTTTAATTTTCATTTTTTATTTTTTAAGTTTTTTAACTGAATATTGTGGCATTTTACGAAAGAAATTAAAAAGTGTTTTTCATTTTTAAATATCATTAGCATTAGAATTTTGCAGTGGGTTGTTACTCTTACTTTGAAACGCTAATTCCTAGCAGAATACTGATATTTAATTCGTAACAGAAAGTAGACTGTATTAATTCAGGTAGTGACTCGCTGGTAAAATCCGTGATGTATAAGATATGTAAGATCTGAGGAGCTAGCTGGGCGAGCTAGATGTGGTGACCATTCATAGAAAAAATATGCCAAGCGTTATGACGTGACCTATTGGTTTTTAAAATCTTTTCATTGATAATTTTTAACAACAGGATGGAGATGCATTTGACTATTGACATAAGAAGTGTATTAAAAAAATAAGTTTTTTAAGGAATGTTTTCCCCAAATATTCAGAATCTGATGTAAAGTATCAACCAATTGAATCAACAGAAGTTGATGAACAAGGTTTTACGCTTATTAGTTTTTTAAAATTATTTTTTACATTTGCTTGATTTATCCAATTCATCTTGGTCGATACTGGACTAATGGGCTGAGCTATCTTTGAGGCTATTTTTCCTTTGCGTTTCCATGAATACACAAACACAATTCCTTTTTTATTACCTTATGTTTATTGCTTTCATCTACTTCATTTGTAAGTTGTGTTATTGAATTTCGGAGGGAAATGATTTAGAATTCACGATATACAAAATTACCGATTTAAAAAATTTTCAAAAAGTTGCTCTGTTGGAGATTTAGGTGATCTTTAAGTTTTCTTCGAAAAATATAAATAGATAAATAGAAAAAAGAAATTTTTTTCAGATGAAAAGAAAAATTTGTTTTATAAAGATGGCGAAGCAGATAAGAATTCAGAAAATAACAAAGAGGTTTGAAATTGGTTACTAACTCAAAATCGATAAAAATTTATCTGAAAGAAGAAAATTGATATTTTCACTGTTGATTTTTTATATTTTATAAATCAAATTTTCATTGATTTTAAGTTTTGAAACTACCAAGAATTTATACTTTATTCTTTATTTATTGAGAGAATAAGATTTATTTATATGAAAAAAGAAAGGAATGCTTTGTTAAGGTATTTCATGACTAAAAAATTAAAGATTTTCAGTGCTTTTCACAGATAGCTGAATCTGCAGTTAACATAGAGAATACCAAATTGGATAATATTCACAGCATAAAGAACGAAGATCAGTCGTCATTTATGTCAGAAGTAGCAGAGTCGAATGCAAAATATGATAATTTAGTGATACGAAAGGACTTTGGTCATGATCAAATTCATTATTTTAAACCGAATACCTCAAGGAAAAAGCGAAATCGAAAAAAGAAATCAATGAAGTCTCAAAGTTCCAAATCAAGGTAGCGATTTAGATTATATTGTAAATATTGAATAGATGATGTAAAAAAAGGGGGATCGTTAACCACTATAATGATCCTTTCAGAGTTATTTCTAAGTAATAATTCCTCTGCCATTCGGAAGTAGCGTTATTAATTTTTCAATTTTTTTATTCCATTTGAGATTGATACTTTAAGAAGCACTTATAAATTTGTTTTTTACGAAAATTTTCTTTATCATTCATAAATTTCGTTAAAATTCTCATATATTTACTTTCGTACTTTTTATGTATATTACTAGTTTGTGTTGCCCCTTATTATCATTATCATTATTCTTTGGTTATTTTATTATAAAATGAAAATTTCTAGTGAAAAAATTAGTGGCGAACATCAAAATTTTTCTGCTTCCTCTAGCCCTGATATCGATCCAAAAGATTACATTGAAAAGCTCAGTAATGCGAGTTCTTCTAGCACTGAAGAAAATGGTAATTTTTCATTAAATAATATATTTTTTATTAAATATATTTTTTTGGGCTAGAATAAATTTAGCCTTTAAAGAAGGCTATACGAAGCTATTAAGATATATAAAGGCTTCAGGAATAATATTATCAAAATTTTTTAGCTACAAATCAAGCTTCCTCAGTAAAGGTATCAAGCTGCTCCTTGAATATAAAAGCACCTTTGCTAAAGAAACCTCCGTGTTCAGTATCGCAATCGCAGCCTCATGAAAATTATGGTTTCTTTTCTGGACCAGTAATCGCTGGACCTTCAAAAATACATGTAAAACGGCCGTCATCTCTGGCTTCTTCAAGACCTGGACTACTAGATGGGCCAACGCCGCAAAAAAAGGCGCCGGTTTTGCAGCAGTCTTCTTTAAAACCTCCTTTGCTCGGTGAATTTCCTCGAGTGAGTTTACATTCGCACTTTTTCCTAATAATTTGTGTGACACGAATTTTATTTCTTAATATTTTGCCCATGATTATCATTTTCTTTTAATTCACTTCTAATTAATTTCCTAGACTGGAGTTCCTTCTAATCGACCTAAGAATGGACCCGTTGTTCCTCCATCTAAACTTCCAAATTATGAAGGCACATCGAACACTTCCCTTCAAAACGAGGTAGTAGGAGCAGTTGCGGAAAAGGGCTTTGCAAAGATTCTGCTGGCCAATAAGGAGTTTAGCGCCAAAATCGAACAAGTGAGATTTGTAAGATCTAAAAAAATGTTATGTGATTATGAGATAGCAAAAAATGTAGAAATTTTTCGGGATATTAAACATCTAAAAGGTTTAAAACGATTGTAATCAACTTCATATTTTTTTATAGATTTTGATTAAGTAGATTTATTGCAGCTGTGCAATGAACAATTACGTAAATTGTTGGGTAATGAATAAAAATATCGTCAAGGTATTAAATTTGAACTCTTGTCCATTTTTTCTTTATTTATAAATTTCAATACATGATTTTAAACGCTTATAACACACATTGATTATATTCATTCATGTTTTCATTAGTCCAGGCTTTATAGTGGTGTATGATTTGGTCGATAATGCAAGAAAAAATATATCAGTGGTAAAGAATTGCCATTTTTCAATTTTTTGTTTCATTACAGCGAAATTTGCCTGCATTCATTCGAAGACCTTCATTCGAAGAAGTAATTTTTTCCATATTATTTGATTTGAACCAGTTTTAATTTATTTTTCTGGTTCTGGTTTTTTTGCATTTGCTTTTATTATATATAAATTTTACAAAGGATTAGATTTCGAGGCTCATATTCTCTAATTTTAATATTTTGGGAATGCCTTTTGCAACAGTAGTAATTATTCTATAACTTTTATAAATGTATAAAAGTATTGTAAGAATTGTATTCGTTTTAATAACTAAGCTTCAAAAAGGATTTCATCGAAACATAAAAATTTTTATCAAAAAGTTGTTGAGATATTTTCTTGTATTCTAGCTTATTTTTGATAATCTGCCTTTGTTCAAAAAAAGAAAAAAGGATTTTATAATTGCGCTGTTAAATTCGTCATTAAAAGTTTTTTTAAAAAAAAGGTCGAAAGATAAAAAATTCATAGGATGGACCAGTTTACTAGTTACCGGCATTGTTTTAGCTGATATTAGCAGTTTTTATTATTTTATTGCCAGTCAAATTCATCAACATCGCATATTAACTCAGACATATACTGCAATTTCTTAAATATCAAAATTCCAACCAAATATTGCCAAATAATAAAAGAATATCTAGAATAGTAGGAAATAGAATATTTCATTTTAATAAAAATGGTTGAGGAGGTTCTTCGAAAAAATAATTTAGAACTTTTTGTTTTCCTTTAACTATATTTTCAAACGATCTTTTGAAAAATGATCGTGATAATTCTTTCACATAAATCTTTCACTTTTTTAAAAATTGCATTAAATTTTCATTTTCCACGTTATCCCATATTATTCTTAATATTTGATAAAGAACAGGAAATATTTGCAAACGCTTGAGGATAATGTTCCTCTGGATCATATTTAAGCGCCTTCATCACTTATCATAAAAAGCAAACTTTCGCATTGAAAATATTTAAAAGAATATTCTAAAAACTTAAAGCATAAAGAGGAAACAAGCAATTTTTACCAATTTCTTTTTCACCAATTTACTCAAGCATAACATCTTTCTTCAACAAAGATGCATTAAACTCGACATTTAACTCGAAAAAATAATAATAAAGAATAATTTCTTGCAATAATAATTCGACTTTGCAGTAAACAGTTTAATTTTCTTGCTTTGCTTCTTGTTAAATTATACAGAATTATACACATTTTAACTAAGATGGCATCGTAAACATTTATTTGTTAGAATCAGACTCATGTTGCTTGCGAAGACGCAAAGTCGATGTGACAGCTTGAGGAGAATTTCTCGAGGGTAGATGTAAGGGTGTTTCTCGGTTCCCAGTTTCTGGCATCAGTCAAATCTAAATCTTTCCTCCTTTAGATGACAGTTATTTTATAGGAACATATATAGGAAACAAAAGAAAAAAATGAAGGAAAAAAACAAGCTTCTCCGGAAAAGTTTCAGAATTTTGAATAAATCTTCAATATATAAGGCTCGTGATGGAGAACCTTATAATATTCGTATAAACTTATATTTTTAAAGGCGACCGGTTTTGCGTTCTATACGGAAAGCATTGATTATGGCTACTTGCTTTGGCAAGAAATTTTTAGACTAGCAAATTCAGGCATAGTTGGCGCAGACATTTTTTTTGCCAAGCATTATTTGATAAATACCAGCGAATTCGACCAGAAACATCGATAATAAAATTTTCACAATAAAAGGAGCAGTCGATTTAAAAGGATTGTAGTTTAAAAGAACGCATTTATTGAAAATTTTATAAAAATGAACCAACCGGTCAGCCATTTTTTATGAAAACTGAAAATTTTAATGCATTTCTACAAAAAATATCGAAGTAGATTAGTTTGGAATATAGAAAAAAGTTGCATACAATTGATATACAATTTTTATAACTTTTGCAAATAAATTTTTTTTCCACTTTATCAGTTTATAAATTTAATTTTATTGGTTCGTGAACGGTTTTCATAGGAACGGTCGATTGCCAAATAACGGAAATTTTTTTCTTCCCCTCTAAAGTTCCATTTTTGAAAAATTCCATTCCAAAAGCTCCATTTTAAGAAATTCTTTTTGAATATTTCGTTTGATCTTATAAATGCAACAATTGCAAACAAGAAAGTTTATATCGTTAGTTTTTTCGTTTTTTATTTAATCTTTTCCAAGTTGTTTTAAAGGCCATAATTTATGGCTCGAATTGCCCTAATAGCTATCGCGACCATCTGGAATAGAGGTCCCGGTGGCCCGTGGAATGGAGGTGCAGGTGTATCCCGATGGGTGCGTGGAATGGAGATATAGGTGTAAGAGATATAGGCGTGTCACGGTGGACGTCCGCAGCACACTCTTTAAATTTTGGTCGCCGAACGCAATTATGGGTCGAGTGGGTGCTGGTTTGGCTCTTTCCACAGGCAACTAAAATAAAAGTTCCAATCCCAATATCGATCTGTTGGTGAAAGTAAGTGGAACCATTTTTTCTACTGTTCAAGCTCGTGTGTTGCTAGGTCGATTGCGTTCAAAATCTCATCTGATCACATCAGATCTTATTTGGTCTTCCTCGTTTTTGATCATCGAATATTCTTGGTTTAGTCAGCGGTATGTTAATTCTTATGGTATTAATTCCTGCAAAAGACGAGGAACATGATCTAATCTGCGCAGGCACCGGGTGATGGTGGCAACTCACCTGTATTTCTATCGCCAAGGTGCTCTCTGGCATATTTGTCCAGTGCGACAAGCCAGCAAAGCGAGTTTAACCAATAATGGTGAAATTTTAAAAAAAAAACTTGCACAGGTAATGCTTTGTGGCTATTCTTCATGCAGGTGGTATTCGAAGGAAGTTGGAACGATGATTCTGTCTGCTTATCGTGTGCGAAGGATTTACCTTAGGTAAGAAAGGCAAATAACTTCCCTGACATATTCCATTCTTATTGGCTATTTAGTAGGATAATTGTAACAGCCAGATAAATGCGAATTTTCATTTGAAGCTGATGATTTCATAAAGGTTTCACCAGGTAGGTACCTGTAGATGCATCTATTCATTCTTTGGTCTGATGTAAAATTTTAGAATATTGGATGTATTTAAAACATGGCACTTCTTGATTCATCGATGAATTTATAGGAAAAATTTGCAGGAATTATCGGTCTTATCACATAGGATCTGACATAAAGGAAATTTCTCCTGATTAACATTGGTTTAAAGGTTAATTTTGGTTGTTGCTTTCTATAGCTATTCTAGTACCTTTGCAGTTCTTCATAATTGAAAAGGATATCATTAGCTTATCGAAGTTCTGTCCTCTTGATTAATTTCTGCTTTTGTTGAGTCCTGGCAAACAATGTTCATAAATGAAACTATCGCATAGTTGAAAATTGTAAGGGAGTGGGCATAACATTGACGCATTCCTGTCCGCATTTTGAAAGGTCATTTATTCATGCGAAAGCCTGTGAGCGAACAGTCTTCCAAGGGCTTTCACTATGGTTAAATTTGCTGCGCTGACTTTATGGATCAAAGAAAGCTCTGCAGTAGAGTTATCAGCATTACTCGGGATTCCGAAAGCAAGTTTATTTTTTGCTCACTGTCGTATAGTTCCAGATGTGTTTCAGGTTATCTTTGGAATGCTGGTTTTTTTTGCTCGTAGTTAAATTTAGGTTCAAAAAAATTTCTTCTGAGGATTTTCTTTTTTTTGCGAGGGTTTTCATTCTTATTTTGAGCCATTTTTCTAATTTTAATTGTTGTACAAGTGGTGGAATAATTTTCGTTGATCGCCTGCTCGAGTTGTCCCTTTCTTTTCGTGGTCCTTCCATTGATACTTTCGTTCTATCTTGTCTCGACCACTGCAAGTCTTACAGGGTTGCGGATAGCCAGGCCAACAGCCAACATATTCTGACACGCGCACTGGGAGTGCAGTCGGTCGATCGCTCTTTTTAAGGTCCAGCTTACCTTCTTTATGTATTCTATATATATGTATTCTAGAGTGGATTTAGCCGAATTCTGGGACCAATACCCATTGGGAGTTCAAAGCGAATACCCAAAGCGATAACTTTTATCGCTGCCTTTATTGGCACGATGGGTCCCAACGCCATAGGTGACCATAGAAAAAAGTGGCTCTTCATTTTTTATACTCCAATCTGTCGCAGCTATGTCATTTTATGGGAAAATGCTATCTGTATATTATGCCCAATATAGAATCTCTCTTTATCCAGGTCATCTGTAGAAAACATAGGAACATAAAAACTAATGCCTAATAAGTTGCATAATTTGCCTTTAATGTGAGCAACAGTGAACTGCTCATGAATAGGATTCCATACGATCAACGCTAATTGTACGCCTTCGAGTATGATAATCGCTACCATGTTTTTTCCTATCAGTACTACTGTTGTATAGCCAGTACTTTCCGTCCGAACCAGATATAATTGCTGCTTCGGGACTAGGAAGCAATCGGCAAAAAATACTCGATATTTGGATGTATTTCCTAAATCCCTACGTCCATAAGCGTTTTCACCTTCCACGCACAGCAATATAGAAAATTACAGCCAGGAAAAATTTGTCCGGCTTTCTTATGTAAGCTAAAACAGTTTTCAGCCAAAGAATTTGTAAAAAGGAGAATTTTTAATATTACTTCATGGATGAACCTGGTTCGCATATTGTATCGCGCATTTAGAAATCCTCGAAGTATATCGATACCATTTGAAATTTGCTTATTTTATTTGCCATAAAGTCACTTCAGAGGTCTAAGTGGGTCTTCAGCGGTATTTTTATTCAGATTTCCACAAAATTTTGTTAGTCCAATTCAGGTGAATACTTCTTAGTTATTTTTCTTTCAGACATCGATGCATTTGCATATGAATTCGATGCTGTAATTTCGATGCTTGTCAGGTGACTTATTCGATGTGACTGTGAAAACCAATCAGAATTCTATGCATTCAAGCGATAAAAGGTTCAAATTTAGCTCGAATTTGACCCTACGGAGAGAAATAATCATTTGGAAATAGAAAATCCAAATATCCAAATGCCAGACTATCGGAATTTAAGAATTTCAATATTTTTCAGTGGACGAAAATACCAAAAAAAATAAAAAGAGTTAAAATAGTGAAAAAAATTTGAAGAATTAGAAAATTAGAACAACGATTGTGAAAAGAAAATTTTAGCGGAATTTGAAATTTGTGGAAAGGAAAACGATTAGTAGAATTTGTTTGCGGTGGTTTTCAGCTAAAATATTTATTATTATAATAAATTCATCCAATTCTCAGTGATTTTTATAGTGCAAAATCAATCTTTAATTGCAAATCTATGATATTTTATTGATAACAGCCGTTTGCAACTGAATTGAACCAAAAAGAGCACCGAATATTTCCTCAAATTTTTATGCTTTTTGAATGTTAAGGATCAGACTTCGAGACCAGTGGTCAAATTTAGTTTGTGTTAGTTAGGTAGGTGTTGGGGCGAAGTAGTTGTTACTTAGATCATCATCCACTAAGACTCGCACCACGACTCACGTCTTCTTTTCCCAGATGGTGAATGAAGATCCAATTTCAGTTCGGCTGACTCAATGACAAAATTCGTCATCAACTAATAGTATGTAAACTTAAAATATGTGCGCTAACCACTGTTAGGTGTTAGGTGTCATATGCATAATATAATATAGCTGCGCAAGATATATTCGCTTTTTACAACAGTAAAATAGATCCATCTTAATAGTCCGAAAAAGGATATAGCCTGCGGCGCTTTCTTACTTAATCGTGAAAAATTTTACTGCAAAAATTTTTTGATTTTTTGATTGAAATTTAATAATTTCGATTTGAAGACTTTTTCCTCCCCTTCGGATAAGAGTTTCAAATGAAACAAATCTTTAAAGCAAAATTAAACAAACTATTACTATTTTTATCAATTTTTACTATGAGTTTTAAATTATTATTATTATTAGTATTAGTATTAGTACTATTACTGTTATTATAAAGTTATTACTATTATGAACTATTAGTATTGATGAATAGACAGTTATCTCAACAGACAGTCGAACCTTCGACCGAATCATTATTTTGCTATTGTATTAGAAGTTTGGTAAAATGCATTTACATTTCTCTTATTACAAACGATATTTTGTCGCATTTTCTTATAAAGTATACTTAGCGGTTGACCGTTTGCGACGCTATTTGAACGAAATACTAAAGCATTATTTATATATTCATTATTGCAGATAATTCTGTTTGATTCGGCTGATTCGCAGGGTGAAAAAAATTATGGATTATGGACATTAAATGAATAATTTTTTAAATTTATTTATCCTAATTAGAATTTTTGCTTTTTTAGAAATTTTATTTTAACCAGTTTTAATTAATTTTTTTCACTTCTATTTTTTCATTTTAAATCCAATAAAAAGAATAAAAATCAAAAATATTTTGTAAGAAAGCGAATGAAAAAGTTTATAAAGCGAAACACTATATTTTGACATCTATTTGTAAATTGTCAAAAATCATATTATATCCAATCCTCATCAGCAAGTTCAATTTCTTCGAGATCATTTTCTTCATCAATTTTCTGACTTATCTTTGATACGTCTGCTTTTATGGAGGAACGAATTTTGTTGATTACACTCTTAAATTATTTTTTATTTGAAACGAAAATTTTCTTAAAAATTCAAACAAAATTCTTGTGGCAAAATGAATAAATTAACAATATAACTTTGTTCACTTGTTTTTCTACTATCGAACAAATCTTTGATAATTTTGGCTATTCTATAATAAAATCTAAAAATGATTACCGGTGGGATCCATCCAGATTGAGGGTCTGCTTGTTCTCCTTGCACGAAAAAGTCTCTGCGGAGTACCTCCTCAGCAAATGGTAGTTTTATGTCGCAGATACTATACCACATTTGACGAACATGTGGAAGTTTACCTAAAAAAAATTTTAAAATAAGCCATTCTAATAGCTCTTAAATTTCTTGTTAGGATGGCTTCACTGATTACAATGGTGAAACGTCTCCAAATTGCGCGATCTAATCCATAATCGACAATAATAATAATAGAAGCCACTTTTTTTCCATCGTCTAAGTCAATATATTGCTGGCATCTATACATTCAAAAAGTTTTTTGACCGTATCAGTCCAGGTCTTGATCGGCCCACCTTGCTTTTGATCCATCACAGGGTTTTGCAAGTAATATGCGTCAATTCGTGTGGTGGGCGTGAAGGATATGTCCTAATCAGTGAAGGCGAAGCTCCACGATGATACTGTTAACACAAATGATATTTGAATGAAGATAGATCATATGAGATTTTATCCACTCAGCGAAAATTAGAAGCCATTATCTAATTTCATTTTTCGTAAAATTATATTCAAATTGTTTTTAAAGTATAAGAAATATTTACCTGATGTGTAAATAAAGTCGATCGAATTTTGAATGTTTTCTATTTGAGATGTGGTTTGGGGTCGTTCAGAGTTCTGCTAAAAACCATTGGAGAATGATAAAATATTATAAATGTAAAATTTTAAGTTCTTTAAAGCAGATAACCAAGAAGGAAATTTTTTAGAACTTACGCAGGCCACCTTCAGCCGTTGTCTTTCAGGAATTTTAGAATGTAATCGAAAAGTGACCATGATAGTTTGATATTTTTTAGCCTGAAGCTAATATTACATATTATTATTATATATATATATATATATATATAAAGCCCTTTCTCTTCTCATCCTTGTGGGTGGTACGGGCCGGGTCCAATCTCTGGGAGATGCCTGAGAGATGCCTGGGATAATGCAGACAAGCCTTCACAAGATATCGCCCAAGCATCTTCATGAAAAATATGGAGAGCATTGACCGCGTTTTGCTATATTATTCGCCCACCATAACTATTAACTTTTTCTATTTATCTATATATCTCGATGAAGAAAAAGCATTGTCAAATCTAACATCTGGATCTATTCTTGGATCATATCCGAAACGGCACCAGCATCGTCCCCATGCACCACTCGATACATAAAAAGCAAATTTTGGAAGTAGTACCCTAAATTTGAAGATATATTAACTTTGCTGCAATCAAAAAATTTTTGCAATTAGATGTAAAAGTCAAATTTTTTGAATAAAATATATTAAAACAACAAAACTAAAAAACAAAACAATATGCAGGATGGAACCTTAATGTAGGTTCATCTAAACCGGTCTTCCTTACAATAGCAATTCGCGTCCATAAGGGCCTCTCCTCGAAAATTTCTTGCAATAAACGATGTAATTCTTCATCCTTGCACCTTGAATGATTATAATTGATTACATAGAGTTGGTAAAAACCACAAAAAAAAAACCTGAAATTAGCATCGTTAACGGCTTCTTCGGAAGGTGCACATGGGAAATTATCTGTTGCTTGAACTGTTACAGAAAGTGCTTTTCTTTCGTTCCTCAAACCTAAACCGTTATTATTCAAAGAAAATATGGAAAAAAACAATATAGAGAAATGTGGAAATACATTGTAGAAATAAATACTGCACTGTAGAAGTAATTTCGATAGTTATTATTTCACTTTTTCCAGTTGTATATAATACAATACAATTGGTAATAAGATGAAGGAAAAAATATATAGGAAAAAAATGAGGGAAAAAAATGCGGCTTTACTACGTAAGTTTAAAAGAAAATGTGAAAATCATTTTTTAAGGGACCTATCCTATGCTTCATTTTTATAACAACAGTGAAAAAATAAAAAATAATTGAAACAAAAAAATAATAGCGCTTACTTTGACCGTGACCACCTGTTTTAACCTGAGATTGAATTCTTTCAGATACAAAAACAGTTTCTTTACAAAAAAGTCTGCTGCTTGGCATATTATACCTGTAGTTAGTAATTTTAAAATCAAAGACTATGAATATATAAAATTTATTTCCATAAAATAAAAAGTTCTTAATAAAAAGTTTAAAATTCATAGGGATTAAGATTCATAATTTTTTTTTCATAATCTATGATGAACCTCGAAAACTGAAAAGGTGGTAAAAACAACGGTGTACCAAGCTTTTCATCGGATCTGTCCCACCAATTAATAGCACTCGACAAATCAGGAGGAATTATTTTTGGAACCTGTAAAAAAACATTAAATTAACTAGTACAATGAAAGTCTCCCATCTTTTTTTCTAGGAGAATTAAAAAAGAAAGGATAATTGATTCAAATGAAACAAAAAATTACAAGCACTTGCCAAGTCTTCATAGTGTTTGTCGGTGGGATTATTTTTTCGTAAAGGTAAATACTGGAAATCAAATAAAGTGGAAAATGTGTATATGGTATCTGCCTGAAAATTATAAAATTTTTTGCAGAATTGAAAAACGATTCTCATATATTTTGCAAAAAATTAAATCAATTTGCATAAAATAAATTTTAATTTAATATTAAAGCAAATATTTATGTTCTTTCCGTATTAAACTAAACTAATATAAACTTTATTATTTTATTATCAATTTTTCATTAGAAAATTTGATCGGACTAATTGTTTTTCAATATCTTAATCCTTTTCTTTAAAAAAGCCCAGTAATTCTTAAAAGATTAACTTAAAGGAGATAATTTAAGCATCACAAAAACGAAATTCTAAAAAAAGGATAATCTTAGGAAATTGCTTCTTAAGCATAATTTTAATGTATCCAATATAAAGAAAACATTCGCTTTATAAATACAAAAGACAAACAAAGCCAAGAATCTTTGATTCAACAACATTTCGATCAGATTTTTTCCTTCGAATTTTTATAACAGCAAGTAATTGTCCATCTAATGAATATTTTTCAGACTTTTTTCTTTCCGATATCAGTGCACTAGCATACGGATTTTCTAGATGATGTCGTAATTCCAGTGGTCGGCCAGATATATGATTCTATAAAAAAAACTAGTTATTTGAAACTAGTAGTTATTTGAATACTCATAATACTTGCACTAGTCGGATTGGCGTATTTGCTTGATAATATGATTCTTTTCAGCAGAGGGTGGATAAAAATAAAGGTGTGACTTTAGTAATCATCGAAATTAAATGAATTAAATGAACTTTAAATGAATTAAAATTGCATATAAAATCAAAACTGGTTGAAAAAAGTCAAATAATTTGTTATTAGTTTGAAGAGACCATAAAAAATAAAATGAAGGAATCTTATTAATTGAATATTTCATGCCGTCTAAACCATAAAAAATTTTCAATCTGAACATAACAAAGTTTTAAGATATAATAGACCTTAATATTTCGACTAATCCGAATTTTCTAAATACTTAAATTAAAAAACACAAAAAGGACTGAAAAACTGAAACTACAATTAAATGAAACTTGCGAACAAAATTTATCAAAAAATACATCTTAAATATTAATATTAAATTATTAAATATTTGTGGAAAAAAAGGCCATTGGGGTCTTCCACTCTCATGAAAACTGCCTTGCTTTGACAATCTCCTCCTCACTGATCCTTGATTGGTCAGTAATTGTTATATTGATAAGACAAATTCTGGTTCGAATGCATCTACCATTTTTATGACACCACAGCTTTTTGCTTTCGTCGTTTCACGACAATAAACACTTATTTTTATTATTATTTATGAACGAATTAGTGCCATACTTTACTTTACTTTATTATCTTGGATCCATTTCAATACCAAACGGCCGACGAAATTCCAGGCCATCAACTCAGGAATCGTCGCGAAATAAAAACGAAAACCTGCATTTATCTAGCTATGTTGCGCAAAATTCTACCATGCGCCTGCGAAACATGGCTAATGAAAGTGGAAGTTTAGAAAGTCACCCACTTTTGACCATTCCTGCCTAAACTGCGCGTCCATCAAGCAAACAGTTTTCACATGGCTTCTCGCTAAGCTCGCCGCAAGAATTAATACAAACCTCACCACTCGCTGATGCTGAATCTTATGGTGCGCCAACAACTATAAGTGGCCCAGCGGCAGATGGATGGACCATGGGAAAATGAGCAGTCTTCGTCGCTTTCTGTCTTTGTCACTGGCCAAACTCTTAGAAGCGCCCAATCCTCAGTATTGGCAACAAAAAAATATTCGCAATAATTATTTAATAAATATTTATAAATATTAACTATTTTTATTTAATAAAATTGGAATTTAGCAGTGAAAAAAAACGAACGAACCGATGAAATTGTTTGCAATCCACCTAGAGTTTCAAGTGCTTTTTCAACATTTTTCACGCATCCCGGATAAGAAACAATTACAAAATCACCGTTCAAAGACGATTCACACATTTTTCAGCTAACACAAAAAAATTCGAAAAGATACAGATTTCCTACCTTCGTTATAAGACCAATTACAATTCAAAAAATATTTCAGAGTATCTTTTGCGAAAAGTTTTAAGAAAATGAAAATTAATGAAAATTTATAAAAAATTTTCTCAGAAATTTTAACACAGAATACTACTGTACTCTGGTGAATTTATAATCTAATAAGAATTGTATAATTTTAAAAATAAAAGCAATCAAAAATAATTTTTTTGATCTATGGTGAAAGGGTCAGACACATTTGATACTGCGTCTGCGTCTCCCGACGCGCATGATACTTTGAACCCGGTGGTACATTCGATAAGTTTACAATCCGGGCTTAAAGCAATCCCAAGGATGATAAATAAAATGTGCTCTCAAGCCAGGGTAATTGCTCGAAACCTATCAAGAAGAGGAACAGTTCTCTGCATACGCGGCGAGGTATTAGCCGCATCAGCGTGGAACGTTAAAACACTTATGGACGTTGCAAGCCAAGCGATTAACACCCTGTCCAAGTACCGTGTGGATATTGGATATTGCCCAGAGGTCCGTCTTCCTCACTTTGGGTCTCGAGAAATTATTAATCCTGGTTCAGAGAGACTGGCTATATCACTGTAGTGCTTCGAATAACTCAGGACGAAATGGCGTAGCGATCGTCATGTCTGACAAGGCCCACTGATTGAGTGGAAACCGGTAAACAACCGTATGGTCTATGTCCGTTTTAAGGGTAAGTTCTGCAATATCGGTCTCAGTGTCTATGCTCCAACGCTATCGGCAGATGACCGTGATAAAGATAAGTTCCATGCGGAACTTCAACTACTAACAAATACTCTACCGAAACATGGTTATAATCGGAAGAGACTGGAATGCTCGCGTAGGTCATAATACAGTTGCGATGACCTCAACAATTGGTAAATATGGCATCGGAGACCGGTGTGCCAATGGGAACGTCTTCTTCGTTATGCCGAAGAGTATGAACTTTTTATTACTAATATTTTCGGAATTACTTCCGGAATTATAGAAAACATTTAGTCACGTGGAACTCCCGGACAACCAACACTTCAACCAGATTGATTATATCTTAACCAGTCGCGTTGGAAGAGTTCCGCACTAGATAGTCGTTCCTATCGCGGATCTGAGACGGGCAATCTTCATGGATCTGACCATGTTATGGTTCGAGCCAAGATCCGCATAAAATTGACAACTCGCAGAAAACACCATCCCCCCCAGTTCCTTCAACTATCTCAAATTAAAAAATTCGGGGGCATTGAGCGCATTTCAAACCGAATTATTGAAACATCTCAATGATACAAATATCAATGATTTTTCTGGAACGGCAAATGAATACTGGTCCAAACTAAAGGAATGTCTCCGAACATCAGCCACTTCCACGCTAGGGTATACTAGTAGGAAGTGCGCTAGTTGGGTATCGGAAGCAACTGTCTGAAAAAGCTGCCAAAGCACGAATGTCAGGTGATCCTGACTACCGGTTGCTTCAAAGATTTGCAACGAAAGCAGCAAGGCGATACAGAAATCTCTATTGGAGTGACATGGCTTCAAGAATGGAGGTGGCGGCTCGATTAGGCGACAATAGGAAACTATTCTGCCTTTTTCATAAACAAACTATGACTCGAAGAACGATCAGTGAAATGGTAAGAGATAGCAATGGCGTAATTAAAAGTATTAAGGATCGCCTCATAAGGTGGAAAGAATTCTTTGAGGCCAAACTTAACCATGAAGCGCCATCTGTTGCTCCTGATATAGCTTTGCAATTGTGGGCCTCCAACAGAAGAAAAAATTTCAGTTATCCATAAGCTTAAAGCCAACAAAACTCCAGGAGAAGATGGTCTTCGGGTTGAGCTTTTCAAATGCTATTCATTGTCCTTCATAAGGCACCTTCAACAAATGTGCTCTTTAGTATGGAAAAAAAAAATATTACCAGATGATTGGAGCAAAGCAATTCTGCTCCCAATTCTCAAGAAAGGTGATAGTCATGCTGCGACAATTATCGAGGAATCAGCCTATTAGATGTCTCAGCAAAAATTTTTGCTTCCATGCTACTCAATAGACTTATGGAAGTATGAGACAGCAGGATGCGCCCTAATTAAGCCGGATTCAGATCGCGGTGCGGTTGTGCTGATCAGATATTCACGTTAAGAAGGGTGTTGAAACATCGCTTCAGATATTTGCAACCCACTCTCACGTATTTCATCGACTTTGCGGCTGCCTTTGATTCAATTGAGAGAACGGCGCTTTGGAGGATGATGGAACGTGACGGTGTTCCAGAGAAAATCGTTAGACTCATAAAGGCATTTTATGAGCGCACATCGGCGCAGGTCTGTGTATATGGGGAGCTGACAGATTCCTTCGAAATAAGAACAGGTGTCCATTAGGGCTGCGCCCTTTCCCCCACAATATTCAACTATGCGATAGACTGGATAATGGACACCGCTTGTCGGCACTCAAAAGGTGTCCAAATCAGTCGAGAGCATCGTATAATAAAATGTTGAATACGCTGATGATGTCTTTTTTGCTGATAGTTACAACGAAATGCAAGTAATACTAAATAACGTGTCAGAAACTGCAGCAAGAATCGGGCTCAGGATCAATGTAAATAAAACGAAAAGTCTTTTCGTCTTATATGCAAGAAGCTGATAAAAAGCCTCTTTTTGTAAATTCATTGCCGGTTGAGGAAGTGCCTGATTTCAAATACCTTAGATCCACTCTAATACCAAATGGACAGGCAAAAGATGATATTATAACTCGAATCACGGCAGCTAGAAATGCGTTCTTCCGGTTGACGAAATCTTTATGGAACCGTCGCGAAATCACCATAAAAACGAAAGTCCGCATCTATATAGTCGCAATTCGTTCTATCTCTCTATACGGCTTCTTATGACCAGTGGAGTGGAGTGGAGGATGTTAAGAAATTATCCGTCTTTGACCACTCTTGTATATTTTACGGGTTCGCGAGCGGATAAAATCTCACTAGATCGCATCCGCCTTCGTTCAAATACCACTTGCATAAATAATGTTATCACAGAGCGCCGCCTTACATTCTCCATCGTCCACCACTCGAGTTGACGCATATTTCGTTATTTGCTAAACCGTGTGACGTCAAAAGCGAGATGGGCCAATCAAGACCTGGACTGATACGGTAAGAAAAGATTTTGAACGTATAGGTGGACCAACAATATATGGAATTAGACGATAGAAAAAGGAATGGCTTCCATCACTGTCGACGATGGCATCAGACCGCGCCGCTTGGAAGTGTCTTACCCTTGTAGCCGTTGGAGCCAGCTTAACCAGTAATGGTGAGAGTAATGGTAATGCTGTTAGAAGAAGAAGAAGAATTTTTTTGATCGCAGAATAGAATGCAAATGCATATAAATTATTTATTTCTCCTTTGTTTTCTATATTTTAATATATTTATAAGCGTTTTGCATGAATATTTGTTGGAACTTAGACGTATCGGAAGACAATGGTCAGCTGGATTCTACGAACGGATTTGGGGTCCATGGCGATGTTTTCTAGGCTAAAAGCCTCATTTGAGGCGGATGAGGTGAATAATCTGAATGGACGAATAACCCTTTGCAGTCATGTCGGTTTGTTTTGCTACCGCTCGATTGGCTGAACGAGCGAAATCTCCATTTTTATTTCAGTTCTAAAATCTTGCTATTTGCTACTCCACTAGGGTCGATGGATTTTATACGGAATGGCCTGGTAATTCGGCAAAAAAAGCCTAGCGACCATTATTTTGCAATTTGATGATTATTCCGTGGCAATTTTGAAGTTATTCTGTTGCGCTCGATTTCAGATTTCTTGGCCTATTATGCGATGAATAATTCCGTAAAATTTAACGTAGATAATTGTAGATCCATAAATCAGCATTAAACTGTGGAATGTGCTCACCATTTTTGCCTAGGCTCATCTCACTGTCTTAGCTGGACCAAACTAATTTTCTCACTCTAAGAATTTCGTTGGCTATAAGTGTAACGATTGCTGGTACCATTAGTTTGCGAAAGACCAGTTTATTATTGTTGTTGGAGATGGAAGCTGTTAGCAGCATTAGCGTCCCCAAATGATAACAATGAACCATTTCACATCTCTAAAAAAAGCACATGGTGACTTAATTATGCGCATTCACGCTTTCACGCTTTAATGTTTTTTTAATTATTTTTTTTTGCGAAAATTAATAATTATAATATGAATCAATAATTATATATAAGAATTTTCTTTAAAGATGTAATAAAGAATAAATTTGCTAAGCAAGCAATGAGAACATATTGAACTCGCAAATGGAAAACCTCTCGAAATTTTCTAAATTAAAGTAAAATTCTCAAAAACCTCAATTCAGCTTTGGGAATTCTATTGTGAATTAGTTGTATAATTTTTTAATATCGTTCGCAGTCCAATCACCGCGGGATTTACGACCGAAATGGCAGAAGCGAAACGAAACGAATGGCTCCCCGTAGAATTTAAATACGTCAAAAAAAAGGCTAATTAATTGTGGAAATTTTTTTGAGATAAAAAGATATAATTCAAAATTCCTTCAAACATTCCCTAATAAGTCTCATTTTAATTCCCTAATAAATCAAATTTTTTTCCAAAAAAATTTTTCAAAGAGGTTTTTTCTTTCATTTTTTTATCGTTAACGCGCAGATAAATTAAATTGAATTAATTACATTGGATAAATTTTAAAAAAACTTTAAGAAAATTTTTTTTGCAAATTGAATGATTAAATACGATTTAATTTTATTAATTTATTAAGTCAGTGAAAAAATAAAACTAAAGTTTTCATTTTAGATTTATTAAATAAATAAATATTTCCAATAAATAAAGATAAATGTAAATATTTTAATTAATATCAATAAATTAATATTAATAAATTAATTAATATTAATGAAATAAAAACTTTTTTGCGGAAAGTTTTCTTTTTTTTGCCATTCAACGAATTCCTTAATGATTTTACAGATTGAATTTCTAATTATTTCCGAATTCATTAAAATTTCATAGACCTTAAAAAGTGGCGTAAATGTTTTCTCCTTAAAAAGTCTAAATGCATTTCTATAGAAAAGTTTCTTTTATTCAAATTGCTTGAAGCTTGAATATCAGTAATTTGAATTTATTTTTATAAATTTAAAATATAAAAGGATGCACGAACTTATCTTTAAAAATGAAATTAATGGGTGGTAGTAATTTTTTCCTCCAAGTGACTTGAACTAAGAAATACTGCCAGATGAGGAAGTGCAAAGCAATTCCCAATTCTTCTCAGCGCAAATTTTTGCATCCCTTTTATTCATTAGGGACCGACGGATGCGCCATAACCTGGGTTTAGACCGGGGCACGCTGACCAGATATTCACGTTAAGAAGAGTGTTGGAACATCGCTTCAAATATTTACAACGCACTATTATATGTTTCATCGACTTTGCGGTTGTCATCGATTCAATTGATACTTTGGAAGGTGATGTGATGAGTGTCCCAGAAAATATCATAAAGGCGTCATAAGTCGGCACAGGTTTGTATATATAAGGAATTGACAGATTTCGAAATAAGAGCATGTCCGTCAGGGCTGCGTCTTTTCCCCTACAATGTTCAATTATATGATAGATTGGATGATGGGCATCGCTTGTCGGTCCTCAAGAGGTGCACAAATCAGTCGAGAGCATCGTATATAACAAAATGTTGAATACGCTGATGATGTAGTTCTTTTTGCTGACAGTTATCGAAATGCAAGTAATGCTAAATAAATGTGTCAGAAACTGCAGCAAGAATAGGACTCAGGGTCAATGTAGAACGAAAGCCTTTTCGTTTTATGTACAAGAAACTGATAACATATCTGTTTTTATAAAATCTAAACTTTATAAACTCTTCGGCAGTTGATGAACTGCTCGATTTTAAATAGAATCCACTCCAATACCAAATGGCCAGGCAAAAGACGATATTATAGCCCGGATCACAGCACATTAAAAATGAGTTCTTCCGGTTGACGAAATCTTTATGGAACCGTCGCGAAATCACCATAAAAACGAAAGTCCGCATCTATATAGTCGCAATTCGTTCTATCTCTCTATATGACTTCTTATGACCAGTGGAATGGAGTGGAGGATGTTAAGAAATTATCGGTCTTTGATCACTCATGTCTAAGGTACATTTTATTTCTTCGAGTGGATAAATCTCAGATCATCAACCTTCGTTCAAATACCAATTGCATTAACAGTATCACTATCATAGAGGGTGGTGGACCAATGAAGACGTGGATTGATACAGCCAGCTTTGGTTGATGGTTGATGCACATGCATGGCTAGATTATATATATGATGAACCAATTTATATGACTTTTGACATAATTAAGAAGAAAAATCCCAAGTTGAACGTATAAACGTATAAAGCGATATATGAGCGCAAACAATGGAAAGGGGAAGAAAAAGGAATGACTTCTATTACTGTCAACGACGGCATCAAATCGCGGAGCTTGGCAGTGTCTTACCTCTGCAGTGGATTTAGCCTAACCAGTAATGGTGAATGGCGAACCAGTAATGGTGAGAAGAGGGAGAGGGAGATTTGAACGATTTTCATCTCACCAATCATTAGTGTTAAAATAAGCGTTAAAAAAAAATTATTAGCTGAAAAATAAAAAAAAATAAAAACAAAAAAATTTCATTATATTTATTTTAAATGAATTATTAAATAGTTTTAAGAAAATTGATATCGAAGTAAATTTAATAAATTATTAGTTAAATTTATATTTTATTTAAAATATCAAAATTTTCCGTTTTTTCTATATAATTTATATTGAAATTGTTGAAGAGGGCGTTCACTCAATCGTTTACTAATATTATATATTTCAAATGTAAATTTTAAATGGTGTATGGTCGAGTAATAAATTATTTCTAATAATAATAAATTTTGTTTTTAAAATTCAATTATTTCTACGTGAAGATTATATACATTGTGAAGGTGGTGGGTCGATGGCTCAATAGAAAGGTAATTGCCACCGAGAACCGAAGTTTAGGTACCGAATCGGTCCAAAACTACACACTTAGCCTAGCGGAAAAAAGCAAAAAAGGCGAGTAGAATGGCTCAGTGGCTTATTGCCCAATTTCGAGTGCCAATGCTGAGGCTCTACTTCCGGCAGGCGTATATCTGTACAAAAATCTGGGTGATGCTGAGGTTCACCTATTTGTATCGCCAAGGAGACTCCCTGGGACTCTATATTTCTCTTGTGCGATGAGCCAGAGGAGCGAGTCTGAACAAGAAATGGTGAGTGCTCGTGAAAAAACAAAAATATGTGTGTGAAAATTAGTTGAACGAGAAGAACTTATATTTACGTGAAGCGTTAAATTAGAAATTATTCGTCTTTTTTTCATTTTTTATTTTTTAAAGGTGAATTCATCGAAATATATTCGTTGATATATACGTTGATTTTTCGATTATTTATAATATATTAAAAAAAAAAAACTAAATTTAGATTTGAAAAAAAAGTTAAATGAATTTAAGTGAAAATTTTATCGAGGAATGCGGATTTTATGAAGGTTATAGTGAAAAGCGATTTTCCATTATTATTTTTGCATCGATTATATCAATTTTTGGATTTTTTGCAAATATTGTTGGTTTTTTTATTCAAATCATATTTCTCATTGTTTTTGCTTTGAAAATGGATAACAACTTTTTCCCTTTCCTACACAAATCTCAGCTGAACAACGCCGATAAGTAAACCATTCAACATAAATAAATAAAATTTATGCACATTTAACTGTCGTTGAATGGTTCTACGTTGGTTGAATCGCATTCATAGACATACTGGTTAACCCGGCCAGATGATAGCAATTATCGTAGATTTGACGTGTTCCGCGTCTTTTGACAAGGATAAGTGAATCTGTCATTAAAAGTAAGTAAGTTTAAACTAGAAGAAACGAACTATCCTTATAATCTTAATTCTTATTTTCTTATTTTCATAAAACTGATAAATGATAAGAACTAATTATGGAACAAATTTTCAGTTATTATTGATAATATTCATTCGTTCATTACCAAATAGTATATATTTAACAGTGATATCATTATTAGATTGCTTATTATGCATCGTTTATATATTATTGTTTGGAATTGATGCAAGCCTTGTTTTCCTAAAAAATGAAACATTATTTATCGCTTATCACACCTATATAATACCCGTATTTATAATAAGTCGAATAACACAATTCGCTATGCCTTATATGCTTATTTTGGCGACATTTGAGCGATTTTTGTGGACAGTCGGCAAGCGAACGAGGTTATCTCCTTTTTTACATTTTTTAATCGACTTTTTTTCTAAATTTTCTATTGAATTGTTATTTCAGAGAAAGATTATTATATTTGTGCAGCATTCGTGGGAAATATATTTCAGTTACATTAGTAATATTAATAAGTATAATTTTACGTTCACCAATCGTTTATGCAATTGAGGTTTGTTTCTTTTTATTAATATAAAATGCTTTTTCTTTTGAAAATTATTTTAAATAGAATAAAATAATTGATTTCTAAATAAGTGCAAATGCATAAATGCGAGAAAAAAAGATAGTCTTAAAAAAAAGGAAATTCGAAAAATTTTAAGAAAAATTTGAAAAGAATAATTTTACTAAAAAAAATCGACCAAAAGACATTCATATGTAGAAGTAATAATAAATTGGATTTTTTATTGATAGAATTTTTTAAAATTGAATTTATATACGGTGAATTAAGAACGGAAATGAAATGAAAGAAACCTTTTCAGTTGAGGAAAAATTTTTATAAAAAGAAAAATGAACGAAGAAATTTAGCAAATTTACGATGCTCAACTGAATTTTTTTTAAAAACTGCTCCTAAGCCTGTTAGAAAAAAGATTATCAAAATGATTGTATTTAAAAAATAGTAAGGATTGACAAAAAAGTTATCTCGATTAGTTTCTGTTACAAAAATATATTTGCCCTTTGGTTCGCTTCTATTATCCAATTGATTATCATAGATTGATCGAAAAACGTTTGATAAAGATAACTGTAAAAATTTTATCGAATTTTAGAATTCATTAAAATAAAAAACAACTTTAGAAAGTAGTTTAAGAGAAATAATTTTCGATATTACTTTTAATTTGCTAAATTTATTTAAAATAATATTTAAATAAATTTCATTTGTTTGATTGTTTGATTTGTTTGATTTTGTTAAATATTCATGCGAAAGGCTATGTGAAAATTAGGTTGGTTAAATATTTTTAGCGTTACACGAAAATAAATTAATTGTCAACTGACTTTTGCTAATTCTAAAAATTATCATTTGTTTTTTGTTTGCAATTTTTAATAATTTTTTTCTCAAATCCAGTTTCGATGATTTTCGAAAATTTGCAAATTTATTAATAGAATAAAATTTGCATTAAATCCATTAATTTACTGCAATCCTTAGCGACCCATTTCTCTGACACAAAATATATAAATATTTCTTTAAATTCTTTTTTTAGGGAAATATTCGTGGTTGATTGGCTAAAAAAAATATACATTTAGGAAATGAGTGATGAAATGAATTTTCAGTAATTTTAAAAGATTCGATTCATTTACACTGAAGCATTGGAATTTGAAGTGTTCGCACTTCCATGCTTGTTTTTATTTACCTATTAATTTACCATTTTTCAAGGCTCTTTACTTAATTAGTTTTCAACGAATTCATTTTTAAGGAAATTAATGAATTTGCGAAATTTTATTTTCGGTTAAAAAACGAGTTCATTTTACAGATGAAAATCATTTTAAATAATATAAATTCAATAAGATTTATTAGAAAATTTTATTTTTGAAAAATGAATATTTTTATTTCATTTAAAATAAATTTTATGCAGCTGAAAAGATGAAAAAATTGATAAAAAATGATCAGAAAATGGGAAAAATGAGGAAAGGGATTTTTTTTTAATTTGCGATAATTATTTCTATATGAATATTATCGAATAAAAACAATATTTTATAATTTTGTAAGTTTTTGAAATTTTGAAATTTTGGATGCAATATGATCCATTCGAAAATTCTCACTCTCTTCGAATCACTAATGGGGTTGTTGAAATCGCTTTTGGTAGCGAAAATTTTCCAAATTTTCGAATCCAATACTGCATGCACGTGTAATTTAATATTTCTTTTGCAACGAATGCCTCTGCATATTGTTCTATTCAATATTAGGTTTTTCACTTGCACATTTTCGTGAGATTTCGTGCAATGGCGAAGATTATGAACAAAATCGAAATGCATTCCCGCCTCATCCCGTGGTCATATTCAGCCAAATCAAACAAAGCTATTAGATGTTAGAAGAAAAAATATAGGTTATAATTATATGAACAGGTCGCATCCCCTTTAATTCTATCACTTGAAGTACCATTTGAACGTTTATAGGGAAATCTGCTACTTAAACAATATTGAAAGCTATATTAAATTTTTTCTCTAGTAAAAATTATCGTGCTCTAATTAACTCGAATGAATTTGTTGATTTAGTAGCTTGATGCGTCGGTGACTGAATAGCAAGACAAGTGAATTGAGGCTCGGGTTTGAATCCATCGACACCATTCTTGCAGCATTCTTTGCAGTGAGGCAGAGTCGCTTAACGGCGAAAAACGAGAATGGAGTGACTCAATGCGTTGTTGTTGCTCAGTTGAGAGCGTTGATGCTGAGACCAGCAGGAATAAACCTGTCTAGGAAACCTGAGTGATTCACCGGTACTTCTATCGCCAAGGGACTCACTGGCATATTTGTACAGTGCGGCAAGCCAGAGCAGCGAGTCTAACAAGCAAATGGTGAGTGCCATTAGTGTAGTGATTGAATGTCGTATTATATTAAAAATGTCATAAAAATTATTTTCTTATTAAATAAATTAAGAAAACATTAAAATGTAAAAGAAAAAATCATCTGTTTTCGACATATCATTTGTTAATTCCACTTCTATTCAGTTAATCGAATTCTTGGTAAAAATTATCGAATTGTGGAGGCAGTAGTCGAGTGCTCATTGCTTAGTTTATCGCCCAAGCACCAAAGCTCGACTCCACTTTCGATTAAATTAAGGATATTAAAGAGCCTCACGGAGATATTTGTGCTTTTAAGGATAAATTTTTTTGTTAAAAACATGAAATTTTCGAATTTAGCAGTTAAAGCCGATTAGGAAATTGGTTAAAGCTGAACGAACAAATGAATTTTTGAAATCAATGAAGTTAACATTTTCTTTTCTTATTTTTAAAATACAAATTTTCGATTAAATTTTCCTTTGCAAATTATTATTTGTTAACTTTAATAAGAAATAAAAATTAATAATTATCAAATTTTTTCCAATTCTTTTTAAATTTTTCAACTTATTTTTTTAAACTCAGATTTTATTTTTTGCAAAAAAAATAATTTAGCGAATGCAAATTTGGAAATAAATTAAACTAATTTATTTTTTCCGATTCTAACTAAATGGAAAAATGCAAATAAACATTTATTGAGAAGACATTTAAAATGGCGTGGACGAATTTTGAACTCATAAAAATTTAAAAAATTTCTGATAGGTTATCAATAATTTCTGAATTCTGATTTATGACATTTTATAACTATAATTATACATTTTATAAAATTTTATATAATATATAATAAAAATATAATAAATAAAAGTTCTCTAACTGTATAATATTAAAAATATAAGTTTCATATATAATAATATATAATATAAATATAAAAATAAAAATATCACAATTCGCAATTTTTAAAAACAACGAAATCACATTTTTTTGATACATTTAATAATAATAAAAAAATAAATAAATTTAAATTTAATAATAATAAAAAATATATAATAAATATATATAAATATAATAAAAATATATATATAAAATATAAATATATTAATAGTAATAATAAATGAATTGCCCTTTTTGGCAATATTTTTACCATTTTGATTCGTTCTATTAAAATTTATTTCCTATTTAAATTATTTAAGGTTGATTGGCTACAAGTGAACCAATAAGTAGTTTGTCACTTGTGATATAATATGAATTCAATAAAATAATTTGAAAATTTCTTCGGTCACAGTTTTTGATGAATGAAATAATTCTTTTTTAATTAATTGAAAATAAATTAAAACTTTTGAAATAAAAAATTTATTAATTTGTGCATTTTTATTTAAAAAATCTCTTTAAAAAATTAATAAAAATTTTCACACTGAAAAATTTTCACTAATATTGATAATAAATAATATTTAAATCTAAATTTGATCATTAATAATTATCAATATTAATTATTAATTAGAAACAATAATAGAATAATGAAACTAATTAATTTACAGGTGAAATCATTCTTGAATTGTTCGGATTTTTTTCGAACGATGTCCGTTTCACCAACGAATTGGGCAATCGACAATAAAGCATATTATATTTTTGATTTCCATGTGATATCCTTTATTCAAACTTTACTTCCATTTATAATTCTTATTTGGCTAAATGCATTTATCGTTTGGAAATTATTACGAGCAAAGAGGAAACGTGTAAATCATTTTGCATTTTCTTATATAATAAATTATTCTATTACTTTTTAAAAAATTGGAATAAAAAAAAACAGGTGAAAAATTCGGATTAAATAAATTCGAAATTAACGAATTAGCGAAAAAAATTGCGAATATTTCTTACGAATGGAATTGGAAAGATAAATTTTGAAGATCTATGAAGTTTTAAAAAAATCGCGGACATCAAATGCATCAAATGCGCCGATCAAACAGCAGTATTCGTCTACAGAAGTACCAACGAGAAGGTCGGTAGAAATTCAAGAAAATTTACTAATTATGCAAATTACAACTCAAATTCTTCGACAAATAGTTTATAAAAGGTATTTAAAAGGATTTTTAATCAAATTTTTCAAATAGAAATTTTTTATGAACTAATAAAACAAATAAGAGAAATTATTATTATTTTGAATAGGTTGGGAAAAAAATAAAGAAATTATTAAAAATTTAAATTTCAGTTATAATTTATTTATAATTTAGCACTTTTGTCGAAAAGTGGTGTTATAAACAGGCCAACGGCGCTAGAAAAAAATTCTAAGAGAATATATATAATTTTTGCTTAACTGAATACTTCACGAGATTGACAAGTAAAACGAATTAGCTTTAAAAAAAACCGGAAGTAAAAAATAGTTACAGTGGATAAGTGCCGAGTCGCTTTGGCCAAGTAGCAATCTCGATCGGTTCGATTAAATCCCTCTTAAATTCAAGCAGATGTTGGGCATCCACTTGTGCATCTATCTTGTGGATTTTCTGCTGAGAAGACCTCTCCAGTGATCAGCTGAACAAGCCAAAGTCGAGACGGTTCTATTAGAAGAATACTGTTTTATGATTATTGTAAAAAGCTTATCAGTTTTTATCAGTGCTATCAAAAGATAATAAATTTTAAGCTCAATAATTCTAAGTGATATCGAGGAAATATTTGAGGATATAACATAATTACAGAAAATATAAATTATTTAATTTAATTATGAAGAAATTATTTATAAATTTTAAAATTATTTGAAAAAAATTTTGGAGAAGCAATAGTTGTGATTTTTTCTATTTCTTAGTCAAAGGAATAATAGAAAGCAAGAATTAAAAAATGCGATTCATACGATGATAGCAATCGTCAGCTCGTATCTTATATGCAATACTTTGCATTTGCTATTAACCGTACTCGAACGAACTGGTTCGGATGTCTTAGTCGACGATGCAGATCCAAATATTAGCTCGAGTTTTTATATAGGTTGGCTATTTAAATTTATTCCTAATTTCTTCTAAATATTTGTGGCAAATGGCCAAACGCCTACCACCAGGCAAAAATGCCAAATAAATAACATAATAAATTATATATTAAATATAAATAATAATAAATAGTAATAATAATAATTAATAAATAATCATTTGAGATTATTATTGAAATTTGAAATTTCCTTTAGTATAATCCTAGAAAGCAAAATAAATATTTCATCGAAAATTCATAAAATTGGTCAAAAAATTGATATTTTCGGAAGAAAACATTTGATGTAATGAATGCAAAATTGGCTAAAGGGCGAATTCAGAAATATTTACAAATATTAATTTTCGATTTTTCGATTAATCTTTACGAGAGCGTTTATATGAAATCTTTATATTTATAATAGTAATAGTAATAATAAATAATAATAACAACAATAATAAGAAAAATATTAATAATAATGATAATAATAATAATAACAGTGATAATAATAATAGTAGTAATAATAATAATAATAGTAGTAATACAACAATAATTAATAAATAGTCAATAATAATTAAGAATAATAAAATTGATAATTAAAAATCTCTTCAATGATTTTCGTTGTAAATTGTTTCTTTTATGCAATTTTTTCGCTAATTTATTTTTATTTATTTATTTAAAAAAGAAAAGGGTCGACAAGCGCTTTTTTTAAGAACATTCACCATCATTTATTAAACTCGCCCCTTAAACTTTTCGCACTAAACAAATGGGAATCCCTTGGAGATAGTACAGGTGACTCTCCAGATTTTTGGACAGGTTGCCCTGCCAGGAGTGGAACCTCAACATCAGCGTTTTGAATTCAGGCACAACCCACTGAACCATTCTATTCTTCTTTGTTTTTCTCGGTTAGGCGAGAGCAAATGAAGGGTAATGCGTCGACGGATTTATAACCAAATTTCCGCCGGCAATCACCGCTGAACCACTGACTCATTAAGCGCCACTGTGATTATAAAAATAAGCAATAAAAATAAAATAAACAAAAGCGATCTAAAAACTAAATTTAAATATATTAAATATAATTATTGTTAATGCAATGGAAATTATCTAAATATTATTATTTATTATTATTATTGTTATTTTATTATTTGTTATTGATTATTATTATTTATTATTATTAATTATTATTATTATTAATTATTATTATTAATTACTATTATTATTATTACCATTATTAATATATTCGACCGAAATCGAAATATCATTAATTAATTCTAAATATCATTAATTTACTGAATACTTCAATAGTATCTAAACGTTTTCAAACTTAAAAAAATAGAAAAAAAGTAAACGTGAAGGAATATGAAACTGGAATAAGTTGATGATTTGTTTATGGATTGGCCATGGATGGACAATTTATTATTGCTTTTTTTATCCTTCGCCCAGTTGTTATTTGTTATTTTTATTTTATTTTTATTATTATTTACCGTTATAATATTAAAAGTTAGTTCGACTTCATTTGCTATTTTATATTTCATTATTAATTAATTAATTGCCATCAGCATACGGGCTCAGCTGTTTTGAAATAATAAATATAAGTAGTGTAATGACTGTGGGTAGAATAGCTCAGCAGATTACTGCTCTCATTCCGGATCCGCCGAGATGTACTCTCCGTAGGAAAAGCCAAGTGATGCTGGCGACTTACCTCTTCTTCTGTTCCGAAACAAGCAATAATAAATGATTTTCAAGCAAAATCTATCTGGTCCAACAAAACCAGCGGACCATACCTAACCAGAAATTTCTCAAACCAGAAAAAAACAATGATATTTAGCGCTAATAATAAAATAACTATAAATATAATAAGCAATGATTTCAATAATAACTTTAAATTATTTATATTTCAGCGTTTTCGGACACAGTAAGCTTTTGTTATATGTTTGCGAGCGCTATACGAATTATCATTTATTCCAAGTGTAATCATACAATTCGTAATAATATCAAAGAATTTCTTACAGAATTCAAAACTTTTAAACGCTTTTTTTGTATAATTAAAAGTAACCATCGTGGTGGCATTCACATTTAAAAAATTATTAAAAGTTATATAATTTGATTGGTTGTTAGTAATTTTTTTCCAAATATACAGCATTTCATACGCATAAATTTGAAATCTGTGGCAGTTCGTTTCGGTAAAATTGATAAAATTGATCATCATTAATGATAAAATAAAAAATAATTTTTTAAAATTCAGAAATTAAGAAAGAAATTAAATTGAAATATAAATTGAATGTTTTTGCTTCATTTGCATTTTTTTGTTTTATTGAAATTAAATGTTTTTGCTTCATTTGCATTTTTTTGTTTTATTGAAATAATGTAAAAATAATTTTATGTAAAAATAATTTCTATAATTTGTTCTGATTTCTATTTCTTATTAAACAAAATTTCCCGCAAAATTTTCACACGAAATTTTTTTAATATTTTATAAATGTCATTACCGCAGTAAATTTATAAATAATTTATTAACAATGTTTTTTCTTTAATTTTTAATGTTTTTTGAGGTTAACTCATCCTTTTTATTTATCGAAATATTCCGATGTTACAAAAAACAAAAATAAAATATTATTTTTATTATATTCTTGGTTTTATTGTCAAACAACAATCTTATATATAGAACTGATTGAATTAATTCTGAAATAATTATAAGGCATTATTACCACTATTACCACTATTACCCATTACTGACATCCAATGTTCATCATGTTTTCGCTCGAAATTACCGTTAAGTAAGAAATTAAGTGAATTTCGATCGTCAATGACTACAAATAATTTTTGCATGAAAAAACAAATAAAATAAAAAGTTGTACTCACCATGAAAGTCAAAGAAAATAAATAAAAAATTAAAAAATCAGAATGGAAAAAATAATAATATATTCTTATATATTCTTTAAATGATAGCTAAGAAAACGAATCTTCACCACGTCCACTGCTTTCTAATATAGTTTCAGTACCGTGCAATATGTTTGTCGAAGCGTTGAAACTAATACCTTCACCCAAAATTTCTGCAGATGGTTCGCTATCACGGTTAATTTCCTAAAGTTATATCATTTTTCAACGGCACTATATGGCTGAATACCAAAATCAAATTAAAAATATTCGAATAAAAATTTATGAAATGTTTGAGTAACAATTGAAACCAACGTTTGGAATACTGAATTTCAATGAATTTCCATTTGCAATTCCATTTTCTTCATTAGGGATTTCCTTTTCTGAATCGATAACCGAAACAGCACTAATTTCCATCAATTTAACTAATTCAGTAACATTAACGCATTGTGAATAAAGTAGCTCCACAGGCAATGCAAGTTTTGTTTCCTAAAAATTTCATGGATTATTTATTATGTACAATTATGACTGAAAAAAGATTATGCTGAAGTGTCAAGAATGAATTTAAAAGGTACTAAATTCATTGAAATTGCATATTTATTTATCTGCACTAAAACATGAGCAATTTTCCGGTAACAAGTGGATGAGCAACCATAAAAAAAAATCCTCACATATTTTTCCAAACTGAGTGCACTGTGTAAGAAATGGCGACAACATTTCTCATACGGAAACAAAACGAAGAGGCACTGATTCATATATGGTACAAAATATTTTATGAGAAGCCGTACCGCTTTCGTGAAACTCTCCTTAATACAAGAGAAGAACAATTTATGGAAATAAATTGTTTTTTTCTTAAATATTCTTAAACAAAAAGAGGGAAAATAAGACAATTAATGAAGTATAGATCCATTTACCCTTACCAATTATTTACCAACAAGGAATTAGTAAAAATTTTACTTTGTGTTCAGCAACCTCTGAGAAACGCTCCAGCGAAATAAATACTGCTTTAATCGATTCACTTAAAATACTGAGCACATCTTTCATCTGAAATAGAGTTTATACAAGTAATTTCCAATGAAAAACTTAAAGGAATCCCAGTAAGCTTCAATGGCAACCAAATTAAATACCAAATCAATTTCCTAATTTGCGATAGATAATCCTCAACAACTACAGTAACTACAACAAAGGAACAGGTAGACTAATCAAATTAAGATTATAATGATGCTTCTATTCTTACAAAAAGAAAAAATTATATAGATATAAATTGAAAAAATTTGAAAAAACCTATATTCACATTCGAAAACCAGAAATACCTGCAAAAGCGAAAGACCATTCCTTAATTCATTCATTGCTTCTAACAACTCATTACCATAGATACAGAGATCGTCCCACAACGCTAAAGCAGATGGAGGAGATGGTTGAATAGAAACACTCGAATGTGCCAAAAATTCCATCTCTTCTATGTCGCCTTCAATAATTAATTTTTCAAGATTTGCAATCCTATAAAAATAAAATAATTCAAAAATAAAAAATTTGTCTTTTAAGTAAATAATTGCGCAAAGGTGAAAAAATGAAATTACTTTGATGTGGCCTTTTGTATTCTTTCAGTGAATCTCGCCATAGTAAATTCATGCATAACATTAGCAGTTTGTATTCTAAAGTCCATTCCCATGCTTCCAAAGGAAAATGCAAAGTTCATTAACTTGCTTGATAATGTCCCTACGTCAATGTTCGATTTATTTTCGACTTTCCTTTAACAAAAAGAATTTTAATTTTATAAAGAACATAAAAAAATTTATGTATTAGGTGATGACATGGAAAATATAATATAACTTAGATAAAGATTATTAAAATTTCGAAAAAAATGGTCTACAAAAAAATAGCTTACAAAAATAGAACATAGAAGTACCTAATAAATTCAAACAGTGAATCCAATTTCTGTATTGCCCACTCACTTAATATGGCAGATTGTTCTGTTTCCTGCCATACATCCCATCGTGGATTAACATTGGGCTAAAAAACCATAAAGAAATTATAATTAAGAACTGAAAAACTTCCAAAATTTGAATTCAATGATAAAATATGAAATTAAAAGCATCAAAAATCAAAAAAAACTCACATCACGTTTAATAATTTCACCATCAGGAAAAACTGCAAGGTATAAGACAATTGTATCATACATGCAATCTCGATAAACATCGACAACTCGAAGTATAAAATCTGGCTGCTCCTTAAAAAACATGCAAAGTAAAATCCATAAAAACTTTTTTCCTTTTACACAATCAGATTTGCATCAATCATTATAATAAAATAATAATAATATTTTATTAAATATTATTAAACATTAATATTATTAAAATATTTTAATAATTAATAATTAATTATATTCAAAAATAGAACGAAAAGAGAGAAAAATATAAATTTCAAATAAAAAAGATAAAAAATGATAAACCTTTATTTCTGATATTTGTTTCTCCAAATAAATATCACGATACTGAAGCACAGCCACCCGCAATTGAATAGCTGACAAATTAGGAATTTTGCGGATATTATTCATGATTTGAATACTAGTGGCCAGATCTATTGGCCCAGCGAATCTGTTAAATAGTTCATCAAGTAAATAATGGCGCGCTTCTATTATTTTGTCAACCACAGCCTGAACAATACTAAAACTGAACAATACTAATTATAATTTTAATTTTTCATTAACGAATTTCTGAAAATGGAGAAAAATGAATCATTTCAGGTTTTGACTATTTATCTATCTTTTTTCATACTATTTCACAAAAAATGAGTTTAACACATTTAAAAGACCAATGGTGATAACCTCACAATGAGTGAATATTAAATAACAATAGTAAATTATGAATACTAAAAGAAATTTATAAATAGAGAAATGAAAATAAACGAATATATTTTATTTTATGGAATGATAGAAACCTTAATTGCGGGATTTTTTGTCAAACCATGTTGTTGTAACTGAACAGCGCAATTCGTTATTGAATAAGCAATTTCATAATAACCAGCGCGTATGCAAATATCCATTCGCTTAAAATATTATTCGGGAATATTTCATTTCACTTTAGATTTTTTGGCATTTCATCTGATTATGACTTTGCAACTTCAATTTTGATTTTCCAATATTTTTATACCTTTGAAACCTTTCTATCAAATCAATATTTAAGCAAAAATTAAATGGAATCGGTGAAGGCTAATCTCTAGCAGCTTGGGAATTTCAATGAATCTTCCTATATAAAAACATCAGACATACCTATATAAAACAATAACATGGTTCTTTGCTTTCAGCCGAAACGCCATATATAAAAATGGTTAAAAGTAATTCTTTTAAGCAAAGAAATCAAATAGAATAAAAAAATTAAAGCACAAAAATTAAAATTACTTACGGCAGGTAACGAAAGAATATCCCAAAGATGCGACCTTTTTGATTCAGCAAGCTTCAAATAATTTAATTCCGTGAGAATTGCACTTTTCTTTGTATTAAATTCTTTTAGACTATTCCTAATTCCATCGATATCAGTATTTATCGAGTCCACTAGATTATCAGCTTGATAAAACTACAAATATCAGACTTTAATAGGTGTTTCAAAGCGCTAAAAAATAAATATTAGCAATAAAGTTAATATTAGTAATACCAAAAATAAAGCATCATTTAGAATTTTAAGAATTTAGGAAATAGAAAGATCGAAATGGAAATCTTAAAAAACATTAGAATGAAGAATGGCAATCAATAAAAGAATCAAGCGAAAATTGAATTTCCCTTGAATCTCCCAAAAGATTGCAGAATTTTTCCTCAATTTTTATGAATTCCTTGGTGCTAACAATTATTAATTAGAACTGATAAATGAAAAAATAAGCCAAATTTTTTGAATATTCAACAGTAATAAAAATTTTTAAAATAAATAATTGAATATTTCGAGGAAAAACAATGCTTAAAATAACTGCCGTTTTTCGACAATATTCAGTCGTACTGCCTGCATCTGCATAAATTCTATAGTTGTTATATGCTAAATCGCTAATTTGTTGTTGTATATGAAGAAGCTGCGATGAAATCGACTGCTTTTCCTTGCCTTTAATCAAAGAACTTAGAAAAATTATTATACAATTAAAATGAAAATATTTTTTGGTAATAAAACGAAACAATATAAATTTCAATACAAAAATTTTTAGTGTTCATTTATTTATTAAATAATTTCCTTATTACTTATTGTTTATTAATGAAATTTTTTATTTTTGTTGATATTTCAGAAAAAATATCAAAAATTTGAAGCAAAAAATTAAAAATCAAAAGTTTTGCCATAAAATGGAAATTTACTTAATCATAAATGCCTTTAAAAAAAGCAACGATAATTTCCGAAAATATCTTCGAAATTGCCGAAAAAATTTCGCTAAAAATTATTAATTTAAGTCGGAAAGACACTAAAGCAAATTTATAAATAAAGGAGAACTCACGCAAATGCTGAACGCTAAATTTAAACAATTCGTTATCGATATTGGAATACAAATCATTCATTTTAACTGAATTTAATATCTGAAAAAAAATCTAAGATTTCAACTTAATAACAAATTATTTTAGAATTGTTTATTAACAAGGAAAATTAATAAAAAATAAAATTTTGATAAAATGGAAAGAGTATAATAAAATTTATATAAAATAATTCAATAAAACTTCCTTAAAAAAAGCTTTTTTTCTTCTCCGAAAGGTTTCTTCAATTTCCGCAGAAAAATAATAAAAATAAAGAAATACTAATTTTATTAAACTAAATAATTAAAATTATCGAAGAAAAAACTCTTAAAAATTTAGATTTTCCAAAAAATTTTAATCGAAACGATGGAAATGATTGCAATAAAATTATTTTTTCTCGCTTTTAAAATAGAAAATTTCTCAGAATTTTTTTAAAAAAATTGTTTACTTAATAATTTTCCGAAATTTCAAAATTTTTCATTCGAATATTTTAATAAATAAAGAAATATGAACCCCATCCCTACACTTTCTCCTAGTTCAACAAATAATTGCGATACCAAGCCGATAAATAGTGAAAGCCAAAGCCGACGAATATACGTCTAGTGTAATGAGAAATCAGCTGAACTCCTCCGATTGTGAGGTCGTTTTCCATGATTTTTTCTTAAGTGGGGGGGGGGGGGGGGGGGGTTTTCTGGCAGGAAATAGCTTGAAGGGGAAACCGCCGGTGGATATTCCCGCAGCACCTGGGCATTCCATTGAATAATCTATTTTTTATTTCTTCACAAAATATAGAAATTATCGATATTTTAATTTATTACGACTATTTTATTCTGAAATCACAGGCAAAATGGATGAAAAACAACGATCTTCATATTTGAAAGTTAGTGATAAAGATGAGGGAAGGAGAATTCGGATAAATTTTTGGTGGCAATTTGCGGTCATTTTTGGCCAAAAAGAAATTATAGGCGAGTGATCAGTTATTTTATCAGTTATCAGCATTATGACGAGTTGTTAGGTTTGCATTTTATGGCGCTGGTTAGCCTTTTTAATTTCTTTATAAATCACATATGAAAATAATCTTCATTTTTGGCCGATGCTGTGGACTTCTTGTCCGACTTCTAGGATGCAGGTTTTTCGCCAGAGATTCGCTTAGAGGAAGAGAGGGGTATATATGAGTCTCCGACTGCCACTCGGGATCTATGGCAAATGCTATCCGCGGCTCATCCACTTTTTCTTTGAGGACCATTAACTTTTATCATCTGCGAAATACTTTAACTTGTCATTTAATATTCCTACGCAATAAAAGTAGGTAAGGAATGAAAATGATCGAAATTTTTATACAAACCACTGATGCTTTGATGCCTAAACGACTATAGTTTTGATAATTTCATATTCACTTGTTGCCAACCATTATTTTTATTGAATAAAGTGAACCTACAACCAGGTTGAGAAAGTGCCATCTATTGTATTGGTTATTCGTACTTTTCGTCGACCTGGCTGTGGGCCGTTTTAAAAAATAAGGCATACATGCAATTTATTGTATTATACAATAAATGTTACTGATTAATTGAAAGAAAGATTAATTGAACAGAAGGAGAAATTGAGATACGCTTTAATAAATAAGCCGAATAAATAAAATACGGTAGAAATTTGAGAAAAAAGCTAAAAGTGTACAAGAAAAAGGTAAAACAATAATGGCATGCCAAATTATTATTATTTTTCCACAGAAATTAAAACTTTACAAATAATTTTTCCATCTAAAAATTTGCATTTTCTGAAAATAGAATTAAAAATATTTTTTGATATAAACAAAATTTTTGCAAATATAAATAACCTGGAAAAATAAAATATATGGCAATCGTAAAAATCGAAATGGAGCAAGCCAATGCCTTTTTTGCTTAACCAATGGCCAATGAACTGAGCCAAACAAACGCCTTCTAACTTAGTGGCCAGTGGAATAAAGCCAAGCTAATAATGCGGTATATTTTCCATACCAAACTCAGTTCTTAAAATTCGCGTGAATTTTATTTAAAACAGTAAGTGATAAACAATTCACCATTTTTGGTTTGGTCGGATCCACTGGGAATTAATGAGAAAGTCATTTTACTAGAGAATCATTTGTCGATAGAAATAACGAGCGTAATGACGTCGCAGCATCATTCTTAATTTTATAATTAATATAAAATATTTCTTAAAAAAAAAACCAATTTAATAAAAAGTTTTAATAAAATATAATTTCTATGAAATTTTTATCAATAAATTTGATAAAAATGATGGAAAGTGATAAATTATTAGGGACAAATCATGATTATCACTTGGTTTTTTTTAAACGATAAGTTTTATTCAATGCCGAAGGCGATAATTATAAGTTAACCACACATTCAAATAAGGGGAATTAATCAGCTGATATAACAAAACACGAAAGTCAAAGATTTCTTTCTTTATGAAACTATTGAGAATAGCAAATAAAATATGGTAAATTTAGTAAATAAATAAAGAAAGAAAAAATTTTGAAATAATACTTCAATATATAACTGAAATAAAACTAACTGTATGCGTGTTAAAGATGAATTGAAAAAAAAAAGATTGACAAGTAAAAATAGTTGAATGTTTCGAGAGAATTAAAAGTTATTTGTGGGGAGAAATGGCAAACAGGGATTTAGAATCACCGAAAACTAAGCAAATATTAGCAGTAGAGGCAAAGGTGGGTTTTGTCAGCGAGTCATTGTTAACTGATGACAACAAATTGTCGTATTATAGATCGCTACGAACGGGTCGAGGCAAGATGTTGGCATAGCTGAATGAACATATTAATTTTCAGCTGTGCTACATATGGCCATGTCCCGAGTAGAACGAACGAAATCGGCTGTTCTTTCTAATTTGTCTAATTTTTTAGCCAAATTTTTTCAGTATATTTTTATTCATATTTCTATAAATCTTTATTATCATTAATATTACTTTTATTATTACTATTAATATTAATAATATTATTAATATTATTATTAATATTAATGTTATTTTTATCATAACAATTATTAATATTGTTATTATTTTTATCAGCAAACATTTTTATTCATATTTTAAGAAAATTTATCATTTATCACCTGCATTATCACAAAATTATCAAAACTTTAGGGTATGAAATATTTGTTTATTTTTTTTTCAATTATGCATTCCATACAGCTTGCATCATTAAGCGATATTTATTTATTGAATAATTTCCTGTTAAAACCTAAAATTTTTTTCGTTTTAATTAATTAAATTAATCAGTTTTTAGCCTTAAAAGATGGAAACGTGGCTTATCATGACGAATGCACGACGAACTTACTTACTAAATCCCTGATTGTTTGATATTTTCGCCTGGAATTTAATCAGATGGGTTGGATGAGTGCTTTAGGAGTAGTCTGCGCCTTTATATTCAATTGCTCAACCGTGCAGTCAGTGCGAATCAGCCAAAATGGAAATCGACTGTGCTATTGGATCTGAGGAATCTAAGAAAAAGCAAATAAGAACGTCGTGGAATAGCAGTCTTCTAATTCACAAACTATAGGGATATATAGTATTTTTCCAATTTTTCCAATTTTCACAAAATTTTTTCTTAATTATCGTAAAAAATAAATTTAAATTTGCATACGAAATATAAAAAAAAATATCGAAAAATATAGTTGGTCGATTATTTTAAAATATTTTAGCGAAGCGAATTTTTTCATTTAAAAAAATATTTATTCGTTTTGAATTAAAGAAATAACGACACTATAAATCGTATATTTTTCACAGCTTTGTTTTAAACTGAAAAAATATTTTTAATTCTTTAAATTAAAGTAATAAAATAGAAATCTGCTGAAAATCTAAAAAATGACATTTCTTTTTATTCGTTTAAGATTTTCAGTTTTTTGATTTATCACACCGCTGTACATATAAAAAAAATGAGCAATTAGTCGAAAATTTAGGTTTTTGCGAGATTCAATTCGATGGAAAAGCGACTTCAGCGACTATTCTTATATTTTTAGTTTACGAAAATAACGCAAAATCTTTTCGACTCAGCTCTACTCGATTGATCTATAAATTCACTAAAATCACAATTGAATCATTTAATGTTGTGGCAAATAAGGGAATTGCAGAGCTTTTCCTCCATAACGACATTTGTGGTCCCAACTTCTGTCGATATTTAAATCAACTGAAATCATTTTAGTATCACTTGTCGATGCAGTTAATTGAACTTCGCTTAAATCGATCCTCACGTCAGGAAGACAAATATCGTATAGCGATAGCCAATGAATTTTCGCAACATCCGAAGGGCAACAATTATCCTTAAAAATCACATTGCTAAATACAGTAGTCGAAGAGAATCAAGGTAGACATTCTGGCGCCCCTCAGGAATTTCATGAAATTCCATGATAAAGCTCTTCAAAATGAAATTCAATAGCTGTAATTTTATTAGCAATAAAGTTTTGCGCCTTTATTCCTTTTAATTTTACTTATGTTATTCGCGGAAGAATTCCATAGGCTTTGATCAAACTACTGAAAAGTGTCCACAGCTACCACTGAGCTAAAAACTAAAAAGACATCATATCACCTCGCTATCATTTATTTATCATTAATTAATTTCATTATCATTAATTTCTCTTAATCAAAGCGAATTTCTCAGTTAACTTTATAAAATAGAATTCTTTTCTCATATGAATATCTTAACTATATAAATCAAATAGTGATCAAATTATTTTTTTAAACTTGCTGAGATTTTATTGCTTCACTTTTCTCAGAAGTTCTTAGACTTTCTTCGTTCATAATTTGTTAAATTGCGCAAAACTATTCGAAAAAAAGGCTAACCCTATCTTCGACGAAATTTTCATAACAACAACGACTAAACGAATCGCTTGCATCGGCCTTTTCTTGATTTTTATCCTCACAACATCGATATCTCGCCTAAACATTGAAAATTCTTAGCAAATAATTCGAGAAAAATTTCGAAATGGGTGAAATTTTTTGCTATTTCCTACGAATATTTTATACGAATAAAGGAATGAATCGGTGGATTGTTGCCCAATTCGGAGCGCCGATGCTGAGCTTCTGTTCACCGCAGATGTAAACCTGTCGAAAAATCCGGGCGATGCTGGCGACTCACTTGTGCTTCTATCTATCGCCTAGGCACCCCCCGGCACATTCTTCCAGTGCGACAAGACAGCGAGTCTAATCAGTAATAGATTTCCATATTCTCAAAAAAAAACGAATGAATTATTAATATAAATGTATGTCTCTCGCTCAAATATATTTTCCGTTGCGATATTTATTTAAATCAGTCAAAGTAGAAGAAAATTTGTAAAAACTTTCTCTTACAACAATATTCTTATTGATTGTGTATGTATAAAATTTTTGTAATGCAAACAAAAGACAGAAAGCAAGCGATCTCAATTTACGTGAAAGTATTTGTTAAATTTAAGTAAAATAAATTAATAAATAAAGAAATATATAAATCTTAATGAATATGGAAACTATGCTATTCCATATTCGAGGTCTCCTCAACATAACCAATGGAACCAATGCCCTCCCTTTTGCAAAGGCATTTTATTGATTGCGCTGCTAGTACCCTGAAGTCATACGGCAGGTGGCAGGATGTAAAATGCAAGCAGGAATAACGACATTGAAAGATATAAGCAAGTAGCATCATCTACAGGAGCCTCTCAAGACGAAATGGGACATTCCTCAGAAATTCCTAGAGAATAATTAGGCGAAGATCGTGTGGGACTTCTCGATCCAGACAGAATAAATAATTGGAAATCGGAATCAGAAATCGCCATTGATAATAGATAAAACAATACGAAGTGATGTCAGGAAGAAGGAATATGAAAAGGAAAGTTAAAAAAATGAGAGAAATTAGAGAAGATGAAAGTGAAGAACAAAGTGATTTCAGTAATAACTGGAACACTTGGAATTTGCCCCCTAAACTAGAAAAGTGGCTTCAGCAGATTCCAAGAACAACTCAGAGATCTCTATCCAGAAGAGCGCACTATTGGGAACATCCAAGACACTGCGCAGAACTCTTATCTCTAAGGCTTCTGATACAAAACCCGAGGTTAAGGATAATCTACTGAGGGGGTGAGAGGAAAGTTTTTAGAAATATTTAAATACAAAGAGAAATTTAATTGGAAAGCACATATTTAATAGATATTTTCATGGACTCTTCTGGATAGAGATAATTAAAGCATCACTAAAATTTTTCGCTTTGAATTAACCATTCTCATTAGTTTAGCTGAAAATTGCGATTTTTGCTAAATACAATAATACTCGATCTATCTCAGTACAGATGCATTATATTCTATTCTATTCTGTTCTATATTCAACAATTATTAAATATTTGCTTCAATCTAAAATATTGCGAAGAAAATTCAACAAACTTGCAAAAATTTTTGTGCACAGCAAATTTGTATCGTCGAATTTGAGCAATGTCCAGCCATGCAAATATCAGTTAAATAAATACCTTTAGTGCAGCATTTATTAAGAGCAGTCATACCGACTTGTTTCAGCTAAAATTTAAATTTTTAATAAATTAATTATTATAGCCAAATAAGCATTTAAAAATTAATCAGAAGAAGAATATAATTACAAAATAATTAATTTAATAAATTAATTTAATAAAATAATTAATAAAAGATATCTCATATTTTTGATTATTTTATTCATGAATAAAAGAATAAAAACAATTTAGTGAATCACTTGCTGATAGCAAACTTCATCAGTGAACGCAGCACACGGCACTTCAGGAAATACAAACGGAGTTGGCCAAGAACCAGCCGCTTCAGTTGCAATTATTTGTTCCTATTTTTGTAAAAAAAAATTAATTTTACTTAATTAATCCAATCCTGCAAATTCTAATAAATGACCACTTGATTTTTTCAATTATTAGAATTTTCAATTTTATCAATTGCGACAATTAAAATTTAAAAAAAAATGGTTCTTTCATGGATCAAAAATATTAAAATATTCAAATAAAAATACCCTTAAAGATATTTCGGTAGTTTCGGGCACTTTGGCCACATAATCATCGCTATAATCGTACTCTTCTTTCGAGTCGTACAGCGGAGATACAACCTGATCACCGCTGCTTTTTTGGATATCATAGGCAGTGCTGCTAGGGTTTTCCTTTCTAGTGAAAATATGCTGATTGCTTGGCTCTGGTTGCGCGACCAAATGACGACTTTGATCGTCTTTTCCTTCAAGGCATTCTTCTTAATTCATTTTCTTCATTTAAAATTAAAATTAAATTTCCGATTATTTCGCTTGAGGAAAAGTTATTTTCTGAAAGAATAAAAGAATCAGTGAAAATCGTTCGTTTACGATGGTAAAAAACAATGCTATATTGTTGAAATAAAGCGATGACTTTAGTCAGTTAACCGTTGAACAATAATATAAATTCTAAAATATTTACATATTGAAATGGAATCGAATAGTTTAATCGGATTCAAATGCTAATCCACCAATATTTCCAAGCAAATCTCTAGTAAAAGGGCTTTTATCTTGGCAGGGTCATCCTCAGTTTCGGGTTCTTCACTTCGCGCGGTCTCGCTCATGGACGCTTACGGCAAAAAGAGATGGTTGCCTGCGTTTCGGGCCTTTTATTCTACATTCCATACTAATCGCCCACTTGAATCACTATGCTATGGAACCATAGAGATAGTTTTTTGATTTCAGGAGAAGGCAGATTAGCTTTTAGCTTGAAGAAATAAAATAACCTTGTCTGGCGATATGCGCCCATTTGTGATTGTCTTCATTTCTTCTAGGAGGTGGTTGTAAATTGCGATTTAATTGCGAATCAAGTTCAATCTCGGTTCGTTGTTGTACTTTTTCGCGACGACTGCTTTGAGCACTTCCATGTGAAAAATGCGATTCTTCACGATTTGAACTATGCCATTTATTCAAGGTGTCAATTTCTGGAACTTGTATTTGCTTATCCACTTTCGTTCTTGGTGATCCATCGATTATCTTCCTATCGCCACTGAAAAAAAAAAATCAAATATGGATGACAAACTTAATAAATAAATTTGAACTGAACTACCAGTTTTAAAATATTGCAGTATAGGTGATCGTCTTGATTTCAATTATTTTTAAAATTGAGGTGTGCACATACACACACATGTGCACGCAAATTATGCATGCACATGAAGAACACAGATGTTTCTAAGGGAAAAAGGACGTTTCATAATTAACTTGATAGTAAAATATTTTTTGAAGATAAGAAGGTAATAAAACATGAAATAAAATCTTTTTTGGGAACATAAACGATGCTTAAAATTCTTTTAATGGCTGTTTGCAAACAGTTGCGAATCAGTGCATATGCACATAAATACACAGAAGTGCATGCATACTCGCACACATACAACCATACATACATATCCAAAAATGCACATATTCTGGCAATCTAGAAGAATGCATGTTAAAACAATTATGATAAGTGCAAAATCATATCAACTAACTTGCTTGTCTAATAAAAATATAAAAAATAACTTTGAATTTCGGCCAACCAAAAGCAAACCAAAAGTGCGGTGTTAGAAGAACGAGAAGATTTATATGATAAATTATTAAATATCAGTAAAAACTTAAATCGGGTGGATTTGATTTAACCATTGTGGTTAAGAAACGCTCGCAACTTCTGGTTCGATTCACAACGTTGACTGTTAGTTAGAATTTTTTCTAGAGAGTTCATTTAGCGATAGACAAATCGTCGATCGACAGCACTATTCGGGTTTTTTAACGACACATTTCTCTCGCTGAGGCTAGAACTCTTCATGTGACAATCTAAGCCACTATCCACTTGGCTGCCCAGCTCTACGGTAATTCAGTGCAACAGCGTTTAACCACTGCAGCTATATTATTATTACCTCTGATGAATTCTTTGTTGCTGCTTCGCCATATAATATTCATTTTGCCTCTCAGAATATAATTTATCCGCATCAAATTGGTTTCGACTAATTTGTCGTTGACTATTTCGATTTGTTTTTCCATATAGCATATTTGAATCATTTGTTCTCGGCTTATTTTCGCCCAAAAATGCCGACGAATGAAAATAAGCACTGATCTGCTAAAAATTTGATTCGACTGTTATTGATATAACTGATTATACGATTTTAGTGATAAAAACTATGATGTAACAATAAAATACGACTTCGACGGTAAAAATAGTATAATATAACAATAACAAAATTTAATAATATTTATTGTTTTTGTATAGTTAATTTTAACTTAGCGGAACTAAAAAACTGGAAATTTTATTGCTAAAAATAAGTTTATGTTAGTCCTTTCACTAGAATTGCAGAATTTTATTAATAGCCATTATGTTTTGAAGAAATATTTTTAAAATAATAAATCATTATTGAAACAAAAAGCTTAAAAAATCAATTAAAAATAAGCTAAATAAAAAGAAATAAGAATAATAAGTTAATTAAGTAAAAAATTGGAAAAATAAAAATATTTGCATGAAAATTCAGAGAGTGAAAGAAAAACGATCAATTCATTTGGAATAATTTGCATGTTAACGATAATTAACGAGAATTTTCAAGCTCGAGGATAGAATTTGATAGAAAATAATTCACCGGTAAAGATCTGAACGACGGTTGTGGATCGTATTGGCACCAACCGCACCGCGCATAATTTAGAGCCGATTTCAGCGATTTTATTGTGTCCTCATAGTTGCTCATATCACTTCTCGGATGGCGAATGATAATTGAAAGTCGGCCACATCTTATTTACCTTTTCTATTTAAAAAATTAACGAAAGAAGAAATTAACACTAAAATAATAATGAAATGCATATACTGCAAATGTAAGCATTTCATCGTTATTTCATGCTAATTTACCTATTCGAATTCAACTAGCGACAGCTAAATGATCTGAAAATCCGATAATGGATTCGTATTTTTAGTGGAGAAAGCAAAACTTAAAAAAATCAAGCGATACCGATCGTAAATAAAATGGTCGTGCGGAGTTGCGCCATGTTTTTCCCAAACACGATCCGCAGTCGAATCTTTAATTATTGTTAATTCTGGAAATTCTTGCTGATAATAATTTATTGTTCTCGGATTTTCATCCATTGCGACGATTATTACAACTCGAATTTCTCGAAATATTTGAGTTGTAACTTGCAATCTTCAAAAAAAAAAAATTTTCCACCAATATTTTTCCATAATCGAAGAAAAAAAAAGTTATCCAATCTAATAAAATGACATAAATTTATAAAATAAAATAATTAAAACAATAATAAATTATACAAATTAATTAGAAAAATGGTAAATTAAATATTTTTATTCATTTCTCGAATAATGAAAAATTTTTTCATTTGAATTTTAATTTAAAATATAAATAAAGGAGTTGGAAATTCGAAAACTTTATAAACCGAAATTATGAATTACAAGCAAAAAAATATGAAAAAATATTAATAATAATAGTAATAAATATCGAAATTACTTCTTTAACTGATTTTGGCAAAAATTACAATGAACTGGCATGAATGCGATAAGTAAAATATATCCTCTTGATTCATGCATAATGTTACGGTTATCTAATGACCAGTCGGTTGAATGAGTGCACAGCGGTGGCGATAATGCCTCAAATATCTAAGTTCACAAAAAATTCTAAATTCTCTCGTCAGAATAACTGCAATTTTATTCGACTGCTAAAAGAGAATGATGAAAAATATCAAAAAATTAAAAGCAACTTCAATTTAAAATGTGTTGTGGTGGGTCAGTTCCAATGAAAGATAGAAAGAAAACAGATAAAAAAAATTTATTTAAAATCCTATAGAAAAATCTTTAGCTTATCATAAAAGAATCTTATGACTTTATCACATTATATTAAATTAATCATTTAAATCTGACCTGAATATAAGAAAATATCACAGCAAATATTCGAAGCAACGAAGCGATCTTCATTCTTTTGCAACAACTGACGTTCGAGAGTAATTACCGCAGCACATTTTATTATCTATGAACTTCGATCATAACAACAACCTTTATTTTATTTTGATAATATAAAAATATTAAAAGATAAAAGATAAAATAAGCTTCAAATTCTTTTCGTTAAGACATAAATTTTCTTTGTTATTGCAAATAAAATAAGCCAGTGAGTTAGTAAAATCTAAAGTCAGACTGCCAAGCAATATTTATAAAATGAAGAAGATTCATGCAAAAGTTTAAATAATAACTGATAAACATTGCTGGCGAAGTATGCATGAGATTTTATTACTTTCTATGATTACAAATGGTCAAATCTCAAATCCATTAACTTATCACAATTCATAATAATTAAATTGATAAGTAGAAAATATTTGAAGTGTTTCAAAATTGATGCATCAACAGTGATGAGGTGATGAGAATCGAGTAATATACTGCTGAAAACGAGAAAATGCGTTCGATTCTTGTCTCTCGCCACATTAAAAGTGCCACCCGAACTCGAGTTCCATCAGCAAATGACTTCAAATAACTCACAACTAGAGTGTCTCAAAGTGATATTCGGCTGAAACCAGCCAAATTAAAAGTGGTGGCTGTTTTTACAGAATGAAATATATTATGATGATAATGCATGATGATAAGCTGGGTGAATTTCATCCCTTTATTGATAATCTCATTCAACAATCATTTAATAATCATTCAGCTTCAGTTATTCCATTTGATAATCATTTAATCATTTGCCACAAAGTAATACCATCTTCGTTTTTTCCTACTTGTAGTTCCAGTTGATTGCGGCAGTTAAAGGGCAAACAGCCTCTCCCCTATTCACCACCGCATGCCGTTCTTCATTCATTCGTTCATTCTTTCTTCCTTGCTAATTCTTTATTGCAAGGCCAACTGCATTCGATGCGTAAAACGTTTTGTAACATCTATTTGTATTATAAACTGATCTATTTTCTTTTAATGACTGCTCTAAAAGATAGATCGCTTTGTATGTAATATTCACATTAACAATTTACTTGGACAATGATAGTTTTATATGAAAAATCATTGTTTCATTTGATATATACATATATATTGCTATATTATTAAACAAATATTGTTAAGTATGAATATATTGATGTTTATCAGTTTATTAATTATCGGTTTTATATTGTTATTGTTCATTTATTGTCCGGAAATATGGTGGAAAACATTTGCGACCAACATGCTGGGATGATTAAAATTTCAGTGATGCCACAACTTTATCTATACCACATTATCCACTTTTTATTTATTGATTGGCACTTGAAATCTCTGATCCGATAAAATTTTTTTTATTAATAGAATTAAAAATTAAAAGAGAAATAAAAATGAATGGTAGGCAAGTAGAGAAATTTTGCAAAATACTAAATTATAAATATAAAAATAATACAGGCGAAAAAAATTTCACCATAAGGAAAAAACCAATTGATAAATTCATCAAGTGGGATATTTCCATTCGGGAAAATAATGCGCACGCATTCGCACTATTAAAGCTTTTGTTCGAGGAAATTTTTCATCCAGTAAATCAGTTATAGGTTGTCGATATGGGAGAAAATATGTTGTCGCAAGATGTGCAAAAACTGTGAAATCAGCCTGCAAAAAATTATTAGTAAAATTAATCAAACGATTAATTTGCAATTTTCCCTTCCAATTTTTACCACTTTGGGAATTTTATAACAATTATCCATAAATTTCTTGAAAATAACTGGTTTGTTGCTCTATTCCCAACTAGTACCATTCTTTAGTAAAAGAAACAGATATATACCGTTGTTGGTTTATCACCAAAGAGGAATTTTTTATCGCCAAGTATCAAATCAACAGCCCTAATATCGTTATGCAATATCGAAATAATATCGTCACGGCTATGTCGGCCAATTCCATGTTGGTATAAACGCTTACGAGCCTTGCAAAAATCTTGATGAGCAAAAAAATAACGAAATATTGAAATAGAAGGGAAAAAACATATTTATATAGACTCGTACATATAAAAAATATTTCAAAACGAAAAAAACCTTTTCGCTGAATTTCTTGGCGAATATTTTAATCAAAAAACCGGGAAAGTAGAAACCAGTACAGCTAGGATTTAACATTTTTAACGCATTATCTGCAGCTTTGAATTGAAGCAGAGCACTTAAATAAAAAGTAAAAATCATAATGATCAAATAAAAATAAAAATTTGAAAAATTTTAAAAAAAATTCAAATTTATCAAAATATCCATAAAATAGTTGTATAACAGTGATTATTAAGTGTTTTTGAAGTATTTGGCCAGTATGAACTAGGGACGTCTCCAAATGTTTGGTAACACAAAATGAAGTATATAATGGAAAATTAATGTGGTGAGAATGAGCAATGAAAATAACAGCGATTCTGGTACAAGTGACAAAGATATAAAATATTGGCTAAAATTGCAGTGGTTTGCTACCTATATTCATAACTAAAAAATGCAAAATTTCATTCAGCTAAGAACAAATTTTTTTCCCATCCCCCACTCTAAGTTGAAAATTTTTATAAACTGAAGTTTCATCATAAAAATTTATTAGTTTAATAAGTAAAAGCACCCGAATAGGACAAATAGGATTTCCTTCTAAATTTACATGCTCTTTAATATTTCCTCAAAATCCTTTCCATTCCCTTATTATTCCTTCAAAGTTCTATTGAATTTGAAAATCGCAAAATTCTTGTAATTCTCCTTCAATAATCTTCAGTTCGCAAAATTCCACTGATATTTCTCATTCAGTAATAAAGCGAAGAATAAGAAGAACAAGACAACTGCGAACGAATAGCAAGATGGAATTTGTAAGAATGTTGATGAGATGTTAATTAATAAGAATTAAAAGTTCAATGATGTTGCGAAGCGTAGACTGAAGCACATGAATTTTAGACGAAACCAAACTACCATAGGATTATGACAAAGAATGAAAGAATATGGACTGAACTAAATCTGAGAGAGTAGTAATATTCTTAGAAAATATTCGTGGCTTATTAAAGAAAAGCTGTCAGATTATCCTTTACAATTTTATAATGCACGTGCAATGGTGGCAAACACACACGAGATATCAGGTTAGGTGGAAAAATGAAGGTGAATAAAATCTTAGCCTTAGTCTTAGTTGAAAGCAGTTTAAAATGAGATTACAAATGGATTAAGGCAAAAGATAGAGCAGAACTTTGGAAAAGGAAATCTGAGAATACATTTGAAAAGAAAATATCTTATAGTTTGACAAATTCTGGAAGAATTTGGAGAACTCGAACACAGGAGACCGAGATTTCTTAGGCAATATTATGTTTTTAAAGATGCAATAGGAATCGTAACAATAGAATTTTGGTGCTACAATAAAGTAAATCACCATGGTGAAATTAATACACTATAAAGACACCATAGAAATTTTGAGGAAATATTAACTGGTTTAAAAAAACGATCATTGTGAAATTTAAGGGATTTGAGGTAATTTTAGTGATGAATTATATAATATTGCAAAATTATTTTTATAATTATATAATTATAATACAAAATATTGCACCAAGATTTTATGGAGCATTGAGGAAAATTAAGAGGGAGTACATAATGAAGATTTGAAGAACTACAAAATTCGGTCCATTTTGAAGGAAACGAAAATTGCAAATTATTATAAATTATTTTTTGATGAATGAAGAAGTAGCAATTCAATCAAAAATGCTAATAATAATAATCTTACTAACAAAAATGTATTTCCATCAAACATTCGATCAATCGCTCTAGCAATACCTTCATCGATACCATGCAAATCATCCTGAAAAAAAGAATTTCAGGAAAAAGATACCTCGCCAATGAAATCTTTAAAGAATTGTAAATGGTTATAACCTTCTTATAACCAAAATTATCACAAGAAAAAATTGAGAATTTGAAAAAACAATCCTTTTTACTGCTTCTATCTTGGATTTTGGCTTTGAATTCCATTAACTTCAACTAAATTTTCTTGTTTGAAAATAATAAATGAAAAGGAAAAATCAGAGGGAAAAAAACTTCAATACTTCAATTTTGAAATATTTTTGTAGATGTTGTATGATAAGTTGCGAATCAGCAATATGCTCACCGTTAAGTTCGATGAATGGCAATAAACCTTTATTTGAACGAGTGAATAAGCAATTAATGCTCTAAATTAAAATAAAAAATTTAATAGTTTTTGATAAAATTTATCAAATTTATCAAATTCTTAGCAAAAAATGTAGTAATTATTCAAAAATAATTTGAAAAAATTGGTAACCTCGTATTGAATTTGATTAGCTCGTAACCATGTCTCAACTTTGAGGCAAAAAGGTGATAAACTAGGTAAAACTTCTTCACGCCTATAAAATTGATACAAATAAACGATATTAGGTTTCCAATTTTTTTTATAGATTTCTGTGTTTATTGATCTCGACAACCTGAAATGAAAAAAAAAATATATAACGAAGTCAATAATTAACGAATAATATAGATTTTGCTTCTTAGCTTGTTCTAAGTGCACATATATCATTTCTGGTTTAGCAGTTCCACTGGTTCTTAGATGATTCTTTAACCAGACAGTTATTTAAGAATAGTGCTATGGGAGTGAGCACACAGCATATCTTTAAATCTTTACAGTTAGATAAGAATGATAAAATGATTCGAGCTTGATTTTAAAAAAAAATTTTAAAAATGAATTGCAACTCGTTTTTTTAAGAGTTCTTTAGCACTATTTCCATTAGGTTCTCCTCGATGGTTAATCGGATCAGATGAATTCTGCCAGAGAATCAGAAAGCTTTGTCAAGGAGTCTGAGATAGAAATATAGGTGAATTATGAGCTCGGATCACTCGGAAGACAAATTTGCACTTGCTGGAAGTAGAACCGCAGTATTTGCGCCGAGAGATGGCAGTAACAATCTGTTGAGCCATCCCTTCTCCCCTTTCCTACCCCATTCTAAAAATTTCCCCTCAATTCTAAAAATTTTATACATAAAATTTTATATATAAATAAAATTTCGTTTGAATTAGTGAATTTGCAAAAGTCCATTTACCAGATTACATTGGGCGAAAAATTGGAAAATCTAATAAATCGCAAACTTCTCGAAATTCGAAACATTGCCTGCAGAACGGTTTCAGCTTTTTTTCTGCAAGAGATGAGCTGAAAATTAGGCGAATTTCACTATCTCTCTGCTAGCCATTAGAGTTTTAAATTTTTACAATTCTAAAGAAAGTAAAAAGCATTTTGGATTTAAAAAACTAGAATAAGCTAGAAAGAAAGTCAATCGCATCAAAATAGATGCTTTGATGTTACTTTGATGTTTCAAATGTGTGCATAGCTTCGAAATGTGCTATTTACTACTTTCAATGGACAACTGAGCCTCGTTTTAGTAAATGCAGTAAAGAAACAATGAAACAAAAAATAAAATCCTACCATGATAAAATCTAATTTAGAAGTCAAAAAACCTTTTAAGAATCACTTCTTTTTCAATCTTTTCATCCCTTCGAAACTCGAATTATTGACCTATTTAAAATCTAATTTATTCATAAGTTCCACAAGCAAACCGAGTTCGGAAGCTCTTCAATCTTCTATTCAGTACAGCTATTATTTATTAATGCTTCCATAGACTTTTTTCTACCAACTCCACTTCATTTTCACTCATTCCAACGATTTTTTGGCTATATTTTATCATTTCATACTAAACAGATATCGAATTTTCAACTAAATCATTCTTAAATCTTTTCATTTTTTCTTATTCAATAGCAATGATTTGAACCAATGCAATTAATACCTTGTCTTAAAGTCGAGTAACCAGAATTCAAAAACCACGCATAATATATTTATAGTTCCAACAGAAAAGTGATCGCTCAACGCTTGCTTCAATTGACAGCAAAGTTGTTAACAGCAAATCTAAATATAAACTCTTATTTCAGCGTTAACTTATTTTGCAGACTCGCAGTCTCATAAAGTTGTCGATTTCTAACTGTAAAAATTATGCATTTCTTTCAGAAGACGAAGCCAAATATCTCATTAGTTTTATGTTTTCCTTATGTGCACTCCAAGATTTCACTCAATATGGCTCACTGAAGCCAAAAAGTTGTACGTTTCTGCTCTGACTAAAAGTTATCAAACCGCATATAAAAAATAATAGGAAAGTTTTTTTCTTGAAAAAATGTAGTGGAGCATTTACCTTTATTTTACAAAAAAAAGCGTTCCCAAATATTTTATTCAGTTTGACAAAAATTCCAACTAAAAATTCCAAAAATATACGATAACGAACTAAATGAGCACTTACTTACATCATATAAACAATAAAAAATATTCTTTTTAAGGCGTTAAGATTTTCATTTACGCATTATTTAGAGGAATTTAGCTGCTTTCTTCAACTTGTTCCTGCAAAAATACCGATATTAAACCAAAATTAATACCAAACAAACATAAAACTATAAAAAGTTAGAAGAAAAAGTATCAGTTGGGAATGGTTCATCTTCAAGGCCAATCATTCTAATTATAAATGCAAATATAAAAAAGCAATAAAAAAAGAGCTCTGCCACTAATTAGTTCAAATTAATAGAACATTATAATTCTAAAAATAATTTAAAATTATGAATTTACCTTTAAATAATCTTCATAGCGTCGCTTTTGCAATTCATATTCCTCCATATTACGTTGTTGTTGAATTCGCCTTAACCGTTCTTTTACATGAATTTGACGCCTTTCCTTCTGTTGTCGTTCATCCCACATAACTAATCCTTAAAATCAACAAAGTAACCACATAAGACCTTAATGTGAGAAAAAATATATATTTATAAATATATAAAAATTTTCATAAAAAAATTTTGCACAGAGAATTTACCAATTGTTAATGTCGTAATAATGCATGATGCGACAAATGTTAGAAAACCAAAACGCCTCCCACCATCGTTTCGAGGAAGATCTCGTTTCGTCGATAGCATATTTATCCCTCTCACTCGTCGTATTCCTACCTGCTTGCAAAAATTACCGTTTTTTACAAATAGAAAAATGACGAAGAATATGTTATAAGAACAATAGATGCCAAGAATTTATCACAAAAATAAGCAAATAAATGCTACGTGTTGAATCATCATTTTAACAGTTAACAAAATATTTGACTGAGCTATTAATAATCTATTAACTAAATTTAAAAAATTTATTGCAAAATTAATAGCATGAAAATTCATATTTGAAATAAAAAATTTCCAGTTGAAAATATCAAAAAAGTAACGATTTTAATCGGAGACAACATTCCGCTTCAATAAATTCGTATTTGCATTTGAAACTAAAATTCGACTAGATAAAATTTCAATAAAATTAACATAATTTAGTGTGGTAAATAATAAGTAAATAAAATAAATTATTAAGTACCCAATATATATATAAATATAAATAAAGAACGAAAAAATTAGGAAAATTATTTATATGAAAGGATACCTACTCTGAATTTACGACTTATTTACGACTAAATACCTTTCACATAATATCATATCATATCATATCATATCATGTCACAGGACTAAAATTAATATTTTCTAATAAGTCATAAATTACAAGTCTAATTAGAGTGTTGAATCATTTATATTTATATTTGTATAAAACTCATTTATACAAAATTTATTAGTTTAATAACTATTTAACGAGATTAGAATTCATTAAATTTATACTCCCAAATTTCACAAAACCGATACTTTCACAAAAAAAACAAACACAAGAAATTTCCCTATGGATATCAAATGAAATCTACAAAACTTCATAATCTTCGGCAACAATTAGCGTTCGCTTATTGTGATCGTATAGGTGTTTCGCACGAGTTACTTTGTCGCATAACCTTGTGGCTATTTCCATTCCACCACACCATAAATGAGGTAAAATTTGACGTTTTCCCGCCGAAAACTCGAGTATTATTTCTGAAATTATGATAAGCTTATCATTAGCTTCAGCGCTGGCATATGATAACTCAGGGCGGAATGGCTTAACGAATATCTTTCTATGTTCAAAAGGAAAGCCTGAAAAATGTCATCAACGTGTATTCAATTTTATATAACGTGTATTCAATTTTATATAATTTCAAATGCATGACATCGGTTCAAGCGATTTAAAAAAGTCTTATTCTTATAACCAGCCTGGGCAATTTAATCGTGAGAGCTATTAAAAGATCAAGAAGAATAAGCTTACTGTATATTTTTAACTAGTCTTCAGAAGCTATTTAAAGACACAAAATGAGTAAATGCAATAAAATCTCTTATATCTTAGAATTTTGTAACTGAAATTTCTAAAAAAAAATGATTGAAGATAAAGATAAAAAATTTAGTTGAATTTTGAAAAAGAGTAATCTTGAATAATAATAATAAAAGAATAATAAAAATTGTAAGTTATTGGTGCCAATGATTCAACAATTAATGAATATAAATTAATCGTTTTTAACCTATTTTAGATCATTTTAAATAAGGAAATATAAAAATGCTTAAAGAAAAGAAAAGAAAAAACCATTATAGTCACATATATATATATAATAGCTTGTGAGTCCTATTCATAAATCTACAATATAAATGAAAAAATTAGCATACCTATGGATGCTATATTATTCATCTTGCTAACATTTAATGGTTGCATTTGCTTCAATAATTTATAGGCGATCCTCTGCACAACACTGCTCGGTTCTCCATCTATCTGACGAATTATGTAACAAGTTTCGGAACAGATCATTGCATACTGGCGTATCATTTCATTATTACTTCGTTGTTCTAAGAATACTTCAACGTCTAATAGGCTGAAAATTTTCATTGTCTGGATTCAGCAAAATAAGATGTTCCAATATTTCAGCTGATCCACTTGCACCCCTAACTTTTTAAGACTCTAGGAAAAAAACCTTAACAGTGCGTGACGATAACTAAATCGTAAATGAAAAAATGGTGCAGGATGTTCAAAAAAAAACTTAAGCAGAAAAGCTCATGATTACTATTCATTTGTAGCGAAATTGTTTATTCTCAGCAAATCCATTTGTGCGATTGCCAAAATATCTGAATAACATGGCAACAATGACTGAAGACTGGTGCAGACTCTTGGTAAACGTACGCGATTATCAGGAAAATACGACTTTCGAGCTTAACAAATTTTGATGAAATCTTTGATCGCAGAAATTTTCGGCAGATTCAGCAGATAAATTTTAAAAAAGATTAAAAAGAACACCTGAAGGCCCGCCAACAATTTCTTTAAATGCCGAAGCCGTCCCTTCAACAAGATCAAATATTCCTTGAACTGGTTTAGTGACGGTATCTACGGCACCAGTAGTGATACCTTTTAATGCACCCTATAAAAATTATCGCTGGAAATAAAAAAACAATAATTTGTATCATTCAATCTCGTACTAATTTTCGGCATTTCATTTATTAAAATAATTAATTTTAATTAATTGCTTCTAATTGATAATAATTATTCGATTGATATAAATAACCATACGGCGAATCCTTCACGTTTGGTTCCAGTATATGTATTTGTTACTATAGCTGTAATACCACCAAATACACCAACACCAAGACCCTGAAAAATGATAACAAATTTTTCGCACTTTATTTCAACGTTATTTCATTAAAAAGAAAAAAATAAAAAAATTATCCAAAATAAAAGAAGTATCACGTGCCTTAATTCCACTATAAAAATGAGCAAGCGCACTATTACTACCAGCTTGATACTGATAACGAAGTATGCGCTGCCTCATTAATTCATGTTCTTCGTCAAATGTCAAAGTACCTACACCATGAGCCATAGATGAAGCCACCTAAATAATTCAAATGAAAAGAGCAATAAAAGAAAAAAATTGAAGAATAAACGATCCATATGAATGATGAATGCACACTATAATCTCATAAATTATAAAAAAGATTCTTATTATAAAAATCATATGGATCTTCCCAGAATACCGAATCCCTTCTTGTCAGAAACCTAGATGTTTGAGAATTCTCAGTTGTTCTTAACAGGCACCCTTCACGACAGAGATTTCTGACACTGTTTATGGAATTTTTTGAAGCCACTTTTCTGGTCTATTGTGATGGTCACAGCCCATTTCGCTCCTTACCACTAGGACTATTTTGGCCTTCACCTTCCACACCTTCAGTTCCTCTTTTAGTCTTAAGTATTTCTCTGGCATCTAACATTCCTTCTTCCTATCCTTTCTTTGACATTGGTGTGCTGATTTCTGATTCTTGTTTAAATAATATAAAGACTGCCCAGTATTTGTTTGTCTATCTTAATATCATTACAAAATCACCACAAAATCTGCATTATTCTCTATGATTTTTAAGGGAATCTTCCATCTGTTCTTGACAGGACCTAAACCATATACCTAGTAGAACTTCCTGCTACTTGGTTAAGCCTTTTACTATTCCTGCTTGCATCGTACATGTCACTATATATTGGATAGTTTCTTTGCACTCTTTGTACATTGTGTTTGGATATATCTGGTTGGGAAAAAAGAGCAAAAAAATTACTTTAGATATACTATTCGTGACGCCATAACCTAATCCGCTAACAAATCCACCTAGATCGCCTTCAAATAAAAGTCCTTCGAAACTTTCTTTTAAATCTGATGCAAGTCCTAATGGATTTCCAAAAGCATCCATCGTTACAATTATATTGAAGGTTTGATTTTTTAATTCCGCTAAAATATGCGCAAAATTATTTCAATTTCAGCAATATTTTTCAAAAAAATGGAAATAAAAGAGAATTACCAAGATAAAAATTTCTCAAAGTGTCGATGAGAAATGGAAATGTTTCAAAATATCGAAACTGACGAAACGCTGGTAGAACAACCATCGCATTCTCGAAACTGACCAATTTAACATTGAACTGACGTTTCAGTTTTCGTAATTCTGCAGGTAGTCCACTATTTCCAACAGTGACAGCTTAAAAATAAGTTACTGCATTTATTCAACTAAATTTTCGTTTGTTTCATTTATTTCATTTAATAACCATTAAATGAATAATAAATAAACAATCTAATCACCCTACCTATACCGCTGTACATTTCAAAAAAATATTTCAGAGAAAGCGAAAAAATAATAAATATAAGAAAAAATTTTTCACCTGATAATGTAACATCGCCAATTTCAAGATCCAGAGTACCAAAGTAACAACGACGAGCTCTAGAGTTATCTGGCCTTTCCAGCTCGATATTTGGTGGTTGCAATAAAGTGCTCGGATGAATGCTGTTTGCAGCTTCAGACTCTGCAAGAGCACTTAGATTTATAGTATTTTTCCCAAAATTTTATTGCATCTTTAGAATATCTCCACTCAAAAAAAAGGTTAAAACTGAGGTTAAATTTTTCCTATTAATTAAGTAAAATTTTAAAAAAAATTGAGACTCTCGTTGACACACTCGTCCAAATTAGAATTAATTCATAACATCAGCGAAAGTTTCATAAATATGTATTTAAAAATTAAAAAAAAAGAAAGCACTTTACCCTGAACGAATTGCACTAATTTCCATAAAAGGGTTTCGTCAAGCTGTGCAGTTATATCACAAAGCCTAATACGTAAACACTGAAAGCGTACTTATATAAGGAAATATATTTATATTAAAAAAGCTTTGTGAAATCAAAAAACAACAAAATAACTTGATTTGCGAAACTGAATTCTAATAAATTATTATAACAATACGAACATCAAATGCATCATAATGTTCTAGAGGAGTACAACTCATTTCAATTTTTACAGCTGGACGATTAATATATGGATCAAATAAACTGGTACGAGGGGCCATAGTAGCAGAAAAACAATATAGCAATTGCCATCGATCTGTGGCCAATAATTGATTATCAACCTGTAAAATCATTATTCTTTTGCAAGAAAATAAAAACAAAATAATCAAAATTTTGTAATAGCAAGTATCTATACTAATGAGCGATCATTTCTTTGACATTTTATGGAACCTTCAAAAATCAATTTTTTTAAATTTTAATGCAAATTTTTTTTAATTTTAATTTTAATTTAAGCAATTTTAGCAATTTATTTTTTTAGTTGTTCTACCAACTTTTTTTGGTCAATTTAAAATTTGCATTTTATATTCCCTTCTTAATAATAAAATATTTAATAAAATATTTTGTTCAACTTGATATAACAGAATAGTTTATTATCATTATAAAGTAAAATAAAATAAAAATAATAATACTTATAATTTTGTAATTCTAATAAAATCGGTAAACTAATTCGTAATTATAAAAATAAATTTTCTTTAGCCTTTGCAAAAATAAAAACGTTATGAAAAAAAAAGAGTGGTAGCTAATGGCCGACGATACGACAGCAAATTTCTGCAATTTCTTGAAATCTTGTGATGGATAATGTCAGAAAAGAAAAGTAAATGCAATGAAAGTCTGGGTAGATATGGCCAAGAGAGGAAAAATGAACAAGGATCCAATGACAAATACGGTTAGAAGATGGGGAAAGAGCTGGTCTACTTTCAGACTATTAACTATTTTCAAATGGTTTCGGATCCAGAGGCTTGGAAAATCTCTACTCTCGCAGTCATTTTGGCTGGAAATGGTATGAGCCAAAAGAAAGATGGAACGTGGATATGATGGCATCTGTGGCTAAGTCATATGTTGCTTCGATTGATAACAGGCCGATTCTTATTTTTTAATATATGCAAAAATGAATCATTTTAAATCATTAAAATTTAAAAGGATAATATAGACCCATATGAAACAACTTTATGCGTAGAAAATTCTTTGACATGAAGCTGGTCAAACGATACATGCTGGGATGATAAAAACTTCATGATAAGAACCTGAATAACGCCAACATGTCCCGTTATCTGATATGTTCCATTTCGTCGAATGCCATGTAGCACAATATCATGAAACCGTGCATAAATTAGCTCTTCACGCTGCCCGTTAATCAAAGATAATCCGATTCCTCAAATATAAAATTTATGATGAATAATCATCAAACAAAAGGTTTATATTTTGAATAACTTCCACTAGTAAAACAATGTTTTTCTATAAATTCGATTAATTTTTCAATTAAAAGATTTTGAATGAATCTAAAAAACCGAAAAGTTCCAAGAAATTCAAGTAAATACCACTTGGAAGAGAAATGTTCATTTCCAAATTAAAAATATTCAGAAATGACAAGTCATTGGATGCGTTTCTTTGGATTTCAGATATTCTTGGAACTCTACTTCCGAGCGATTTAGCATCAAGTTTTTTCCGATCTCTTATTCTCAGAACCTAAAATATTGTTTAAATAATCCCGAAAAAATTTAGAAAAAGCAATATTAACAATGCACAAACGGCTAAAAATATATATTCTTCATTGAATAATAGAATAAAAAATATAAATCGAAATATAAACAAAAATATAAAACAATGGTTACAAGAGTAGGTCCGCGATGCAAACATTCAACATCCAATACTCCACTACCAGGACGCTGGGGCTGCAACTGCCAAACTTGTTCCTTGGGTATACCATCATAATTTCGAGGTGAATTAGAATTTGCTGGAGCCAGTATCAGATCTGTGCAACGTGCTTCTACAAACATTCCATCGATTTTACATCGCAGCCTGCAGTCCTAAAATCGAAAAAAGGAAAAAAAGTAGTAGATTGAAATTAAAATGTACCTGAATAAAAAAATAAAAAAAATAAAGTTGAAAGGAAAAAGTAGACAAATTACTGGAGTTAAATGCCATTTCTGGAATCGGTCACGCGCAGAATTTCGCTTGACAACCATTAATACAAATCCACCTTTCTCAAGTACATCTAGAACATATCGCTCACCAGGTTTAGCACGATTATTCATGGCAATATTTTCCAAACAACCATCTTTAGTAAAGCGCCATAATTGGCTACAACTACTGTCACTTAAGTTTATTTTATTTAGTATGACCTTTCCTTTTTTCATCGTTTCTAATACCAATTCTTGCTCATCAGTGAAACCATTTCCAATATTTCTGAAAATATTACGTAAATGAAACCAATTTAAATACAATTATTCAACTTATTCGATTAAATATTAGATTTTTAAATTTTAAAGATCTAATGTTTTAAAAGATCTGATGGATGATCTAAAATTAATGACAACAGTTGAAATTTAAAACTATTAAAATAATCAAGTAATACTTGTCGAATGAATGAACCAATTTAATGTAAACATCATTATCGTAAACCAAAGGTGGTCCCATTCCAATTTTTTGTGGATCATATGAATGTGATTTGTTTTCAAAGACTTGTAATGTAAGTAATTTTGGTGCATAAAGATTATCCCATGCATAATCAACAATGCTTCGAGCTTTGCATATTGTTCGAAGATGACCCCTATCCGGTCTGTAACCAAAATAAATAAATAAATATATATATATATATAAATATGAAAAAAAGGAAAAAAAGGAAAAATAAATTTTTTAAATAAAAATAACTGACTCACCTTTCAGTCATCTGGTTATAAAGAATCGGTACATCAGACAAATTCTCAATTTGTATTGGAGGTGGAAAATATTTAGCATCAGTAAAAGTGATATAGAATACCGAACTGCTGAGGATAATTTCCACTCGCAAAAAACGTGGAATTTCTTCAGAATCCCTGAAACATTAAAGTATATAAATTTATAAATTTAAATTTAATACAAAAATTGATAAAAATAATGATGGATCCAACAAACTCTACACTTAAGCCCATTCCACAGTAGTAAGAGATGAGAAAAAACTATGTGCAGACAGAACTCATACGATCTATGGTTATTTATTCGAAAGCATCCGACGTTTTCTTAAAGAAAAGGCATGTTTTGTGAACAACTAAGGAAATTCACGCAAAACATACCTCATAGTCAAATGAAATGAATTAATTTGATCAATTCTAAATGGACAGCTCCAGTATTTAATATCTTCTTGCTTAATGCATAATAATCGATTATCCTCAAAATTTTCATTCCATATAAGATTACATTTACTTGCAATTTTAACACAATGCTTTCTTTGCTGCAAAATTTTTAATTAATTAGCCAAAATTTCTAAAAAAGCTGTACAGATCATAAAATTTAAAATGTTCAATGCCAATACTTTTATCTAACAGGTTGCATTTCTTTACCTTCCTAACATAAGGTAACAAAAGTTCACAACCAACAATCCTTTAAGATTTGAATGACAAAAAATTTAAATATTTTCACAGACCATTATTTATTAACTTTTTATAAATAAACCATTATTTATTAAAATCATTAGGCGGATTTATCAATTTACAAATTATTCCAATTCTTTGAGATCAGCAATCTCATTAATCTTTGGATTAAAAAATTTTGAACTAGTAGATGAAAATTCTTTAGCTAAAATTTGAAAAAAAACTTGACCAGATATTTTTAGAAAGTATAAAAAATCCATCTTCAGTGAGCCTGTATAAATTTGTAATTTATAAAAAGTCATTTGCCCGTTTTTTATTTATTCTAATTTTTTTAATTTTTTTAATTTTTTAGTTCATATCACACAATTAGATACGAAAGAAATACCTCAGCAACATCTACATGACTGGCGAATAATGAATACGATGTCTCATTACATAAAATATAACGAGGTGTAAACAAGACGACTTGTGTGTCTTTATATCGCCCTGTCCCTTGACGAATTTCAACTCCAATGTTATAAATCCTAAAAATATTAAATACCTAAACAATTTCTTTCGAAATATATATCCAAGATTAATAAATTTTTAAACAAGTAATAACTACAGGCGTGAAAAACGAAATAATAAGCGAATAAAAAAAAATATATGTATAAAGAATATATATTCACCAAACTAAACGGGTATAATAAAAAATCACAAAAATCCTAATTAACCATAATGATGAAGGAATTCACAAGCAGATTCCATTCACTAAATATCATATTACAGTTTATGGTTCTTGAAATAAAATTACTTACAAAGATGGTTCATGATCGTGAGTTAAATATAATTTGAGTGCATGGACACCGAGGGTTAAAATGAACTTTCGACTGTATATTGCACGGTAACCCTTATTCTTCGTAAATTCGTTGCCAAGACGCACGACACACCTGAACCATTCAACCTTTATCAAAAAATAAGCGAATTAAAAATAACTATGAATAGGTATTAAATTGAACATTAAATATTAATTATTCTCAACTAGTTTCTTCAGTTATCTTCTCTTCTGAATAATGGCTCAGGTTATGCTGAGTCCCTGTTTCCGATAGGACTGAACCTATCAATAAAAAATACATAGGCGGTGCTGGCAGTTCATCTCTATACTTAACCAAGAAATTTCCTAACCGTTTTAACCGCAAAGTTTCTAACTGCAATAACAGCCAATTAAATGACTTTTGAATGATTTTCCTTTAATATATACTCATAGATTAAATAATAATAAACAATAGATTTCAAAATTTATTTTGAAATTAAAGGAAAGACATGAGTAGTTAAGTGAAAACAAACTGTTGTGGACAATTGTCATCAGCGAAGGAAAACATCAGTGGATGACGATCTTTCGCCCTTTCATGTTCATCCAGCTGGCCAGCAGCAATTTCATTCGTTGCATCTTGTTTCAATATCAGTGGTATACCTGATTTATTCACAATCCAATACGGCACCTATGAGGAAAATGGAATTTAAATGAATTTCGAATATACTTATGAATGATAGCTTAGGAAACATGAGCCATATGCTACTTCCATTCTAAGCCACCCTCAGCCTTTGAAAGTAGTAAATTTTCCACTTTGAAATGGAAGATGGATGGTCAAAATCGAAAAAGCAAAAAAGAAAAGGAATCAGATGATGGTAGCAAGAAGAATTTTATCCTTAAGTGGGAATTTCTTGCAGATACGCTAATGAATCCCAATGAAAAATGGTGAGCACTACTATAATGAAAAAATGAAACTGAAAAATGAAATAATGAAAAAAATTAAATAAAAAATCCAAACCCAGAAAGAAATTGACACCGCACCACTACATCCAACGCTTATACTAGCAAAAGCATCCAAGAACCGACCAGCGATATCGCGCATTCGCAAATGTAATCTATAGGGGTCTGAAGAACTTGGCTTATACGAAAGAACTGACCTAAAAAATTGATCTAATTGATTTATTAAGGAAACTAAAGGAAAAAAAGGCTGAAGTGGTCATCTAAGGTTCTTTAAAAAAATGCTCCAATATATATAGTTCGATAATACTCCCTAACATTTTTTTTAAAGGAATAAATAAAAAACAGAAAAATTAAAGATAAGACAAGAAGATGAAATTTCAGTGAAAGAAAATGAAAGAAAGAAAATTTTTTCGTTTAAAAAGCATTAACCTTGTGACTAACGTGGTTTCAACGGATATAAATCGTTCCGTAGTTAAAGAAAACCATATATCACAGCTAATGTCAATCTAAAATTGTTTTATGTTTTAAATAAAAATTGAAATTGAAATTTATTTGAATTTATTTTAAATTTAATTAAATAAGTCGTCGTACATCTGTAATATAGAGTTGTTTGCCAGCTGCTACAGCATAAGTAATCCCAGCAACATTAAATTCTAGATCAATTGGAAATAGATTTAATAGAGTTAGAGGCGGCATTAGGCTTATTGTATGACCAGAAAGATGTTCGTAATCAGGAAAATGTTCCCTCTTTATAGAGACGCATACCCTAAAACAAAATAGTATAATGAAAAAATGAAACAAAATTAAAAAATCCAAACCCAGAAAGAAATTGACACCGCACCACTACATCCAACGTAAATATGAATATAATTTTAATTAACCTGATATAATTTGAAGGGAACTATACTAGAATCGTAATGATGGAAGTAGGGCATCTACCACAGAAAATATATTGATATGGAAATATTTAAAAAATTTTTATAAATTTAATAAAAATAGAATATTTATAAATAGAATATTTATAAAAGGTGCGAAACCAATGATTTCTGCGATTATTGTGAGATCTTTTTGCTCATTTAGAATAGAGGTAACTAAAAGCTGGTCATCAAACCCTATCCAGAGAATTCTAAAGAGAATTCTAGTAGCAGATTAGATGATCACAAAAAGTATTCATAAACATTTACGAACAAAAATAAAAGAACATAAAATGGCAAAAAATTTTAACCAGTAGTATTTATGCATCGAACTTTCAAATTTCAAGAAATTATTCACATATTCTCCCATATTTTTGGCTTCTTGCCAATCAATCTAAAAATATACAACTTTTTAGCACCATGCATAAACATTCTATTAAGACTAGAAAAGCTATAAAAAATAAGTTTCTGAGCAATAGAAACAATGAGCATTTACATTCTTGAATTTAATTATAGATTCATCAAGAATAGATCCAAAAGATCTAAAAAAAATTATACTTTAAGCGATTTAATAATATCACATCCATCGGGTTTAAAAGCTATGTGAGAGTTAGCAAATTTTAATGGCACATGGAACTTTTCGCGTGTGGCTATACGGAAAGTTGACGAAGCTAAAAAAATCATATTTAGACAAAATCAACAATAGAGGATAAGAGGAGTGATAAATTATGAAAAAATACAATGATAAATGCAAATATAAAGACGTTTAAAAAATAACTGAATATCAAATGAAAAAATACCATTATCGACCGATCCGCGAACATATCCAACCATCACTAATACAGGATTAGCAAGATAACTTATTATAGTCAGTGCAGATCGAATAATTACAACTTTTCGTCCATTTTTATCCATGTTAACAACGATTACGAGACGAGCATTCGCCAAACACTAAAATATTTTCGTATTATTTAATTCGATTAATCAAAAAAAAGACAAGCGGAAAGCCATCCAGTAATTTGAACAAGAATTAACGGAAACCAAAAAAAAGTTGACCACTAAAGTAATTTGAAGAAAAAAAACAATATAAAATATATAGACCGGTGCTTTAAGTGAAGAACATCGTGCCAATCTGAAATAAGTACCAACTGCATCAACACTAACAGGAGAAACTTCGTCCCATCCTTCTATTCGTATAATCATTTGACGCGGTTCATCCGGGCAATCCTTAGAAAATTTTAGAAAATTTTATTAGCAATCAAATTATTTCTTAATTTATTATTAATATAGAATAGGAAAAATTCTAAATTTTTTTTAAATATTCAAAGACTCTACTGCCTCAAAAAATAAATATTTTTGTAATTACACAGCGAAAAGAATTAAAGCAAAGCGATGAATTAAAAGTGAAAGAAAACGATACCATCAAGGCAAGTCGTTTTGTTGGGAATTCAAAAGCACATGTGCCTCCAGCCGCAACCGATATCCAAATTGCATTTGATTTTCTATGATTCAGTCGAGACTTGATCACTTCTTCAACATCAATCGTAAATTTTAAATTAGATCCGACTTCATTGCGCAATAAATAAGGAAGGTAATCTGATCGAGAACGCAAATAAATATCCCTGTAAGGCGATATGTTTGCAAAAACAGACAATAAAAGTTATCTCAAGAAAAATCCAAGTTTTTTCCTTGCACAAAGATGTTCCAAAAAAATAACGGAAAAAATTACCTAAATTCATTGTTAAGTGAATCCTTAATCTGTAGCCAACGTGAGCGAAATTCAAGCGCTTGACTTAAGAATACTTGAGTTATATTCACATTTAAAATACTTTTGTCTTCTGCAAATAAAGTAATTGAAAAAATAGAATTTCAAAGCAATTAAAACATTTAAATCATATATATATATATATATATGCCAATTTTCTTCAGCATCTTTTCCTTGGCAAAAAATAAATTGAATATTAAAAAAATTTTGTGAAATACCAGCATGTAAATTGATCGAAATTTCAGAACGATTATTTGTTGTTGCACTCAATTTTCCAACATGCCAAGGCTCAATTAAAGGTTCCCAACCAAATACACGTTGATTAAAATAATCAGATGAGAAGATAAATGATGCAGAAACTTCTTTTAACTTGTATTCCAGATTAAAATCTCAAATAATAAATAATGGGATTTTAAAAAAATAAAAAATGCATGTGACAAAGATAAGTTTAAAAATTTTATGCAAACAAATGAAAAAATACGTTAAATGGATAATAAATAATTAAACGATTGAAATATGAAAAAAATCTGCGCTAATAAATATATAAATAATGCAAAAATTTTTCAGATAAAAGTGAACTGACTTTTAGCAACAAAACGAACAATCGGAAAAACAGTTCCAAGAGAATCATCCAATAACCAAAAAGATATCATTTCACTCTTTACGGAGATATGAATAATGTTAATAGTATCGCGACCTGAATGAAGGAAGGAAATTAAACGAGCCCTGGATAAAATAATTAAACGATTTGCTGAGTACCTTTCATTTCCGAAACAGCATTGCTCACATTATTCTTCATTTGAGAAGCGGTTAAACGTTGAATTGATGAATGAAATACACGATGAATGACTGCTACATCGCGAAATGATGCCCGTGTAACAAGGTCCTTTATTTCCATCTATGAATAAATGTTTATTTACGAATTGAAGACTAAATCTAGTAAAACTGTTGTTCAATATTAACAACGGTGATTGGAGCATTTCACCAAGAAATCTACGATCATCATTCTAAAAGAAATCAATCGCATCTCAATATATAGCCATATTCAGATGTGAAGAGATTTTGGTTGATTTCACATATCGTAAACTATAAAGTTCATGGAATGGAATTTGGAATGTGGTTCAAATCAATTAATATGACCGATCTCTACCATAAGATACACCAAAAAATAACATAGAAGTATACATTTCAAAGAAGAAAAAGAAATATATATTCCAAATCAAAAAAATTTTTTTTAGGATCATACAATTAAATGATGCTTTGCTGCGGTGAAATTGGGCAGACCAGATAGAAAATCAGACACATATTCTGCCTCTAAATTATCCGATTCAGGTAACAAAGAAATCGTTATTGAAAAATCATTCGTTAATTGGCAACGAATATTGTTATCAGCCATTGTACACCAATCAATGTTCAGTCTCTAAAATATGGCTAAAGGAAATAAAATCAGGCTATGAAACTTTTCAGATAAGCTTAAATTTCTGGAAAAAGTTTGGCCACAAAAAACGAAACCTGAATCTCTAGATTAGCGCCAAAAAAACCATGAGGATCGCTTATATTAAGCACAGCAGTTATATGTGCAATTAAAGCCAGACTGTTCGAAGATTCCGGTGCTTCCAAAAGCACCAGATCAGATTCTTTTACTGTTATTTTCATCATAATTGTTTGCTCATGAATGTTGGTGGTTGCACACGGTTGATTACGCTGAATAATACCAGAATTCACGAATAAACAATCCTGCTTTACATCGTCAACTGAAAGATACCTCATAAAAGTTCACTTTGCTACATTCATTATATGATGCATGTTGTCGAAATAATGTTATTTATAAAAAATGACCAAGACCAAACCAAAAAAATTAACTAAGAGTTTCTAGAGCAATAAATATTAAAAATTTACCTGGAGGAACGAAGTCTGTATTGAGAAGAATGAAATTTTTGGCCTCAGCAAACCAATCGAGGAAAAGCAATACTCTAGCGTTCATTAAAACTAGAGTAAGAACTGGTGTTTCATCTTTTTTCATCATGAGATGCGCTTCAGACATAAAATTCCTTTAAAAAAGCAGAAAAGGAATATATATTTTTCGAAATTTTCAAATCTAGCCTGGGGAAACGAAATCTTCAAATCAGTAAATAAATTAGGAAAAGTATGAGGCTTACCGATTAACATCATTAGGAGTTTTTGAACAAAGTACTATCGGAAATACACTGGAAAGTTTCCCATCATTTAAATCTTAAAATCATAAATATTCAATCGAATTAATCAAATCTAATCTGATTTCTTATTCTTAAGGATTTAGATAAAATTTCTTCTAACGGTCATGCAAACAGTACTTTAATGATTGATTTATAGTTGAGGACAAATCCATGGTGTTTATTCAACCGAAATAAAATAGACCAGCATGCATCAATGGTTTGATTTTTGTTCCTTAGATAAAGTAAAATGATGAATAAAAAAAGATCTAAGAGAGAAAACAGAATTTTTAAGAAAATACAGGAAATTAATATACATTTTATTCGAGTATCGTGTAATTCATAATTTTCACAAATCAAATCCATTTCAGATTGATTATCAACAAAATTATTGAAGAAAAATCGCGAACGATTTAATCTTATACAAGCAAATGGCACAAATGATGTTACTCCATATGAAGAACGAACCAAACAGTCGAACTGGAAAAAAAGAACAATAAAACAGAAAAAAACAAACAAAAGCAAACTTATATCAAAAATAATTTTGGAAAAAAAATGCTGGTAAAATTTAATCTCAACAATTTTTTCGAAATAATTTAACCTAACTTAATAATCTAATTTTCCTATACCTAACATTTCACAAAATATTATTTCACCACTATTATTACGGTAAAATCACTAATATTATTATTATTTTTTAATAGTACTGTTGTTTATACTTTTATTATACTATAACTATTATTTTTATTACTATTATTATACTATAATACAATTATTACTATTATTGCAGTACTTCTATCAGTGCTAAAAATATACTTTAATCATTAAACATTATTGAAATGTAATAAATAAAAATAAAATTAACTATGAAAAATAGCAATAAATGAAACCCATAAAAGTTATCAAAAATCACCACCTTTTTTTCGAAACTCGATTTTGTATAAAATTTTAAAGATTTAAAAAAAGCTTACTTTTACATTTATTAAATTTAAACGAAGCGCGAAAGTGACATATTTATTGCTCGAACCTACTTCCTAAAAATTGTTTTAAAGATGCTTTTAAAAATTATCCAGATCTATAAAGTGGAAAATAAAAATTTTAGAAAGCATTTAAGAGCTAATGCAACGATGAATAATTATGACAGAAGTGACTGAGCCGGATTCATTTAAATAACTTATTTCAGTGGTTCCTAACTTTTTTTTCACCTCATACACCGCTAACACGCTAAAAAATATATATCCGCATCTTCTATAAAAAGTACGGTCAATTATTACTTTTTATTCGTAACACTGAATTATAAATAACCATCAGTACGACAAATATTCTGCACAAACAAAAAAAATAAACATTTACAAATGGAAAAATTTAAATTTAATTCAATAAGTTTTTTTCACTCATACAGTAATTCAGACTGGTGAAAAATTTATAACTAATGGCATACCATATCTTCAATAATGTCAAAGAAATATGGTTAGGTGCATTTAAACACCTTCGTTTCTATACGAAATGGCGAAAAATTCACCTTATAAAAATAAGTGAAGGCAAAAATTCCGAACATTCCTTTTAGGCGCATAACTGAGAGCAATTGAAACTGATAAAATTTAATATTTTCAAATTCCATTTGAATGCTGTTGGGCCTTATTTTAACAATATTATCTTTTATCAAAGTGCTTTCCCCACGGTAAAAATACCCAGTATATAATAAGAAATATACAATATTCTTTTCTGATCTCTTCTATCTCTCCTATGAAAAATTATCTTGCAAAAGAACTTAATTTTTTAAAGTATATTTATAGTCTTTAATGCAACCGCGACTTCGCCTTTTTCAGCATTTTCGGGAATAATTTCGTAATATAGATTTACTAGGAGAAATATATTTTTCCACATTTATTCAAATGGGGATTTCTCTGATAAAATCTGAAAAATTTGGCAACATGTTATAAAACTTGTTTCTTGCACTCAGTTCATTCATATGAAAATGATAAATTTGGTAAATGAACCATCAACACTAAAGTAATTGAAATTCGGTTATTTCGTAGCATATTTTAAATATCTCGACTTCCTTATTTGATTTCTATCTTACATGAAAGGTATTATGAGGAGAAAAAACAAAATATTGAAAAAAAAAAGAAAGCATCATGAGCATTTTAAACAAATCTGAGAGAAAGTGAAAAAAATGAATATAAAAAAAAGCCAGCCAGTAAATTCACTGCAAATAAGCGCGCGCTAAAAATCTTCACGAGACAATAATTTATAATTTATAATCCAATTTATAATTTATAATTGTATGCTAGTAAAAATTAAGGAATTTCGCTCATGATTTCGAAATAATTTTAATTCTTATTGGTTATAAAATGAAATCATCAGAGAAAAGAATAAGATTTAATGAAAATGGCTTTAATGGGATACTGGAATGGGATACTTAAAATATAAAACAAGATACTGGCATATAATTATTTGGCCAATTTAGGTATGGACACTGACAACATCATCAGGCTTCCCTATAGTTGTTCGACTTACCGCGAGTCTTTACATAAGCGATTTTTTATTTCGGTAATAAATTTTATTTAGATCAAAAGGTGAATTAATGAGAAAGAATGAAAAAAAACGAAAATATATAAAAAAAAATTCAAGACTTACGCAGCTATCTATTGGTTTTAACAGAACTTCAACGGGAACAGTTTCAGGGATGGTAATAATCTGATCACCAAGATTTAACTGTAGAAAACCGCGGCATAAACAATAAAAATCAGCTGTGAGCATTAAATTCATATCATTAAACGTACTCACTACGGCCAAATTAGGAACTAAAAAATTTTAACTCACATTATTCAAAATTTACGAGAAAAAATATACCAAAAATATATCTGCCGAAAGATATAAGAAACAAAATAGATTTACCACTGTGAGAAATAGCTGCGTCTAAATTCCGAAAACAATCAAATTCGAGATCATGAGACTGAGAAAAAACATTAACTTTAGATTTGAAGAAACAATATGATTGAGAAAGGAACTGACAAATGCTTTCATATCCTGAAATATCATATTTCGAAAACAAATAAAATAAATATTAATTTTCCAAGAAATTTTATTTGATAAAAGATTCACTACGTAAATGCTATTATAGCTATTAGAAATAATATCACCTGAAAAGAAAAATATCATTTAAAAGTAAAAATAAAATAATTAAAATAAAAATAAAAATAAAATAATTTGAAAAAATGTAATATGTGTATAAAATGTAATAAAAATGTAAAATATAATAAGAAAAAGTAAAATATAACAACAGCATACCAAAAAATATTCAAAAATATTCAGATAAAATAAGTATAAACAAAAATTTTGAAGAATAAACCTTGAACATCCTGAACTTTTGATATTTCAACTCGGAAACCCTCATAAAGCCTAACATCGCTGAACTTTATAGTTAACCAATCAATCAGACAATTAAAAAGGTCATCTGCAACAAATAAAACAAAATATTTAAACAAATAAAATATTTTATTTTTATTTTTCAACATTAAATTCAAATATGATTCATATAAAAAATATAATCCAAAAAAATGATGCAAAGCCAAATGGCAAATCAAAATAAATAACTTTTTGTGATGATTGTTGCAAAAATTTTCTTTAAGAATATTTTAAATAAAAATAAAATGAATTTTATATAAAATGAAAATAAAAAGATTAAATTTCATGAAGATAAAAATTATTTAAATCAACTTTTCAAAAATTTTTTACCATTTTCATCCTGATTTTCTAAATTGTATTGTTCAAAATATTTTATAAAACTTGAGAATTTGAACTGATTAGTTGCACGAATATTAGTTGTTTCAGCAACAATGCAGTTATTGGAGAATTGATTTAACGGAAATATGAGTACTGAACTGCATTCAATAATTATATCAAGCTTTATACGTTGCCTTTGTCCATCAATTATCTTAAAAAATTCTTTGTCATGCTATACATTTTGTCAAAACAAAATATATACTATTTTTCAAAGTATTTAAAAAATAAAGTATTTAAAAAAACGACAATGAATAAAGGGTTATTTTATTGTCTAGAACGCCAGGGTTCGGATTCTGTTTGCCTAAGAAATTGCTAAAAAAAAACTTGTTATTCAAAATAGTTCGGCGATTCATCTGTACTTCCATCGTAGAATAACTTCCTGGTAAAAATTTCTACTAGAAGAGCGAGTATGATCACAATACGATGAGCGTTAACAACTCTTATTTAAAGACAAAGAAACTAACAAAATGATCTGTCGAACTATTTCTTTTATTCAGCTGATCCATAAGATCAAAAAATTGTTGCCAAAAATCATATAAAGCACATATATATCGATGTGTATGCACATAAACTAAATTCATCTGAACTGGTACTTGCAAAACAAAGTGTACATCCCAATCTCTCCGTAAGTCAAGATCTACACTGGTATATCTGAAATTTGTTTTTTTAAATCCATAACCAAAAGTGTTCCAATACTGAATATTAAGCGGTGAAAAAAAACTGACTTTTGAAAAAAAATATTGATTCTTGAAGATTTGCCGTTACTACTATCTATTGATAAATCAGGAAACCATTTGATTACTACCCGTTCTTTATATAACTCAGAATAAAATTGAGTAGAATCCGATAAAGAAAATGAGGAAGCAGAAATATTGATCGTGAAAGGCTGATCGTCGATTCCCGTGAACTGAAAGTAAGGATAACATCTGTAAAATTAGATAATAGCTAACAAATTCAAATATTTGAAAGTAAATATTGCAAAAATTTATTTAAAACCACATTACCACAAATGATAGCATGAAATCATCAGCATTAATTACGCCTAACTGGTTTCCATTAGCTGGATAATTCATATTTATACGGAGAAAATTCGCCTTTAAATCTATCTTTTTACAATATGAATCTAAAATTTTAAAAGATTAGGATCAGATCATTGCTGCAAATAAATACTTGAACCGTAACTCTCATTGAATACTCAAGAAAATTATTCAAAAAAATAAACAAATAAGTTTAAAAAATAAAAAATGGAATAAAAAAATGAAAATAAAAGTTTGAAAAAAAGTTTTTTTAACAACCTTGTTTTCGTTCCAATTTCGGCGATAATATATTCTGCAAAAATAAGGAATCATTTAACCTCGTAGAATATGGATTCATATCCGTTCTTTTACCACAAAAACCGAAGTAATCTAATATTAATGCCCAAGTTCTTCGATTCAGACCAACTTCAGCAAATGGAAATACAACTTCAACGAAACAATTAGCCTAGAAAAAAAATATCAACTAATAAAAAAAATAAATAATCTAAAAGAAAGAAACTTCAATATTAAATAAGTTAAAAAAAACAAAGTTAGATATCGCTTTTCTTTTGGTAAATCTGCCATTAAAACTAAAGACAAGTGGAAACGTATGACCTAATTTACTTATATTTCTATCTTCAAGAGACTCATCGTGAAAGTGCCCAACATCTTAATCACAATATATCAGATCAATTCAGAAATGATATTTCAAATATTGGAAGAAAAAGAAAAATGATTAGCAGAAGATACCAAAAAAAACCATCAAAAATGAAACGAACTTTTTTATGAAAAGAATCAAACAGAGGATGTTGACAATTTACGAAAGTAAAAATAATAAAAGAATCATTATTGGTTAATTCTTCAGTCAAAATAGGGTAGATCGTTCTTGTCTTTGAAGATCGAGTAATTTTGTTTGTTACATTATTCCATTGCGAGCTTCGCTGCGATCTGCGCGATGAATTTGGAGATATCATAGGCAAACCTAAAATAATTTATTCGATTCAGCAATCATTTAGAAAAGATTTAAATGATTTACTTACTTTTACTACGATTCATTTTCATTGTCTCCATGGTTGACAGATTTTGCAGATTCGGGCAAGAAGAATAAAGTGGTTTCTAAAGAAATAGGAATTTACAATATAATACATATATATATATATATATATATATTATTGCACAGAATAAAAAATTATAAATTAAAATGCATAGTATTAACCAAATATGCCATCGGAATTCGACCTGCAGTTCGAAATAGTGATTTATCAGAAGGTTCAAAAAGATCTTTCACATCTAGTTCGCCGAATCCAAACTTACACTGAAACTTACACTGAAATTTCAAATTCTACAAAATTACGAAAGGAATTTTTATTCTAGTATATATTTTATTCTAATATTAATATATTATGCAGAAAAAATTGATCACCTTAGATAAATTATTTTCTACATTCTCGAACACAATCGAAATTCGTTTCATATTCACCAAAGCAAAAGGAGAGGCAGCATAGCAGCCTTTGGATTCACCAAGAAGACCTCTATTACGACGTAATTCTATTTGTGCCTGCAGATAAACGATTAAAGATGAAACTCGGATGCCAATCAAAAATGTTAAATGGAGTTGTAATATGAAGTATGAAAAAATTTAAGATTTCAAAGAAAGAAAGAAGAAAATTGGTGAATAAATTGGCTTATTTTAAGAAAAATCTCACTTGTGGGATTTCGATTTTAAGGAAGATCTGTCCAAATGTTTGAGCATTCAATGAGTCATTGCTCTGAAAAAACTTGATACAAGAAAAAATGAAATATTTCATTTGTGAAACAAATAGTTCGAACTTTCATCCGTTTCTAATCCAGAAATAACCGAAAAATTTGTAAAACAATAAAACTAATCGAATTGCACCGAATCCTCGAAAAATCCATTGTTTATTCCAAAAATTACCTGAATATCAACACTATCACAACCAAACATTTCGATCAGATCACTGAAAGCACCTTCATTATACATAAACGATAAATCGCTGAATTTCGCATCAATGGTATGAGTGATCATCCGTTTCGGAGACTTTCTACGATAAACAACTCTAAAAAAAATCTTTATCGAACAATATGACGAGATACTTGGAAATGCGATTCGCCTCTAAAATATTTTTAAAAATATTAAATTAAATAAAATTTATTATTTAAAAATATTAAATTATTGAAATAAAACTTTGCAGGCAATGACATTACAACATAACCAAATAATCAACAAGTTTCAGACAAATTATTCGAATAACTACACGATACGTTTTCTTCCCTCATGGAATCCTCAAGGAATAAGATGAAAATCCACATCTATCTGACTCTTCATTATTATCTGTGAAATTAGATAGAAAAGATCGAGAGGCTATCCACCTTTGATCATTTCTTACCTAAGGTAATTTCTCATGTACCCGCCGAGTGGTACATATGATGCATCCATCTTTGCTTAATACAGTCCACTATTATAATACACTAGTTAGAACATCATCTTCGCCAGCAGTCACAGGAATTTGCATATCTCTATATCAAGCTATAATGATAGATGGCACCAAAACTGATGCACCAAAATCAAGATCTCGACTGACATGGTCAAAAACGATAGATTGGCCAACCGACTTATGGGATCAAACAGTGGAGGAAAAAGAAGTTTCTATTATTATTATTTTCATGATATAGAACAGGAAAGATATTTCAATATTTCAAGATATTCGGTTCAAGATATTTCATTCCTGTAGTTATTATAGTTGGCCAAATTAACAGTATAAACTATAAGGTGAAGAAATAAGGCAAACAAAACAAATGGCTGAATATAAAAAACATCTTGAAAAAAAAGTAGTACTAAAATATACTCAAAGATTGGTTCCGAAATCGCTTGATTAGATCGTCGAGTTGAAGAACCGAATTGATTACAATCTGCTCTGTATTTTGCTTTACCCATTGTGAAAAGTAATTGTGTTGTTTCACTAATTAAACCGGTGCCAAATCCAAATATCAAAGAATCGTCTGAAGAATAAAAAAAAGTTTTAAAAGAAATATGGAAAATGGAAACCTTATATGAAATGAAATATGAATAGAATATTGAAAACCAATATAGAAAAGTTATTCGACAGCCTTAACAGATAGTTTTACCAATTATTTTGCTAAAAAATAAGGATTTGTAAAAAAAAATAACCGTCATATTCAGCAGTTTCACAAGATTTGTTATTAGAAGTATATAACCGCTGAATATTCATATCTTGCACCGAAAATGATAAAGCGGTACTATGATGATAAGGACTTAACCGAATACAACTTTTAACATCACGTAGATCCATTGCGAGATATCGATAATTACTTTTCGTATTAAGCTAAAAGTTATTTATTTATCTTCAAAACAATTTTTATTCTGAAACGAATTCTTTTAATTCCATTAACATATAATGTCTAAAATATAACCTCATTTTCATCTATAAATCTTATCATTAACTGCTTCAAATGCATAACGATATCGGCTAATATAACGTCCCGTCGCAATAAAGTAGAGTCATCACGACTTTCACTCAAAACGTCGAGTATTTCACCCTCCAACTAAAAAAATCTAAAGGAAGTCGATAATTAATAAAAGCCTTTTAAAAAAAAAGTTGAAAAAAAATAAAAGGTATTACACGTTTTCCAAGCTCTTTTAGTTCCATTGGAATATTTGTATTTTCCCTTATTTCTTCTGAACTTCCATTCTTTTCTACCATATCTTAAAATTTTTTTTACATTATTTTGAAATAGCGATGAGTAAAATTTTGATTTGCAGCGAAAAAAAATTTCACCTTCAACTGCACCAAAAAACCAACTACTTAACCATCCATAAAGTCCTCTCGATGATCTGGAAGAATCTTGTGGTGTACCGTTTTGTGAGCCTTCTAAATGATTACATGAATCTGATGCCTTTTGAGAAGCCGCTAAAATTATAGTGAAAAGGAAATGAAAAATTATAGCGAAAAATTTAAAAAAAGAATTAAAAAATCTTTTAATTCAAATTTTTTTAAGAAAAGAAAAAAAACCGTTTGTAGAATTTCGTAACTATAGAATTTCTTTTGCTATATGAATAAGAATAAATTATAAAATTAAAATGAATTGTAATATTAAATTTAAAATTTAAATCAAAGTGAGATTAAATGATTCTGAGACGACTGCTTTCTTGAAAAATAACGAAAATTAAAAAAATTAAAATTACAGATGTTGAAGGCTTCAATCACTTCAATATCAGAATCACTTTCATTGCTGAATTTTCGCATTTTTTTTTCTTCTATGCATATATGATAATAAACGGCTTCGCGGAAGAGTTGAAGCTCCTTAAGAGCTATATATATTATATATATGAAACAAGTCGGCTGGCTGTTGGGCACAACTCTATGACTTCAATTTAACGAAAGAATCATCAAAAATCTCGATCAGCTATTTAGTAACTAAACCAAAAATGGTGATTACTGTTTGAAGAGAATTTTAAAAATGTTTTGGACAATTTTTTTACAAATTTTTTATAGTCAAAATTTACCTGAAAGGTATAGCTAGAATCCCTTTCGATCTGCTTCATTAAAAAAATATCCTCATTACTTAAAGAAGGATTTAACGAATCTGTCTTGTGCTTTGGTGTTTCTTCCAACGGATTCATTAAATCCATCTGGATATCGTCAAATGACCGAATTAATTCGTTCTGCTCTTCGACTTCATTAACAATCTAAATTCGAAGCATTAATCGACAAGCGATTCTTACAAAAAATTCACGTTTAAAAATTTATAAAATTTACATATAAATTTAAAAGATAAAGAAATTTGGAAATTTAACTAGCACAACTTCTGCTCTAGCCGATTCAATAATTGCTAAAAGCCTTCTCCGATAAGCACGACAATATGAATTCAACTGTTTTACTCGAGCAATGACAAAATTCCATGTTTTTCGTAAATTTCTCTGATGTATTTCATCTTGAATTCGATTATATGCGAAACTCCACCATTCTTTAGCACTTTTAAATGAAAGAAAGAAATATTAAAAAGTATTTAAAGAAAATTGGCAGTAAATATTAAGAAATAAAAGCAAAATTGAGTTTAAAAAACCATACTTCCCAGCAAGAGGAACAAGTGGTCGCCATTTCCGATGTTCTCTCGCTCGATCATACCTGGACCATTCCTCCGCAAGAAATCTCATTTCATTTAATTGACGTTTCGTTAATTCAATGTTTAGTTTTTCTGCTCGTAAATTAAACTAAAAAGTTTGAAAAAAAAGTTAGTTAATTCAATTTGATGGATTAAAACAATGAGGAAATTTTGGTTCTCCGGGAAAAAATGATAAAAAAGCAAAGAAATTGATTTCATTGGTATTGTTCGACTATCCTAGAATAAAAATCCGTCTATCCGAAAATCGGCAGCATAAATATGTACAAAATAAAAGCATGAAAAAATGGATAAAAATGAAAATGAATGCCTTGAATCGAGGGGTAAATGGAAAAATTTTCAATGGAAATTTGCTACTATTCTTTTCCATAAACAATTGAGCACTGAACGGTTGCAAGATATGTACATCATCTTTATTCATTTCTGGAGCCATACGATGCTTTAAAAATTATTCAGATTGTTATTTTGTTGTTAATTTGAAAACCATTAAAAGTAATTTGTTATATTTCATTAATTACTCCTAACTTATTGAAATTGTTTTAAATTCAATGGTTCAAATTATTTTTAATTCATTTAACTATCATTAAAACAATTTCTTAACCTTTTAATTGAATGATTTAGCTAATTCTAAGATTAAATAAATGTAGAAATTAAATTATTATAATCTAATTTTTACATTTAATTCTATAATCTTACATATAATCCTATTCTTTTTCAACTTTTTACTTCACAAATTGATCAGTGTCACTAAGAGGAAATTTCAGGAGTGAGAAAAAAAATTAGGAAAAAATTCAGCAACGGAAATGAATTACGAAAATTTACTTGCAATTCAGAATATGAATTTATAATAACATCGCTTTTGGCACCACTATTCCAATAAAATGACAGACCTTCCAAATTCAATTTTTTGAAAATGTTTACATCATGTTGTGGCTGTATATAATCAGGTTTCTGCAAAATAACTATTAACAACCTTTAAGAAAATAATTATAAATTGAATAATTTGAAAAACTAACCCACTGAGAATTAGTAGTTTGTGCAGTAATGCAGTGGACTCTTATTCCAAAAGAAAATCCAGCACCATTTGGAAGAGTAATATTGTCCTCATATCGGATATGAACATTGGTAATGATCAACTAAAAATTATCAAGAATCTAACTGATGATGTATCTAATGTTTTATTAAATAAATTTTTAAATTAATGAAATTAAATTAAATGAAAAAAGAATTTAAAAAAGGGCAACACCAATGTATCAATAAATTAACGAATTTTGTAGTATTCGAATAAATCTGGAATAAATCTGTCAATGAAAATGGAATCCAGGTGGTTCTGCGGACACAACATCTTAATTCACAAGTGTTTTCATAACGAAGGGTTCTCATCAATAATCATTAATCAATAATCAGCCAATTCAGGAAAAACTTTCAGAAGAAGAAAGATGAAGAAAATTATCACAGTTACAGTACAAATAAAGATTAACCACTACAAATGAAAGATGAACACTCTAAAATTAAATCAGAATACTAAAGATTGGAGAGAGTGTGGAAGACCTTGCGACTTGAGCTTAAAATCATGGCTTCAAATAATTGCGGATCAAGAAATTCATTCTATTTATTAGTCTAATGCTATTGGAAGAAGTGAGATGAATAAACCTGTATGTTGTTGATAATAGTCGAAACAAGAGAATAACCCCACCAATTTTTTTGCAATGAATCATCGACCCATAATCCCATATTTGTTAACAATTGTTTCTGAAAATGGGAAAAAAACCATATTTCTAACCAAGAACTATCGCTTTCCATTCGAATAATAAAAAGGTTTAAATAACCTTATGTTGTTTTTCAAGTTCATCTAATAATTGTTCTTTTTTTGATTGTTCATACATCTCTATAGTCTCGAAATTATAATTGTTCAAATCAGATGGTTCTAAAAGAACAAGTAAATCACTCATTTTCACAACCCATGGTTCACTTCTCATCCGTGTTATTGGTACTGATAACGTAAGTTTTCCAAGCAGACCGGATTTTACCTGGAAAAATAATTGTAATAACAGTTTGAACAGCAAAACTCCAATATAAATATAGAAGAAAAGTGAAACGTTTTTTTATTTTTAATCAAACCTGAAATTAAAAAATATGTTGCTTTTTCGGATGAAAACCTTTCATCAGTGTATAAAAAATTTTACAGAAAAGCTACAGCGAATTTAATAAAAAAAATATTCATGAAAATTACCTGCAAAGGTATGTCGAACTTACGCAAAGCTGATTTTTTTAAAGGAACATTTTCCAGTTCAACTTGCCCTGAAAAACTTAGGTTGAAAATAACCTCTTCCTTATAATAATGCGCAATTCTCGTTTGAAAAAACTCCAGGGATTTCGATAAGCCTCTCGTCAAAAATTTTAAGGATGCAAACTAGGAATCCGAACCGCTTCCATACATTTTATTTTAATCGAAGCATCACTCGTCTCAATCATTCGTGCTACCAAAAATTTACATCATTTGTAAAGTAGAAAATTGGCTCATAGTTCCGAAGAAGCCGAAAATAACCTTGAAGTATTGCAACGCTAAGTTGGTCGGTATTTAAATCTTCTAAATAATCGCCAATATAAGCATTTAATACCCAAGCGACTAAATTTTCCAACATTTTTCTTTCAACTCTTATTGAATCATCTTTGTTCTGAGAAATCCAAAATCTGAAAATCTACAAAAAAATGAATTTTTTCTTTAGAGGAAAAAGAAATGAATTTAATTTTTAAGATTTGCACCTCATCTGAAATTATTTTACCACAAAATTTCATTTATTTTAGAATAATTTGATTAATTTATGCCGAAATTATATGTCGTGTCAATAGAATAAACTACTGAAGTGCTGCAGCGATAACAAACATTGAATGGCTCAGCGCAATTTCGCTCTCATTTCGGGCAGCAAAAGCTGGAGATATACTGCGGTATGAGTAAACCTATCTTTGAAAAATGCGGATGATGTCTTCTCATCTGCCAAATTTCTTGCCAAATGAATCTCTGCTAGAACCTGCCTAATGCAAAAAACCAACGGAGGGAGCCTAACCACAACGGTGAGTGGTCTCCATTTTCACTTTCGTTACACCCATTTGTAACAGTCGTCAAAAATCCCGTCACCATCTTCCCATTTCGTTGAGTTAGAGTTAGATATTATGAAATGGGCCAAATTTTATGCGAAATCTCGCAAACTTCTTTAAATATCCCTTTTAGCGCCTTACAAGCTTCACTGCACTCTTTGCCCAAAAGCCACCATCAGTAACATCAGTAACATCAATTTATTTTTAATGCCTCCGTTTATTGCCTTTATGCCTATTTCCCGCAGTTTTGCCACAATCCTAATTAGAATGAGCGGGAGCATTGCTGGGAGAAAATTATACGGGTGCGGTAGTGTCAAAATAGTGCATCGAGATTCCAAGAAGTATTGAGGGGAGAGAATACAACGGGTTTTGAGGAAATAACATGTCGTTTTTTAGTGTCATTTTTATTAGTGTTGATAAAAAATAATGCAATGTTCTTCTTTAAGTTGTACCTCGCCAGGCCCGTTTTAACTTTCTAATTCTGTTTCAGTACCGCTTTCATTATCATTTGTTAACTTAAATTTTTAACTTAAACAAATGGCTACTAATTATTTACAAAATGACTGCCGTCACTAAAATAAATTACTCATTACTGTAATTTAACTCGTATGGCGTACTTGTTTTAAGTAAAAAACCCTAGAAATCAAATATATGCAAATAAAATATTAAAAGTACGGAAATTTCAAAAAAAAATTTAGTTTTCTTGTCAAATTTAATGAATTATTTAAATAATTAAATAATTTATTTCTAACTTTCATTTTAATTTTATCATTTACTATTAAATTTACAATTTATAATCACAAATTTTGCTATTATTATTATTACTATTATTTTGCTATTATTACGCAAATTTTATTATTTGTTATTTTATTATTATACAAATTTAATTATTTATTAAATTGAATAAATAATAGTTGCGAAACTTATTTGTTATTATATAAATTACAATTACACAAATTTTATTACTGAAAATTACTGCTATATGAATTATAAATTTGTTATACAAATTTTATTATTTATTTGCTTAAAATAATTTCCATCACTGTATTTCTTAAAATTTTCTTAAAAAATTGCTCGAATAAATTATCTCGAATTTTTCGTAAATTTCTTTATTGATCATATAAATTAGAGAAAAACAACCAATTAAATAAATAATAATAAGAATACCTTAAACAAAAGATATGCAGAAATAGCGTTGATTTGAAAGAGATTTATAAAAATAAATTTAAATAAAAAGTCGTTGCAAGACTATATCTATAAGTAATAACACAATATTTATCAACAGATCACGTTTAATTTACTTATTTATTTACAGTTTATTTGTTCATAACAAATCAGTTCATTCATAATTAATTTACAGTTTATTTCGTAATTTATGCCTTGAAAGTTGAAATTTAAAGCCAATAAGTTTCAGTCGAATTTGCAAGTATTTTATTTTAATACATCCACTATGAAGAAAAGTGTCATAAAGTTAGCAAATACAAATATGGCATTGGAGACCAGTGCGCCAATGGAGAACGCCTTCGTTTTGCTGAAGAGCATTTCTTTGTAATACATGCTTTCGGCATCCGAGGAAATCTAGTCACGTGGATCTCTCTGGACAACCAATATTTCAATCAGGTTGACTATATATTTGTCAGTCACAGCTGGAAGAGTTCTGTATTTGATAGTCATTCTTATTGGGGCGCTGAAACTAATAACAGACATGGGAAAAATCATGTTATGGTTCGTTCCAAGAGTCGTATAAAACTGATAAGTCGTAAGAAACAACGTATCCCAAGATCTTTCAACTATTTCAAATTAAAAGATCTGGGAACATTAAGCGCATTTCAAACCGTATTATTGGAACACCTCAGTGAAATGAACGTCAATCTCTAGAAAGGCGAATGAATACTGGTCCCAACTAAAGATATACCTACAAAAGTAAGCTTCCACATTAGCGTATACTAGTAGGAAGTGCACTAGTTGGGTGTTAGAAGCAGCTGTACAACTGTCTGAAAAGCTACTAATGCCCGAATGTCTGAAGATCCTAACTATCGATTGCTTCGAAGAATTACAACGACAGCAGCACGGCGGAACAAAAATAGCTATTGGAGCGATATGGCCTTGAGAATGGAGACGGCAGCTCGAATAGGTGATAATAGGAAAATGTTTCGCCTTCTTCATCAAGCAACTATAACTAGAGAAGGGATCAGTGAAATGATACGGGATATTAATGGGGTGCCTATTTAAGATTGCCTCAGAAGACCAAAAGAATTTTTTGAGGCCAAACTTAACCACGATGCGCCATCTATTGTCCCGAATATAACTGATTCGAACAGAACTGTGTTTATAATTGTGAACCATCAACAGAAGAGGAAATAATCTCTGTAAATCATAAGATTAAAGCCAATAAAACTCCCGGAAAAGATAGTCTTCGGGCTGAACTCTTCAAATGTTGTCCATCATCGTTCATAACTCACCTTCAACAAATTATTCTCTGATATGGCAAAAGGAAATAATACCAGAAGACTGAAACAAAGCAATTCTGCTTCCAGTTCCTAAGATAGGACATACTCCGACAATCATCAAGGAATCAGCCTACTGGACATCACCGGAAAAATTTTTGTTTTTCTTCTATTAAATAGACTCATGACAAAACGAGGTAGCAGAATGCGTCCTAACAAAGCTGGATTCAGACCGGGACGCGGTACCAGATATTTACGCTAAGAAGGGTGCTAGAGCATCGCTTCAAATACCAGCAACCCATCTTCACTTGCTTTATCGATTTTGCACTACCTTTGATTCGATTGATAGAACAGCGCTCTGGAAAATGATGGAATGTGGCAGAGAAGATCATTCAGCCATATGTCAACCGTCAATCATCATGAAGGCATTTTATCAGCATACCCTGGCGCAAGTCTGTCTTTATGGGGAATTGGCAGACTCTTTTGAAATAAAAACTGGTATCCGTCAGCGCTGAATCCTTTCCCCCACAATTCAGCTATGCGATAAACTGGATAATGGCACTCAATAGGTGTGCAAATCAGTCTATATCATAGCATGAATACGCTGATGATGTAGTCTTTTATAAGGAAATGTTATAAGGAAATGCAAATAATATTAAACAATGTTTCAACAACTGCAGCGAGAATTGGACTCAAAATTAATATGAATAAAACTAAAGTGTTTTCGTCATATAAGATGCTAATAAAATACTTATTTTTATCATTTCATTGCCGATTGAGGAACTGCCCGACTTTAAATACCTTGGATCCACTCTAATCCCAAGTGGCAAGGAAAAGGATGGAATTATATCCCGGACAACAGCTAGAAATGTTTTTCCGATTGATAAAACTTTTATGGAAGCATCGCTAAATTACCATAAAGACGAAAATCTGGGTCCGTATAGCTGCAATTCGTTCGATCTTGCTATATGTCTGCAAACATGACCAATAAGAGTGGAAGATATTAAGAAGTTATTGGCCTTTGACATCTCATGACTAAGATATATTTTACGGATTCGTCGAGCGAATAAAATCGCATAGGATTGTACCTATCTTCGCTCAGCTATTACCTCTATTAATAATGTTATCAAAGAGCATTGCTTTCGTTGGTTAGGGCACGTTCTCTGTTCTTCACCACAGAAGTTGACGCATATTTCGTTGCTTGCTAAATCCTGAGATGGTTGGTGTCGAGAAAAGCGAGGTGGGCCAATCAAGACCTGGACTGATACGGTGAGAAAAGATTTTGAACGTATAGGGGGACCAGCGATATATGGACTTAGACGATGGAAAAAGGAATGGCTTCCATTATTACTAGCGATGGCGTCGGACCGAGCAGCTTGGAGATGTCTTATCTTTATAGCCACCGCAACCAGCCTAACCAGTAATGGTGAGAGCTGTTAGAAGAAGAAGAAGCAAACATATCTCTATCATTATCAAATTATATCCATTCATTCTCCATCGTTATTAAAATATATCCATACAATTTATTAAAAAAAACGACATAACTTTGATTTTATTTACTTAAACTAATTCAATTGCTTAATCAGTTAATTATCACTAAATCGTTCGCTTCGCCATTTACTTAGTGATTATTAATTTTTTCTGACAGTTCTCATGATTATTGGTTTCACTGGTTTCGCTGGCTCTAATGATAAATTTCATTTCCGTTGTTTTGAGCTGTTGTTTTCGAAAATTTTAAAAAATAAATTCTTGAAACGATTTTAATGAATTCACGTGAAATTGGGTTTTTTTTCTCCGTTCGTGTTCTCATTAGTTGATTGGTTATAAATAGAAATTTGTATGAATAAAGAATTAAAATGAATATTGAAATGACCGTTTAAGTTAAATTATTATTTTTCATTTTAAATAAATTTTTATTTTTTATTATTTTATTTATTTTTTATTTATTTATTTTTTTAAAATTTTATTTAATAATATTTTTTAAAAAATGGAAAATTTGATTTGAAAAATCAAATGAGGGAAAAACAAAAACCAATGGGAAAAAATCGAATGAACGAGGCGTTTGTTCTTAATTAATTGAAATATGACGAAATGGATAAATGTGAAAATAAATAAATAATAAACGATAAATGCGAACTATGCAACCAGTGAGGCCGCTGAATGGCGCTTGAAACGAATCGCTTTTCTTTCTATTTCACGTGGTTCCACAGGTTTCGCATGGAAAGCGAAGTGCAGGTGAATCGCCACCTTCATCCTTAGTTCGCACCATTATTGGTTAGGCTGGCTGCAAGGATAAGAGGTTTCCAGGCCCGTCTAAATTTATTCTTATTCTTAATGATAGGCCTTTTGCCATCAAAGAACGAGAATCAAATTTAGCTTGCTGGCTCGGCTTTAATCGAAGCAACTTTGCCTATTGTTTGGTCCTTAAGGAATATCGTAAAATATACGTCTCTTATGCAAATTATATTTAATTTCTAAAAACGTACTTAAATATTTCGATTAAATATTTTTTCGTTTATTTATTTATATAATTGTTTATTTATTTATATAATTGTTTTCGTTTATTTATTTATATAATTGTATATAAATGCGTCATTTATATATTTAATTAATATATTTATAGATTTAAATTTATTTATTTTTAATCGGTCTTTTTTTTTCTTTTCAAAATCATTCACCATTAGACCCGCTCAGCTGGCTTGTCGCAGTAGACAAATGTGCCAGGGAGTTTCTTGGGGCGGTGGGTTGCCAGCATCACCTTAATTTTAGAAGGACAGATTTTCTCTGCTGGGATTAGAACCTCGGCATTGGCGCTCCGAATGGAGCAGCAACCCACTGAGCCCATTCTATTTTCCTTTCTCTGCTCTGTTAAGTGATATTGCCTGCGTGATTTGATTCGAACCCATCTCTCGATTCTCAGTGGTAGTTAATATTATCACTTTTCCACATCGACGCGTCTATTTAATAGACTATCGAAATTTGTTTCTTCGATTTATTTAATTATTATGTTAAAAAGAAAATGGAATTTTATAATTTCATTTAATTTTAGGTGGAAATGGCAAAAAAAAAAGAATATTCATTGATTGATGGAAGTGCGAAAGCTCATAATCAAAATGTTCATAATCATATTCATAATCATATTCATAATCATTCAACGAATGATTTATCAAATAATAAGCAAAATAATAAGAGGAAATTAGCTGTTCATAAACAAAAGGAGGTTTGTTTTTTTATTTTTTATAAGTTTTATTTAGTATAATTTTCGATTTCTGTACAGCGATGAGCGGTAATTACGAACTTTTCTATCCCAAAGTGACTCTCTCGAAAGGGTCCTACGCAGCAGTCAACGCATTTAACGGAACCAGAAGCGGTATTAGATTTAAAAGAAAATTAAAAGATTGCAGTATTTTTTCGCCTGATTTCCTTTTTCTTCTTCTTCTTCTAATAACTTCCACCATTATTGGTTAGGCTGGCTGTAAGATATCTCCGAACTGTACGATTTTATGCCAAATAGAAGCTATTCCTTTTTCCGTCGTCCGTATATCGCTGGTTCATTATATGTTCATTTCCACGGTTTTTCCACGGTTGTAAAAAAATTCTGTGGGTTTTAAAGTTGAGAAAATATATTTAATTATCAAAAAATTGAAATATTTGTGTATTTTGTACAAATCTGTCACATTTAAACCTGGATTTGCGCATTAAAAAATCGCAGGCAAATTTAGGGGAATTGGTAATAAGTCTTAATAAGAAACGAAGATGGTCAGGTGTTATGGTTGCTTTAATTCTCATAGAGCACCATAGGTTCGATTCCATACCTCGACAGGAGCAAACCTGTTGAAAATGTTCGGGTGTTGCTGACGACTCATTTGTGTTTTTGTGTTTTTCTGTCACTGGCTGGCTATTGCAAAAACCACACTAACATTGAGTAATGAGTACTGGCCGCATATTTATTTATTTTATTTTGTACGTAATTTTATACTTTTGTAATTCATTAGTTGCTCGCTAAATTTAGATTTTTACTGCTACAGAATTTCTATTTTTTCATTTTTTTTTCTCTCTCTCTTAAATTATAACTTATTCATGCGATTTTATATGAAAAAAATAGGCTGACAATATTTTAATGCTAATCGAAGGAAAAGATAGTAAATAAATAAATACGACATTAATAAGGTAAAATTAGTAAAAAATTGCGATATAGTTGACATTTTCTTATTGTCTTCTTCAGTCACCAGCGGCAGGATCAAGTAATCGTAATGTATATGATGTAAGTGAGTTGCGTGCTCAACTCGGTTCCTATGGTCTTACTGTTCGTGATATTCCTGGTGATGGAAACTGTCTTTTCAGGTTATTTTGACGTAATTTTCAATTACAACTTTTTTAAGCAAAAGAATATCGATAAAGAAACGTTTTTTGATTATCGAACTTTTAACTTTTTATTTGTAGATTTATAATATTTATAATATTTAATATTTTAATATTCACAAAATTGGAAGTAAATTTTAATTCTTTCATTATTTTGCGAGATTTTTTCTAAACGGATGCACCGTTTTTTACAGAGCATTGGGAGATCAGTTAGATGGGCACACATTGAACCACCTCAAACATAGACTGGAAACGGTGCGTTATATGATTGCTCATCGGGCTCATTTCGAACCTTTCCTTGATGTACCTTTTGATAGATATGGTTAGCATTTATTTCCAGAATATATGTTTTAAAACGACATTTTGAAAGGTCTTCGGTTATAATAAGTGACAAAAATCAGGCATAATTGGTTAAATTTAGGTTTTTAGAATTTCTTTAAAGTTATCACCTTTTTTAATTAACTTTATCAACCGTAAACTAGGCAGTAAACCGAATCATCACTGTTCGTTTTAGTACCTTTCTCCAGGCAATCACTTAAGGAAAAAATAAAGAAATCCACAACAGCTATTCAAATTTCACTTTCAATGATAAGTTTATTTCTATCAGGAGAATAGAACCGAACCAGTATTGCTTGCCCTCAGCCGAACCGACAGTTAACTTATGAATATTATTTACATTGCGGGATTGTAAGCCTGTTTTAAGTTGAATATCAATGCAAAAATAATTTTTTATATATATATTAACGTTAAATTCAAGCAAGTTGCAGTGGATGAACTTAGTCGTCCGGGTACTTATGCGGGTCAAGATGCTTTAGTAGCCTTCGCGCGTCTACACAAAGTCAATATTTTAATTCATCAGTTGAATAGACCGGTCTGGCAAATTCAAGGCTGTGAGAATGAAAATGCTCCCGAATTACATCTTTCTTATCATAATGGTGAACACTATTCAAGTGTTCGTAGATTCGGTGATTTTGATAATACACCAGCAGGGATCCGTATTTTAGCGGTTATTTTTGCGTTGCATTTCTTATTTCTTGTTTAAAATTCAATTTCCAATCGATTATCTAATAAATTTTCTAATGAAATTTTTCTTTCTGCCCTCTACTTTTTTTTAAGGGATATTATTTTCAGTGGATTTTTTCGATAATTTTTTTAGAAGACCACAACAGTGCCTTGTTGCGCTTCGCATAACAGCGTTTGCACAGCGGCTACACCAGTTACATCGTTTGCAGATTTATCATCAGTACAAAATTCGTTCATGAAACCTCCTGCTCAGTCTGTTCTTCTGGATTCTACTACAATTGACTATTTGGGAAACGATGAATTCGAATTACTTATTAGACAGGTATATAAATTTGATTTTGACTACTTTATTTTATTTTGCTACATAATTTATAATTTAAGGTTATGATGGAAAGTGGCTGTCGTGACCGCGAAATGGTAACCGATGTTTTAGTTGATAAAGGTGGTGATGTTATTCAGGCTATTGATTACTTGGTTTCGCTGACCTTTTATATTGATCAGCCTAACAATGAACAATTAACAGGTATTTTCGATGTGAAGGAAATGAAATCACTACATCTTTTTTTTGCATTTTTTCTCATTTGCTTTTAATTTTTTTTATTATTTCTTATTTTTTCTTAAGAGTTATGTTGTTATTTATAAATTTCTGTATGTGCAAAATAAATTTCGAAAAGCTGAAAATATAAAAAGTGCTATTTTTATTTTTTATGTTTTTGTATATGTTATTTTTAGAATTTTTAATTTATTTAGATCAGCTGAGGGTTTCCAAAGAAAATTCTGAAAATCATTTTGATAATATGGAAGAAAATTTAGCAGAACGGTTATTAAATGCAGAAGTGAGTTTTAATGAGGATTGTTTGAAGAATTTTTTTTTCATATTTAATTTTCTATATTTTCTATATTTAATTATTCCATCATTTTTTTGAAATCGTTTAAATGATTATGTACGTAGATGTGAATTGGAACAGATCATGGATTTCAGTTGGTTTTACTTTTTGTTTAATTCGATAATGCAAAGTTTTCAAACTTATAAATTGAAGTTATAAATTTTCAGTCTATGAAGTCTAATCAGAAAAAGATAAAAAAGCTAAATAAGAAAATTTACGAATCAAACTCTGCTGTATGGGATAGATCGAAAACGGAAGATCGGGTTGAAAAAGATTTGCGCTTTCATACTCTGTAGCTTCATTCAATTTGTTTCTTTTCGATTTTTGTGTAGATCTTTCGGCTACTATTTTCAATTTTAAACTTTCTGTAGTTTATGTATTAATCTATATATTTGTCCGTGTGTAAGTTTTTTAAAGTGTTTTATATATAGGTATGCATATTTATAATGTAATTTGCGTAATTTATATAATCTAGATTTTAGAATAAATTTTTGTAAGGGTTCTTGACGTTGATCATATCGAATGCGATTTTAATTCCGGTTAGATTCTTTCTGGCTTAATCGAATTGATATAATTTTCACTATAGAACTACGTTGCGATAGAAATACAAATAAGTCAACGTCAATCCGTTAGATACAGGTTTTTGCCGGAAGAAACTTTTAAAATGGGCGAGATTAAAATGCAGCGCCTATTTAAAATGAAGATTAGCCAGAATTGCGTTGGTTGTATTATTACTTTAAAAGTCACTAGATTTCAGTGATTTCTAGGAGAACTAGGAGTAGTTAATTATATACATAATTTCGGTGATGATGGTTTGATTTAGGGCGAAGCGTAAGGATTATGGTTTAACACTAAATTTATATCATTGTTTTATGATTATAAAGATTGTTTTTTGAAAATAGAAAGTAAGAAGAAAATTGTTGAAAAATGATCGCTTTTCATCCTTATCTTATCATTTTATTGGAATAGGCGAAAAGGTTGAATTTTCTTGTTTTCAGTATAGCTGAATCAGGCTAAAAAAAAATTGAAGGGTTCTTATGAAATTCACGTTAAAAGTTTTTCTCTTAATCTTTTTTTTCTCTGATTATTTTTATTTCACTGGCCCCATTGGTTGCGATAAATACTACAGGGAATCGTCATTTGTGGATAGAATTAGTGGTTTCTCCGTCGTCCACCACAGGAGATGACGTTTATTTCATTATTTGCTAAAGCCTGTGATGGTTGGCGTCAAAAGTGAGAAGGGCCAATCAAGACCTAGATTGATATAGACAGGAAAAGTTTTGAACGTATAGGAGGACCTGTGATATACGGACTTAGACGATGGGGAAAAAATGGCTTCTATTACTAGGCTAAACGGCTTGGAGACGTCTTACCCTTGTAGCCAGCTAAGCCAGCCTAACTAGAAATGGTGAGAGTTGTTAGAGAAAAGGGAAGATAGAAGTAGTGCTGTCTTGTGGCAATTATTGCCAGAACCAGATTGCTCTTAGTGAGAATCGAACCAAGCATCGTTGCTCCATGATGAAAGCGTTTGCCCACTGAGCCGTAAGGTCGTTGGCATGATCTTTAGAGTTTTATAAAACATCAAATATGGAGGAATGGTTTCACCCAGTTGCCGATAGAGCCAACCGTAACGTTGACCTTTGACCCGATGGAGGTAATGGAGGTTTTATAATAATTTTTTGAAGGGACCATAGGTCAATTCAACTCAGCGCAGTGAATTCGGTTCTTGGATTGCTAATCTTGAGAGGAATCATATTTGCGACTTTTAGTGCATAGATTGATAATCAAAGATTGCATTCGTGTGAGATCTATTGAAATTACATTTTGCTCATTATTGGATTGTTTCTTTTTTACTCAATAATCATTTATAGATAAAGGTTTTACGGATTTGTAGATTCTTAGTAACCAGGTCGGTCTGAATTCCCTCGAAAATTGCTCACGTATAGAGGTACGGGATAAAAAATTCTTTGCAACCAGGTCAGCCCGGATTTGTCGGAGGAATTATTTACTTATAGAGGTACGGTTGACAGATCTTTAGCAACTTCATTATGAATGCGAAGGAATATGTATTTAAACCGAGCAGTCGAGCGATATGTGGTTCTGACCTTAGTGAGAGTACCATAGGTTCGATTTCTTGATAGAGTTAGCCTTCTTTTAACGCTCGCACTTTGGCTTGAATTGCTAGGCCGTTCAAGATCTTAACTGGCTGTCTACCTTTTTTGTGCCTTATGTGCATCAATTCTTGGGTAAAGACGAGAAGATAACTCCTCAAGCTCAGATGACGCTTTGTGATGAAAATGACCTTGCAATAATCGATTCATCTTTGTTAAAGTAGTCATTCCTGTTAACCTGTGGAGCTAGCAAAATGGTAATTTTCTCTCTACTGATTCCTTAAATTACTCTTTGCCTTTATTTTATAATTATAGGATTGTTGGCGATGGGAGTACCACGGCGCACAGGTCTAACAACTGACAAGCAAAGACTTCGCTCCTCTCTCTCTCCGCCAATAAACCAGCCTCCCCGTGTATATGCGTATGTGCGTGTCTATGCACATATGAACGAATAAAATCATTCATAAGTCGCCGCGACTCTCAATCGATTTGGATGCCATGCGACGCTGCGACTTATTTTATCGATTCAGCGCATCGCGCGCGACGCGTCAATTTCTCATTGATTTTAGGGAGTTTATTATTTTAGGATGGTTCTATAGAAAAACAGATCGACGAAATAGTGTCGCACTTTCGAGAATTAGTAAGAGGGAGTAATACAATGGAAAATACTAGAAATTAGTGAGAGGACAGTATAATAGTCGCTAAATGTCGGCTTTGGCTTATAGAATTTCAGTTTATATGAAAATGTTTGTGGGAATCCGTTCTTTTAATTTATTACCTAATAATATAGGGTTTTGATATATTTTCTTTTCTAAAATATTTTTGTTCTTATTGTCGCTCGGCTTTCCTTAAAACCAATTTTATGAAATGATCGACTTTTCTTCTTCCTGGAGCCGCGTTTTAGAGGTTTTTGCTTTCTTCCGCGACGAATTACTGTCAGCGCAATAGAGTTGTCGTTACTGTTTGTATAATTATTGTGTGGTGATTTATTTTCATTATTTTTTGTTATCATTGTTGTCATTTTTATCGCTATCATTATCACCATCGCCATTATTCTTGGCACACGGCTTCAAAGCCTATTAGCGGGAATTTTTCGCTGCAAAATGATTCACCTCTTTTTTGGTTGAATTGAGTAATATAAACTATGAATTCCATTTAGATACGAAAAATTGTGATTGTGTTTTTCTTCAAAAATTAAATTTCTACCATATGTATGAAGTTAATTTCGCTCGGGGGAGTCGCACAAATTTTGTTAGAGAGTCACCCGCCGATAGAAGTACAAATGAGTTACCAGCATCGAGTGGACTGCCAGAAGTTCGGTTTCTTCCCGCCGAGAATGGGCATCAGCGGTGTTTATTTAGGGACTTATTTTGTTATTCATAGGACTTTTTTGTGGTTCCAGTAATAAAGGTCTTTGTTCCAATTGACCTTTAACCTTTCGTATATAGCGAATCTTGAAATTATTAATTTTTAAATGAGAAATGGATAATTAATATTTTATCATCTTCGATCATCAATTTTCAATTCAATGCTTTAATAATTATGATTTAAACTTCTTATGACGTAATTTATAATTTGTTGCTTGGGTCATTTTTCGAAATTTCCAATTTTTCATCTGTTGAATTACTGCTGAATTTGGAATGAGGAGGCCGTTAAGGTATCTGTTGTTGGCACCACGGTTCCCGTTGTCGATCTTTCATCATTCAACGCATGTAAAGGCAGTTGTAAAAATATTCTTTTATTTCCCCCTTTCTCTGAATCCCTTTCGCCTTCCATCGCTAACGAATTTTTCTTCGCTTGCCGTTTGTAATCGAGGTTAATGAGAAAAGAAGAGGGTGGAGAGATAGGTAGTCATCGTGAGAGATTATGGATCTTGTGAGGGTCTAGACGGCACGATCGTATTTGAAAATAATACTAAGAGAGAGGAGGGGTTTCTGTCCACTAAGGAAAAGTGTGCAAAACCTATATGCGTCTCGCTGTCTGACCTCTCCATTTCATGTGACCATTCGTCGCTTCGGGTGTTGTCGAGCTGATCGGTTATAAAATTTGGCGGGAAGTCGTTTGGTTCTAGCTTGGCATCCTGCCAGTCGATACGCGTCGCATTTGCATGTTGCGTAGCGATTCGCTGCATTGTGTTGTGTAGAGAGATCTTGATTAGTGGTCGTTGTTTGTCGTCCTCGCACTTGCGTTTATCGCAGTTTTTTCGCAGTTATTCCAGTTGACCTTTAAACCCGTCTTTTTTTTTAAAATATTTCATTTATTCTCAATTCATTTCTTTTTAAGTACCATTGGTTTCCCTCATTATGTTTAACAAATTTATCAGTTATTGATTTTTTTGCGACAATTGAATTTCTCACTTCTTTCTTAGGATTTTTCATAATTTTTTCATTTTGTTTTTATAGGAAAGAAAAAGGGAATTTATTAAACGAAATGATTTCCAAAATCAATGTTTCATTTTACGGCGAATTTCTTTTCAAATTTTTTATTTGTAAAATGTTTAAACCTAGTTTTGTAAAACGAAGATTGATTTTTCTTTTTCATTTTAGTTTTCTTGGTTGGGAAAGTTATTTTATTTATTTTGATAGTTGAAAATGAGCGCTGTTGAGGGACGAACTGCAGAGAAGAGGCACATTGCGGAAGATGCTGAAAATGGTATTCCTACAAAAGAACAAAAATTAGAGAATGGTACTCAACCCGTAAGTTCTCATCATTTCGTAGCTTCTTTCCTTAATTATTCTAATTTTTCTTTCATTTACATAATATTGAACAAGATAATATTTATTTTATTAGATAGGTAATTTTTTATGTGGAATTAGCTCAAACAAGTTACATACGTAATTATTCAATTTGGAAGTGTTATGGAAGCGGTGAAGGAAAGAGAATATGTATATAACTTTGCCTTGCCCTCGCTCTAGTTAAGCAAGTAAGTAAGTTGGCTGATTAACAACCGAAAAATTTTCAGGGCGCAGGAGACAAGGCAGCTGTTTTGAAAGGTGGGTATTAATACTTTTTGCAATCACTCAATTTTTACGACATTTAATTAAGAACTGGTCTTGGTTCGAATAAAAGGTCATATTTTAGAAAACAAATTGGATAAAAAAGCAGTAGATGAGGAAATCGATGAAGAAGGAGATGAAGCAGAAGGCGAAGATGTGAATGAAGATTCGAGTGGGGAAGAAGGCGACAGTTTAGGTGATGAAGAAGAAGCTGGAAGTGAAGACGATGAAGGAAGCGTAGGATCGGAAGAAATCGAAAGCGAAGGTGAAGGGGGTGAGCCAGAAGATGGCGATGAAGGTGAAGATGTGGAAGGGGATGAGGGTGAAAGCGAGGACTAATCTTACTCTTCATTTTCCAACATTTGCAGTAAAATTTATTGAAATTGATTGTAGGGAACTCCAAAAAATTGGCAGTTTTTTTCGAAAAAAATCGATTGCTGATCTCAAAAGATTATTTAATCCTCGAGTACTGTTTCATTTTTTCTTGTTTCTTATTAAAAAGCATGGGATTGGTTTAGGAGTTTCCTCACTTTTTAAAATCATTATTACTATCATTATTATTTTTTTGTTGTTTTGTTCGTAGTTTTCTATTTGTATTTCGCTCTCGCCATTCCCCCAACGGCGTTCTAAATTATGAAAATTGTTTTTAAAAATATAAGAAATTATTTGAAATATTTTACTGTTATTATCAGTTGTGAAAACGTATATGAAAAAAGTGGAAAATAAATCAGTTAAAAATATATGTATATGTGATTTCAGGAAAAAAATTATTTTAGATGAACCTTTGATTTTAATTTTAAGTTCATTGTACGAAAATTATTACAAATTATTATTGTCTTGAAATTTTGGATATTTTTGGTTAAGTTGCTGATAAAGTTATCTCGTCCTTTGTATGTTTACATTGAACGCTAAGATATTTGGAGATAATTCTTTCAATAGTTTAGGGAAAAAAGGAAATATGAAGAATTTGGCATAGTCGAATTGAAATTTACTTACTGTTGTTTTGGTCGGGAGCAATGGTTGGTGTATCGTAGGGCAATGTTTTCATCATACAGCAATCCTGGCGATAAAGATGTATTCGTGGTGGCGAATTTGGATTTCCCAGTCTTGAATATTGCTATTATTAGTTGGTTTTAAGTGTGAGGAGTCTCCAAGCAAAACGGAGGGTGTCGCTGGTTTGCGTATTCGTTCAGAACCTTTTGTGACTCAGTCCAAGTCTTGACTGGACTACTTTGGCCTAAACGGCACCCACAGCAGGGTTTGGCAGTTAACGAAATCAGAATCAACTCCTGTGGTGAGTGGCAAATAGCGTACCCTAACCTGTGGGCGTGGTGGTAGTTTTGATGCAAGTGGTACTTGAGCGAAGGTGGATGCAGTTATGTGAGATTCCCTTAAAATTTGTCTTACACGTGGGTGACCAAAGGCAGACAACTTCCACTCTCATCGGCCACGTCTCGCAGCCATATGGCAACATCAAGCGATTCTCAATTATATAGACGCGAACTTTCGTTTTTATGGTGATCTCGCGACGGCTCCATGAAGGTTGCATCAACTGGAAGATAGCATTTCCTGTTAATTATAGGTTTATTCAAGCAGAGTGGTACCCCGCCAAGTTTATCAAAATGAGTGAATAAATCCAAAATTTTCTCAATGGAATTCTTTTAGCAAGAAAATTAACTGGCCTGGAAGACGAGATTCGTCTTAATGTGAAATGAAAGTTTTAAGTTTGGGAAGACAATTGTGTTTGTTTCCGAATCGCCCCAATTTTAAAAATTTGTCGAAAACGATTTTATTTTGTTACGTTTCCTGTATTTTTATTCCCTTCTTCCGCATTATCAGTTATCACTTATCCAACGATTATCACCATCGTTAAATAAAATCCATTTAAAGTCGCTTTATGGAAATTCCAATTTTTATTCTAATTTTATTAAAAATATTCTCTTTTAATAAAGGTTTCTTTTTTTTTTAATTTTATATTGCATGCATTTCTAAACATTCTTTTTTAAAACTCAAACAGTCTTTTATGAATCCGATTTTAGTTCACTGATAAGATAAACCTATCATTAAAAGTGAAATGAAACTCGAACAATAATTGCTTACAAGGCGCCAGTTCTTAATTGGCTATCCTAGCGATGAATAGTGATTTACTGGCCTAGCAAAGCAGAAAAATTAAAAGAAGAGAACTGCAACTTATCACTTATCACTTTGATAAATATCAACTTTTTATTTTAACTGAGCGAACGAAGTTTTTATTATTTTTATTTATTATTTATTATTTTTAGAATTTTAAAAATTGTTAGTAAGTTTATTTATTGTAAATTTTAAATTTTAAATAATTTTTAGAACAAAAATTTACGATGAATATTTTAGTTTTTAATTTTAATTTAATTATAAATAAAATTTATAAAATTTCATTTAAAATCTCTGTGAAAAATTAAAAGTTTTACAAGAAAAATATTAAAATGACCAATGAAAAAATATTTTTGCAAATTTAGAAAATTTTTTATTAAATTTTTTTCTTCTCCACTTTCAATTTTTATTTTTATTTTACATCTCAATTTTATTTCGGTTTATTCTTTTATTTAATTAATCAATTTATTTTTTTTCTTTTTTTGGCTAATTTTTATCAAATTAGTTTTGTTTTTTATTTTAGAAATATTCATTAATGTTTATAATAATAAATATATAATTTATAATAATAATAAATATAATAAATAATAATAAATATATAATTTTTATATTCATATTTAACGTTTTTTATTGTTTATAATATTTATTATAAATTACTTTTATTTTTATTCTATTAATTTTAATTGTGCTGAACCATTCATAATGAAAATGTTTAATAATTTTTTCTATTCCATTAGGTTGTAAATTCCATTAAGCAAATTAAATATTAATTAAATGAAATTAAATTAAATATTAAATTCATTACTTTTTCTTTTTACGGAATTAAACATTGGACACGGCAGACGAGTGGTTGGTCGAGATTATCATTTTGGCTATTAAGGGTTCGGATTCGGTCTCCTATAGGCGATAAACCCTTCGTAAAAAATATGGCTGATGGTGGGGGACTTAGCTTATATTTCCAACTGAATCTTCCTGACAGCGAATCTAAGCAGATTTCATGAACACTTATCATTTTCCTCCATACTTAAAGATATCGAAAGTTATTTTTAATTTTTTTCTTCACATTTAAAATTTTTTTATTAAATATTGTATTGGTGAATTTAGTTAATTAATGCTATTTAAATTATAATGTTTTTTCAATTTATTCTATTTATTTATTTTATGAAAATATAAAAATATAATATATATGACTATAATATGATAAATATAATATATAAAATATATAATTTTTCTCGAAAAATTCCTATTCGTTTGCAAAAATTTTCAAAAAACAAGCAAAAATAAATAATTTAATTAAGTTAATTACTAAAATAATAATTATTTCTTCTATATTGAAATTTTATGTTATTAAATTTTATCAAATTTTTTTTTGTTTTAATATTAAATATATATTGGAATTATTAAAAGATGCTTTAATAAATAAATAAACTGATTGACCTTTTATATGGATTTAAAGATAATCAAATGATAAAGTGATAAACAAGAATTTTACATTAGTGAAAGTTCCTCATTCTTTTCATAACGATAATCATTGCGAATAATCGAAATCTAAACGAATATTTTTCTTTAGAAAATACAAAAGCTGATTCTTCATTCACCATTCACCGTTCGACGTTTACCGTTCATCACCAATCACCGAACTAGTTTTTGGTGCTATCTTGCTGATGTTCTTGGTGAATTTCGTTCAAGACAATAGTTTGACATTCACCAAGCCCCTTTCCGGTTATATTTGGATAGATTTGAGATTTGAAATTTCTGTGCATTATAAGGAGTTTCCGAGTCTTCACATCGGTATTCGGCCTCTATGTCTTCCTTAATCCATTTTGCTATTCCAGTTGCGCATTAAATAACGCAATGTACATATCTACGGTATGGATTTTGTTTTTCCCATTAAGTTGGCTCTTCAGGATGTTTTATTCTTGTTGATACTTTGAAAAGTTGCAGTCTTTTTTGCCTTCTCGTCATGTGACCATGGAATACCAAGAAATTTGTAGATAGTCTGCGTGCCTGCTGCATATTCTGCTGGCAAGTCCACCTCATCAATCATAATCAGTCATAATCACTACTTTCCCTTTCTTTGTTATCATCTAGCCATTATCTTTATTATCATCTTTATTATCATCTAGGAATGACGTTCCATTCGTATTAGATGAATGAATGAGTTAACTCTTTCGCTTTCAGCATATAACTTGATATCATTCAGCTGTTCGTGAAGATTGCCGTTGGTACTTCTTCTTGAACTTGTATTCACATTCACTTCTTGCAATTATCTGGCTAGACTTATGCGAGACAGTCTCTTGATACATGCCAATTGGTAGCCACTTGTGCAAGCTGTTTTGAATTGGCTTGGCTTGGCGGAAGTGTCGTTTTCCAAGTGCCGCTGGGTTCTGATGATATCTTTAGAGTCTTGTTGACTTTTTATAGAGCCAGATATTCGCATATCCATGTTTGGGGCATCATAGGCTTTTCTATAGTCAATCCAAGCTACGCTCTAAGCTAGACTGATGATGTATCGAGAGAGAGTCCTTGACTCCTAGGCAACTGTGAGCAGCTAGTGTATTGAGTGAGCCTCTGGTGTTGTTCGCAGTGCTCAGTTCCCAACTGTAATATTATTTATTTAAATATAATCGATCTTTTTTTTCCTTTTTAAAAAATTATGCAATTCAGCACAAAAAATGTTAATAAATCAAAAAATCATTGAATTTTTCTCAAGAAATACGATTTAAAATATTTTCAGCTAAGAACTGCTTAGGCTTAGAATCCACTTAGAACTCATCAAACTATTTTTCGGATCTATGAGAAAGCAATTATTAGAAAATTTTTATTTTTCTCCTATTTTAAGAGAAAAACCATATCTTTCAGCTTATTTAACAAACCGCATTTGCTTTGTCGGATATTTACAAAAATGCAATTTGCATTTCAGCTATTATAAATGAAAATAACACGGTTAATAGCGTAAATGTGGCAGCTACTACCGACGACGACGAGAATCGTTCAAAAGAAGCAGTTGATTCCCCTTTATTTTCATTTCCTTCGAATTGTACGGATTTACAAAAATTATGCAAATTTTGGGCGTCGATTGGTGAATGTGAAACTAACAAACGTTGGATGGAAGATCGCTGCCAATTATCATGCAATTTATGCAATGGTTAGAAAAAATATGTGTAAAATATGAAAATATTTTTAAAATATTTATTAAAAATCCAGGAAAAACAAAATTTAGAAAATGGAAAAATTCAGCTAAGGGTTTTCTTATTTAGAAAACGTATTAATGAAAAATTCCATAAGATTTTTCATTTTTTATTTTTATATTTTATTAAATATTAAGCCACAGTATTATAAATATTTTTCAATAAATAAATGAATAATGAAAGTATAAATATTTAGCATTAGTGTTTCTCATTTAGTTCGCCTCTCTGTTAGAACGAAATTTTCGCCTAAGAATCACTCGGCGACTAAAATGCAGGCGAATCACCGCGAATCATCCGGGTTTTTTTGCAATAAATTTACTTCAGTGGGGCGCGAGAGCCTAACAGCTGACTCTTAATACAGTAATTCATGTCGTAAATTCACCACTCAACTGCCCCTTTCCGTGTTTTTTATGTTTTCAACAGGAAAAATCCGATTAAATTGCGAAGCTCTTTTTAAATAGGTTAATGGCATTTGATATAAGTTGAATAGGATTAGCCTAATTTATGACTTAAATTACGGAGGATTACCTTTTAGCTCATTTCCACCTTAATCTTCGATTCTGCTGGTTACTGGTACGATTAGAATTTTTCGTCAACGAGAGTAAAATAATCAGTAGTTTCTTTTTTTTCTAAGAGCTTATCATTGCTGGTTAGGCTCTCTGTATTGGCTTGTCGTATCAGATAAATTTCGCCAAGTGAGTGAATTGGCAGTAGAAGTACAGATGAGTCGTCAGCAATCAACCGGAATTACCAGCTATTTAATGATTAATATTATTTTAATTTAATGAAAAATGAAATTTAATGCAAAGTTTAACCAGCAAATAATGAAAAATCCCGTGATGATAACAAAAGGATAAGATATGAAAATGAAAGGCAAGTTTTCATAAATTACCCAAGTCAATTTCTGGACTGGCGATGAAGAACATGGATCACTGATCATTATTGCTTGATTCACTGCAAACCTGATCTCAACTCATCTCAATTCATACTGAAGCCATGCAGCTGCTCATGCAGCCAACTAAAATTAGTCCTACTTCTTTAAGTATGTAAGTATGTAGGAACAATCTCGAGAATCTATACATTTTACGGGCTTGGTTTGTATACTTATCATATGTAACATCGAGCTGATGATACTGTGCATGGAATAACGGGCATGTTTCGTGGCTTGTTTCATGACTATTTTGGTTCGGTGCCAAACTTCTTGGGAGGGTACAGGAAAAAGAAAAATTTTTTTCATGAAAAAATTCACTAAGAAACATTCGATGTAATTGAAAGAATGGGAATAACGGCACAACCGTTTACCGTTTACGGTGAAGGCACCTCAGCCGATTCAAATTTCTTCCCATATTAATTCTTGAATTAATTAAATAATTTGGCAATAAAGGTTACCTATTCCTTTTTCTTCTATTCATTAAAAAGAAGTTTTAAACTAACCATTTTACATTTTGCATAAAATAAAAACAAAATCTCGATAGATTATGATAGTTTTCCAAGTGTTATTCTCTCCTTGTTAAATAGTTTAGATAGCAGAATCTGCCAAGATGGCCATCAGTTTTGTAAGGTTTGGTCCGAAAATGGCGAATGTGAAGCGAATGCAGCATGGATGTTGTTAAATTGTCAACATTCATGCAATGCATGTGGAGGTACGTATGTGCTTCATCTTATTGAAATGCGTTTGTTGTTACTGCTCACTCGCAAGTTATGGTTTTTTCCAGTTTCCATAACCAATACTCTGAGGCTAACATCAGTGCAGCCATAACTTGGCCATAACAACACTTCTAAATTTTTCGTTATATGTAATCAGACATTATTGGATTTGGATAATGATGATAGCACTTTTTGTTTTTTATTGCACTGTGCTAAAAAAACTGCGTCTTAGATCTGTTCCGTATTCCTAAATCGTTGAAGTCGTTTCAAGGTAATCATTCTAGAGCGAATCTTTTTCTATTTTTCGCTTAGCTGGCCACTTGTTTGGGGCCATTTCGCCGCAAAGTAGATGTGAAGATTTTCAGAACCACCTTTAATTGCAGGCTGACTCCAGTCACTTGGCGTGAATCTACGACTGATTGATTGATTCAACTTAAGAAGACACCTTATAAAGTGATTCTAAAACTTAGATCTAAAAAACTAACTTCACAAGTTCAATTTATTTATGAAAAAATTTTAAGTTTTTATTGATTATCTTTATCGTTAACATTGAAATTTTTTGTTTTTCACTCAATTTTTATAAAACCCTAAATTTCAATTCACTTTTTTCAACTTTTTTTCCAATTTCGTTTTCTGTTGCAAATATTATAATTTGATGTTTTCATTTTTTATTTTAAATTTATTTTTTCTTCTTTATTTTTTTAAAATGAGAAAATCGGAAAGAAATTTGACTTTCTTTTTATTGAATTTCCATAAATTTTTTTCTTATGAATTTTATGCAAAACTTTAATGGCAAAAATAAATTTTTATGCAACAAAAAAATAAAAAATTCTTTCTTAATTTACTATTTATATAGCGAAATTATTCTTTTCTTTCCAGCGGTTGTTTAAATTTTCAAATTTTTTCTATAAATTTTTCAGATTTACGAAATTTTTTGAAGAAAGAGAATATAAAAACTAAAGAAGATTGTAAAATCGTCGTATCGAAAGAAGGTATTAATCTGTCGAATTTCAGCAAATTATATCAAATTCGAATTATTACATTAAAAATTTTCCTTTCTAATTCTGAGAAATCTAAAGGTTTAAAGGAAATTTTAAAGGTTTGAAGCTAAGGAAAATATGACGCCGTTCGTATTTGTGCCGCAATTTAATCCATGACAATATCTTTAAAAAATTCCAATTTTGGACGAGTCTACTAATTCTTTTTTCAGTTAAGATGCAGATAAGTTCGTAGATTTCACAAGTTTACCTCTTTAGTTGAAAATGTGGTAGAGAAGTCAAGCACTTATGGCTAACCTTTAGCTCAAACCAGACACTTCTGCTCCGCCAATTTCTATTGAAATCTTTTAACGAATTCTTGGAAGAGATACTGGAAGTTTGTTCGTGCCGCTCACTGATCACTTTTTTATATAATGTTTAATGTATAGATATATCGATAAGGAAGACGTTATCAGTGAATGACATTAAGCGAAGCAATATTCGAATTGGATGTGTTTCGAAGCTTAGTTCAACAAATTGTGCAACAAATCTTTGTTTTCACATGAGATTTCGTACATTCGATGGTACTTGCAACAATTTTGATTCTCCGTTGAAAGGAGCAGCATTCAGACCTTATATACGATTGCAGAAGGCTAAATATGGTGATGGAATCAATTCGCCAATTTGTTTGTGTTTTTTCAGTTTATTTAAATTTTGGATTTTTCCATTTCTAATTAAATATTAATTTTGCAGCATCGACTTTAAAAACACGACCTTCAGCTCGAGAAGCATCTCGACTAATGTTAACATCTGAAATTCAGGTATTCTTTATAAAATTCATGAGTTTTACTTCCAAATCCATGATTATGCATTTCCATTGTCTCAATAGTGAATTTTTTTTTAAGAACACTCACCATTATTGGTTATTTCTCTCGTACCTCTGGCCTTTCACACTAGAAAAATATGCCAAAAAGTATCCTTGGCAATAGAAGTGCAGGTGAGTCGCCAGCATCACCCCGATTTTTGGGCACATTCACTCTTGCGCAAAGTAAAACCCTCAATAGTGGCACTCCGGATTGAACAATAACTCACTGAGGCTTTCTAGTTTCCTTTTTTAGGTGACATTGCCGCGCCGACAAACAGGGCAGTTACCCTGTTACTGAGCGATTGAATTGATGCACCAAAAATGATAAATTAATCTTTTAACAGATTAATCTTTTAATATGCAATAATGCAAAAATTGCAGAAAATTTCTAATGAATTTTTCTATATCATCTTATTCTGAACTTCTTTTCATCTTCATCTTCGAAGAATATGCACCATTTTTAATTTGGTCGACTATTAAAATCCTAGCACCACTCATTTTTCGAATTATTAATGGAACTTCAGCATGGATGACAATTTTAATGGGCAACTGTACTTTCCCAAATCTAATACCACCGAAGATCTAATATTTCTCAAATGATACAATGGATTATATATTGTGTTGCCATTCTGAATATTCATTTTAGGTGGTAAGCACATCGAATGCTTTACTTATGCAGTGGGGTCAGTTCATAAGCCATGATATGGCGAAAACTACCACTCTCAACAATGAGGAATGCGGAACTTGTGAAGCAAATAGTAAATGTACAAATGTACTTCTTTCTCGATTAGATCCCACGCAAGTTTCAATTCTTTAAATATTTTATTGGTTTATATGAATTTATAATAAATAGAATGTATATATATTTTATTTTTATTGCTTTAACAATAATAAAATATCGAGCAGAAATTTTTAATCACATTTATCATAAAGACGAAATCAGTTCAAATGATTTCTATCGAATAGACCCCTATTTTAATTAGTTTATTTTAGCTTTGGTAGATTTCAATGTTTGCCAGTTGCACGATCAACTCCAATCTGCGGAAGTGGTTTGCTGTCCCCTCGAGAACAATTCAATGAGAATACAGCATATATTGATGGATCGGGCGTGATTTTATTTTTTATACTTATCTCTATAAAAGTTTAAACGTCAATTATGATAAGAATAAGGAATAAAATTCCTAAAAACTGATAATTTAGATCTATGGTAGTTCAGAAATCGACCAAGCCATATTTCGTCAAGGAGCTTTCATGAAGACTAATATAATTGCGAATCGTATCTTTCCACCCGTTGATTCTAATGAAAATATTATTGCTGGCGATGATCGTGCCAATTTATTTGTCGGTTTGGCCGCACTTCACGTACTTTTTGTTCGTGAACATAATCGGTTTGCATTGCAAAAAACAAAAAAAGTCTATTTATTCGCTAAAAAAATGGAAGAAAATGATAAATACAGAGGATGATAAAATATAAGAATTAAATGATAAGAAATTAGTTTCTAAATTATTTAAAAGCAAAAATGAGGAATGGATTTTTATATAGTTTGGCTATGATATTGCAAAAATTGAATCAACACTGGGACCAAGAACGAATATTTCAAGAAACACGACGGATTATCGGTGCAGCGTTGCAACATATCACTTATAAGGTGATAATTTTCATATTCATGCCGCTATTTTTACCGCCTTTCATTGAATTTTCAATAAAACTGGAAATTAGGCAAAATAGGAGTTTCGAGCCTATCTTTCTTCTGCTGAAAATAAATTTTTTTTTTGAGAAGCCCCACTATTGTTGGTTAAACTCGCTCGCTATTTTGTCGCACTGGATGATAGAACGTGCTAGGAAGTCCTTTGGCGATAGAAGTACAGGTGAATCGCCAGTTTCTCCACCTGGATTTTTGGACAAGTTTATTCCTGCGAGGAGTAAAACCTCAGCATCGGAGCACTGAAGGCAAATGGTCCAATAGCATCGTTTTTATTCTCATCTATTGACATCGACTATTAAAAATATAATCTTAATAATTGCTGTGGGATCGTCTGTATCCCCAAGTGAATGATGCTATGGCGAAAAAATCTCCTCAACGGGATCAGCCAAATTTTATACGGTGCAAATTTAGTTCATATCTTTCTCCTTATGAGAATTTTATTAAATACTATTCGCCTTTGTAGTTTATCGATATTTGCATATTTGAAGGAATATTTGCCTCGAATACTTGGTAAAAAATATGAAGAATTAATTGGCGAATATAAGGGATACAATAAAAGCATTGATGCTACAATCGCTAATGAATTTACTGGATGCGCTTTCAGATTTGGTCACGGAATGATACAGGTTTTTTTTAAAAAATAAGCATGAGATTGTTTTTTTTACTGAATTATATACAAAATGGACTGATTTTGGTGTTTCGGTGCGGTCTTCTGGTCGCCATTTTCTAAATTCTAAATCCATATTAAAAGTTTCTGCATGAAAAAATATTCCTATGTAAATTAAATTAATTATATATGTAAGGTACTTATTACTATTAGGTACTATTTACTTATATATGTAAGGTACCTTTTTTTATTTTAGGAATTCTATCCATTCTTAGATAAAAACTATCGTCACTTTGCTGAAATATCATTCAATGAAGGTATGTTCAAGACTGCTCACCTCCTTGTGAATGGCATTGATCCAGTTTTGCGTGGTTTAATGAGTTTGCCGGCTAAAATGCCTCAGAGGTAGAGATGCCTTTTTTTAAATGTAAAAATTACCACTTATTGGAGGATTAAGGCCGAGAAGAAGATTAGATCACTCATTATTTATCTTTTTTCAAATGCAGTCATTTTTTTTCACGCACTATTGATGATTTGAATAATTCCACTAGTAAGTTGATGAGAATCTTTTGTTTGAGAAGAATAAAAGGATCAGTACGAGTCCGATTTCTCTTTTAATGATAGGCCAGCAATTAAACTTATACTATATACCTATATGCCTTCAGGTGAATAAAAATGAACATTGTAATGGTACAACTGGAAAAAATAAGAAAAATATGAATTAAAACAGGAAAACGCTAAAGGATATTAAGAATTTAGCGGAACAAAGAAAAAAAGAATGTTTAAATTGTGGAAATATTGCTGAAATACTAAACCTTCCTTTAGCAGCTCGCATCATTACTGGCCTGGCTGGTTGCATTAGCCACAAAATCCATAGCTTATAGCTCTCATAGCTTTGGACGCCATCCATCATAAAACTTAGCAGCCGCCGAGATATGCATTGATTCTTTCGATGAGCGGCGAAGAATGTTGCTTAACTTCCACAGACGGCGTTACATTAATGCAGATGGTGTTTGAGCCAAGTTGAATCTAATCACTCGAGATTTTTTCCACTCGCCGAACATGCAGAATGTACCTTAGACATAAGTGGTCAAAAGTAAAGAGCTCTCACCGCACTGTATGCAAAATGGTATGCACTGTGACCAAAAAGATACGAGGGTGATTTCACAGTGATGCCACAATTGCTTCTCCAAGAAAGAACGACTTCTAGCTGACCTGGAAATAGAATTTCATTTTTCTCTTGGCTCTTCTTTATATACTTGCCATTTGGTATATTTGCTATATCTTAGTATTTAGATTGACTCCAGCTGCTACGGAGAAAATATTCGGCAATTCAGATTTGGGATCTATAAATATCCAACGAGGTCGCGATCATGGTATTCCAGGTTTTATTGCATGGCGAAATTTCTGTGGCCTTCCTGAAATTCATTCATTTGATGATCTCAACGCTACTATACAGAATCCAACGTTGAGATCAAATTTGGAAATTTTGTATAATAAAGTTGGTAAGAATATTTTCGTGAAAGATAAACAAATTTATCGTTTATATTATCTCGAAAATTACTGGAAGATTCGTTAATTTTTAAGATTTTTGTTTTATTTTGAGAACTTTTCAAGCGATATTTTCAGAAAATATCGATATGTATGTTGGCAGTCTATTAGAAGATCCAATTGAACAAGGAATTGTTGGCCCAACTATCGCTTGCATTATATCCGAACAATTCAAGAGGCTAAGAGATGGGGACAGGCAAATTTTTTCCTTATATCCATGCCAGTTGTTTTTCTTACTTATTGCATTTTTTGAAGAGATTTTCCTTTAAATTTATGTAAGTCAATTTTTATTTATTTATCTATAACTATTGAATTTAACTATAGAATTTAATTAATTGATTTGCAAAATTCTGAAAAAATTTTAAATTTACCTTATTTTCTCATCTAAGTTTTTTTTCAAGGTTTTATTATGAAAATGAAGACATTTTTTCGCGGAAACAAATCGAAGAAATTAAAAAATTGACATTAGCACGAATTTTATGCGACGCAGGCGAAGATATGGGTTCAGCACCCATTAATGCTTTTCAACAAGTTGATTTTGACGAACTCGTTTCCTGTGATTACATACCGAAACTTGACTGGCGTCTTTGGAAAGAAACACGTAATGCTTGATATTTTTTTCAGCTTTTTTCCATAAAAATAAACTTGTAATAGTGATAATCGAAATGATAAGAAGAAGGACATTAACGAGTGATTAATCATTTATAATGTTATTATTTAATTCAGTTCAAGTTGCTTTCAGTTATCTCCTACATAAAAACGTAGAAGCCGATAATTTTTCCTTTTTTTTGAATTTTTTAAATTAACCGATATAATTTATTTAAGTTTTTATAAAAATAGCCATAGCCTTACAAATTGTCCATATTTTGTTGAGTTTATCGATAATAAAATCACCGTAATTTTATTGAGCCGTACAATTAATACATCGAATGCAAAGACACAAATAATTACAAAGAATATAAATTAGAAAAAAAATAAAAATACAATGAAGTATTAGTTGGCCCCGAGATTAAACCACCCGTTCAATAATGAATGACATTGAAAAAATTTAATTTGATCTCTTAAGTTTTAAAGTTTTAAATATATATTTTATCTATTATTATTGAATTAATATTTCTAAATATCGAAATATAAATATTTAATTAACGTTCTAAAAAAAATTAACGAATGAACGAATGAATAGCCGTCCTATGGTACGCTAATGAGATGAATAAAAATAGATCCATTTTGATTTGCAAAAATAGTTTAGTTTATATATATCATTAAATGATATGATTATTATATTATGAACAGTTTAAAAATAATTGGATTTCATACTTTTTGAGATTGAAAAGTGATTATTACATTATTCGTTTAATCGATATATTGGAACTAACCTGGCGAAATTAATTGAGTATGGTATAAGTTCCATTTAATGAATCCAATAATCTAAGAATTAAAGTATGAAAACCAACTAATATGGATACAATTACACTTGTACAGTATGTACAATATATACAATTGTATTTTTTTATTTTAGTCTTTCCATTTTGTTAGGTCGATTGTTGGAAGAGAACTGCATGGTATACTATTGCCTTGAGGCAATAAGAATGCATCTTCTGATATCACTTGAAAATTATCAGCATTGTTGCAAATCACATTGGCTAGAGTTATTTTTCTTAACTCTTGCAGTTGAGCTGAGGTAAATACACCTGGATTCTCATAATAGAACCTGAGGGATGATTCTTTTTAAAGGATTTGAAATGAAAACGATTTGATGTGAATCTGACAAATCTCAAAAATTGAAAAGGTTGTGGCCCTAAATTTTTCCTATATCATTAGAATAAAATGTTTATATATAATAAATAAATCCACAGAAATAGAATTAAATAATTAAAAAACTAGGAAATATTCATTCATTCAAAAAAGTCGCTTATAAATTCACCTAAATTGGAATGGCAATTTTCGAAAATTTTTGGAATACTTCATTTAGAATTTTTTAAATACTAACCGATCACCGTCCCGCAGCCTTTTAAACTGTTCACCAACTAAACAAGCGAGAGTTGGACCAACCAAACCTCCAATTACTGGATCTTCTACCATAGAACCAATATAAAGATCAATATCATCTATAATCCAAGTTTTATGACAAGTAATTCTCTGTGAATCTTTTATGATTTTTTTTAGTTTTTTAAAAAATCTTGAAAAAAAGATTTTAAAAATACTTGGAGTTCTATAGGTACGTTTCAAAGCATCACGAATATTTTTTTCAAGAATTTCATTTCTTAATCCTTCGAAATCATTTGCTAAAGGTTTGCCACAAAATTGTCTCCAATGATTATATGATGGCAATCCATGATCACGACCACGTTGAATATTCACTGAACCCAAATCCGTGCTAGAAGCACTAACTAAACTCAAAAAAACGAGAAAAACTTTACTTTAACTTAATATCTCGCAAAATAATGGCCTCTAACCTTCCAAACATTTTCTCTGTAATCGACAAGGTCATGCGATGAGGCCTTTTAACAGGTGTCATCATAAATCCTCTTAAGATAGGATCAATTCCTCCTTCAAAAAGTATTTTTTTTGATTTGAAAATACCATCACTGAACATGTAACCTTCATGGGAAACATTTCTGAAGTCAATACGCCTATAAAATTCCTGAAACATATACATAAATTAATTAATCTGGGAATGAACAAAAATGTTGCATATTGAATCCTACGACAGAACCAATGTTTACCTCGAGCATTCCATGACCAAATCTGTAAGCCGCACTTGTGAATACATTTGAAATGGTCGGATCAACTTGAGGATCATAACCATTATAAGGTCCAATCACTTGAGCCATAGAATTGCCTAGCACCTTTGGCAGAAATTCTTTATAGAGAATAATTTGTACTTCAGCTCCGACAATTTTTCTCGCTTCTTGAAATAAACGATCACCTGACCAATTCGGATTTTGGCGCTGTAGAATGGCAGCTATTCTGAAACAAACCACATACCCCATCCCGCTCTTTCCGTCTTTATTTTTGCAAAGCAAGCTTCTCATGTAAAATGCTACCGATTATGCTCTCGAGCAAATAGAATATGCATTGATGAAAGGCCAATGAATAAGTTAACTCTTATGTCTCCTGCAGTGAAAGTCACAGTGCATTTGTCAGGAGAGGTACATTTCGACTGGTCAAAAGGTAAAACCTAAATCAAACATCAAAATCAAACAACTCATTTAATTCATATAGCTTTTTATAAGAGATTCGTTTAAAAAGAACTTGAATCACTTTCATAAATTAAATCAAAATAGATTTTAAAAAATTTATCCCACCAACTGATTGTTAAATCGAGTCATTTTGAGAAACCCGCTTCGACCATCACGGAATTTACTGAGGTCTTTCAGCGAGGATCCATAAATCGGTGATGCATCTATAAATGCTGTGTTTTCGTTCAACTGTTCCCGTTGTAAAGGATGTCGACCTGTGCCACAAACTGGAGCTGATCGTGATATCTTTAAGCAGCCACGTTTCCGAAATCTATAGTGTGCTTGATATTTAGTTAATCATGCACAAAACATTTTTCGAAAAACGCCTTTTCAATTTTGAACCATTAAAAAAAACGATCGAAAATTTTCAGTGGCGATTTGTTGAAAAAATAGATAAATTGAAAATCAACTCCATATTTCTGTCGTTAGGTGAGATCATTATCGTCATACACTTTGATGGTACTGGACTACATGTTTTGCATGGAGTGGATGGCTGTAAAGTAGTTTTGGCGACATCATGTGATATAAATTGTCCCCACTGCATAATGAGTGTGTTAAATTTATCGTGCACAATACTTTGGGCACTTGCAAGCAATAATCGTGACGCTTCTCGAGATGATGGCCGAGTTAATCGCAGTGATGCTGAACGATATGAAATCTATTATTTTTTGAATTTTTTTTCTTTTTCGATTTATTACTATTTTCATTTTCCTATTTTATAAGAATACTTCTATAAAAATCCTTCATAAATAACCATTAATTATAACAAATGACAGAAACTTGTTTGTTAAAGTATTGTTTGCAATATTAAAAATTGGAACAATTAGAAATTACTGGTTGGTTAGATATGGTTGATTCACTGAACAACTATGCTTTGATATCATTTTTATCACCGAAGTTAAGTGAAAATCATAATTGAAAAGATGAAAAAACAAAAACTTACAAACAGGTTCTGAAATTCCATCATCGTAGACGGGTGGAAGAATTCTGAATTGGGACTAATAATTTAATAGTAAATTTTTAGTAAATTTTTATTTGTTAGGAATTTTAAATAGTAATGAAGCTTTTAAGTATTTCAAACTTCTTTAAAAATCAAATTTTTATCAAATTAGAGGAAATTTAATTGCGAGATATTTATTTATAAAGTTATTAATTTATCTTTATTTTATTCATTCATTTATCTTATTTTTTACTTATTTTCTTCTAAAAATATAAATATTTAAAATAATATTTGTTTTTAAAACAAGTGAATTACAAATAATATAAATATATTACAATTATTTAAAATAATGTATATGTACATATATTTAAAGTGAAAATTTAAAATAAAAAGTAAACAAATAAATTCAACTTTTCACAAATAAATTTTTATGCGAAATAAATAAAATTTTTTTTAGATAAAAATCTAACAAATTGAAAAAAAATTTCATTTGAAAACTGAAAAAATATTTTATTAACAATGATGCATAATAAAAAACCTATTATATCTATTATATAGAGAAATTTTAACTTATTGAATATTTTCTTTTATAAAATTTGAATAGAATAGAAATTTTGAATAGAAATTTTCACAAAATCTAAAAGGAAATCTAAAATCTGGAAGGAAAATCATTCACAAAAGAAAAATTATCAATTTTATCATTGCCATATTTATTTGATATCGTTGCAAATCTTTGCAAACTTTTTTATCGTCTAAAGTTAAAAAAAAAGAAAAACTAGGATACAATACCTAAGGAAAGGCTGAAATGCTGCACCTTGAAGCGGACGATTTAAATTATTACATACGCCGTCATAAGTTCGATAAGAAAGATGGTAACATAATGAAAGTGAACAATCTCTTGCCATTAGCTAAAAGATTTTACATAGACAAATTTCAGTGATAAGGAAAAAAGAGAGCAGAATTTCAAAATTATTTTTTAAATACTAACAATTACTGAAAATTTATGCGAAAATTCGCTTGAAAAGCATAAAATGTGGAAATATATATGGAAAAAATTTTAATCAAAATAGATTCATGTAAATAATTATCAGTTGAATAAATAATATGTAAATAATTATTCATTCAACTGATAAGTTGTAAAAAATCTGATAAATTTTATTTTCAAAAAAAATTATTAAATTGTTAAATTAAAAAGGTTAGATTTGTAAAAAATTCATTGTATTAAATGGCGATAATGGTTAATGATTACTCTCCTGTATTCTGATTTATTAAACATTAAACAGAGGTTAACCTTTGGAACGCATCCAGCAGCCGCAGATCTTATGATATCATCAACTGATAATAATTGATTTAAGAATACATTTTCGAATGGATTTATAAGATTTTGTAGTTTTAATTCATCAGCTATATTAGGATTTGTGCGAATTAATTCACATTTCGCGTTTTCAGATTGAGTCGATTCTGGCGCTAATGGTAAATCTGGAAAATAAATACTAAAGTTGGTAGTTGGAACAATGAATTTGCATTGAAACGATTAGTTTTTCGATAATTTGATGAGAAAATAACTGCTTTTAAAAAAAATTCAAAATTTATTTTAGAAAAAATATAAAAAATTTTTTTAAGCAATGAAATGTTCAATTTGCTTGAATAAATGAATGTACCACGCATCCAATAAATTCAATATTAAATTTAAAAATTCCATTAAAAAATAAAATTCAGATATATTTGTTAAATGTATTTAATAATTTTCAAATTAAGTGGACCATTCATCAGAAATATTATAAATTTATAAATGTTATAAATTTATTATAAATATTATAAATTTATCAGAAATATTATAAATTCACCGCAAACTATAAAGGATCCGCAATGGGGACTTAAAAAATATTACTTAAGTCAAAAACATTGAAAATATCTTTTGTAAGATTGCTCAAATGGCAATCTTCCGTCATAATAATGCACAATTGAAATTATTTCCTCATGAAATAGTCAACAATTACAATTACAATTACAAATTTGCATTGCCATATAAATTTGTCATCTTCTTCCAGCAATATTAACTATTTCTGGCTTCACTCGCCACAGTGAATTCAGTGAATTCTAGGATGAGGTATCATCGCCAGAAAATCGCTTAGGAATAATATCATTCATTTTCATATAAATTTTTTTTTTTCAAGAGTTCTCACCATTACTGGTTAAACTCGCTCACTAGCTTGTTGCGTAGGGCAATATGCCAGGGAGTCCCTTGGTGATAGAAAAACAGGTGAGTCGCCAGCATCACCTCGATTTTTGCAGAGATTTACTCCTGCGAGGGATCGAACCTCAGCATCGGCACTCCCAATCGAGCAATAACCCATTGAGCCATCCTATCCCCAAATTGCAGAATATCGCAAATTGAAAATTATTTGAAAATAAAATTATTATTGCCAAATCCAATCCAAAGTCCAAATAATCGAACAGTGAATAATTCTAATAAGGAAGAAATCAGTAAAATTTATTTAAAATAAAATAAAAATTTTGTTTTAAAATAAATTAGTGGAAGAAAATAAAAATAGAAATTTAGGCTAAACGTACAATAAAAACTGCTTATAATATTTTAATTTTAATAATTCTAATTTTCATAATTTTTCAGGAAAAATAAAATAAAACTAATTTTTCAAAATTGTTTATTTTCACTTTCATATTTTAGCACCAAATTCATTGTATAAATGAAGAAAAAAATTCTTATTCATTGATAAGCCATTTAAAGTCGGATGGTGAATGGTCGAATAGTAAATTACTTCTGAAGTCACGAAATTTATGAATTTCATGGATTTCTTTATCCTTTAATGAAATTAAACTTATCAATGCTGATATCGCCAAATGATTCTCTGATAAAATGGCTTCAGATAAGCAATTAGAAATAAAGGAAGAAGGAACAAATGCTTAGAGTGTCAGTCGAATTCATTTTAATTGTCAGCTGGATTAGTCCGATTTTCATCAAATGGTTTATCTCTTTTCCTTTCTCAATAATTTTTTTCGTCAAATTCGAACTTTTTTTTGCACTCTTTCATGACGGATGCAGTGAATGGAATTTTAAATCTGCGGAATTCAATCTTTAAGTAAAAAATTCATTGTTTCTCCAAATTAACATTTGAAATTTCGATTCAATTGCATTTGACATTTCTAAGAAAGTTTATTGTAAAATTTAGTTTTACGCTTTAAGAAGCAAAAATTTTTTTCAAAGAATCGTCGATCGAAATAATTTTCTTAGACGTTTTTCGATTTTTTGGCCTAAAAAACTAAAGAAATTAAGATTTAGAAAATAACAAATTAAGATGAAAGAATTAAGTTATAAAATTTCACAACAATTTTGCTTTAAAAAAATTACGAAATATTTGCCAATTTTGATGAAACAGTTTTATAAAATTCATAAGAAATGTTCCACTAATTATTTAATATTATAACACAATTCATATATTAATTAATTAATATATTAATTATTTATTATTCATATAATAAATATTAATTGGTTAGCAAAAAAACTAATTATTTCGGAATTTTCATCACAAACTTCTCGAATTCCACCAAAAAAATAACAAATAAAAGAATTTTTCCAATTTCATGATCTTTAATTTATTCTTTAATCTTTTTTAAAATTTTCTAGCGAGTGTTTCAATTTTTCCTAATAAGAAAGGAAATAAAATATAGGCTGTTTTGACAAAATTCCGTGAAAAAGATGAGCGAAAAAAGTATTTCCTCGAAAAAAACGAATATCTATCGCCTACTTTTGAAGTGAAATGAATTATAGAAACTAAGAATGAAGCAGAATGGCTCAGTGAATTGTTGCTATCGTTTTGGAGCGCCGATATTTGAATTCCATTCTCAGCATGTCAAACCTGTCTTTCCAAAACCTCACGCTAGCGAATCTGCATTTCTATCGCTAGGTGACCTTATGGCAAATTTGTCTGCACCGATGACCCAGCAAAGCTTTTAGAAAAAAGTGGACGATGTGGAAATGAACATTTAAAAAAAAGATCAAAAGGGCGAAAAGTTAATACGACCTTGCAAATTTATATTAAAGATTTACTGATTTTACTCATTTCAACTATAATTTTAAGCAATTTTTCGACAGATTACTTCAAAAATAGCTTCAAAATTACAAAATAAAAAATCTAAGATCATTAGAAAAATTCAAAAATTTAGCGAAAATTGCTAAATTAAATGAATAATTTCAAGTTTATATTTCATGTTCGCTTTTACAACATCGATGTAATTTTTTCAAAATTTTATTGCAACTATTCTTGTTTATCAATATCAATAAAATGCTTTCAGTTTCAGATTCAAAAATTTAAAACTTTTGTTGAATTTTTTAATTTTGCAATTATAGAAAAAAAGGAGCAATAATAAATTAAGAAGAGGAAGACAAAGCAAAGAAACAGTTGCATAAATTGAAAAATCTTGAAAGAAATCTCAAATAAAAAAGTCAAAATAAAAATTATATCAATTGATTTTCATTAAATTAATTTTAAAATATTTTTTTAAAGTATTCAAAAAATTTAAATTTATCAAAATATTTTAAAAACTTACAATCATAAAAGAAATGATTGCATAATGTAGTTGAAAATTTGAAAAAATTCCTATTTAAAAATTAATTCAAATAAATTTTAAAAAACCCTCGAAAAAGACGAAAATTTTCAAATTATTGTAGAAATAAAGAAGGGAAAAACCAGAAGGCAAGATTAAGATTATCCTGATTATCCTTTTCATTCGATCGATGTTGCTTTTTTTTCCACCAAAATAAATTTAAAATAAATTTCTAATTTTTTATTTATTCACAGACAAGCAGAAGCAAGCAGAAGGACATAGCCATGCGCTTGGGTGATGTTTGTGTTCCACTGCATATTTATCTATTTGTCAACAAAATTTTTCTGCTATTGCTTAGTCAGTTAATTGAAATAATTCTGGAATTTTATATAAGTCTAAATTTTCCTTACTTTTTCTACTTAATAAACGATCGCCGTTAAATTTATGGAAGGAGTGCTTACTTATATTTTTTTATACAGAAAAATTGTGATTATAAAGAATTATGAAGAATTTTTAGAAAAAATATTTGCTTTTAATGCTAATTATTTATGAAATTCAACAAATTTTATAAAAAAATGCTTTGAAGATTGATAAAAGATAAGACAGATAAGACAGATAAAATATCAAGAAAAAAGAGCGATAAATGTGATTTATTATAAAAATATAAAAAAAACCATTAAATTGGCAAGTGAAATTTTATAATGATTTTCAATAAAAACTTGATAGAAAGTGATAAATTGTAGTTGCTCGATGGTAGTGACTGATTTATTAATGACAATGAGAGCTGCGACGAAAAAATTGCCATAAGGAACGAGAATTAAAGCAAAAAAAAAAATTTTTTTTTTCCTAGCATCTTTCAATAATTATTATTACGAACAAAATGCTTATAATTTTCAATAAAACTTCAATTCCATTTGCTATCATTAAAAAAGAAAAATTATGGGATTTATTGTTTTTATGAAAAATTAAATTCACCTCAACAAAAATATAATCGAATCACCTGTGGGACATGAATTGCAGGCTAATTGACAATTAACCAGCATCCATTCAGAATTGGCTTCACATTCACCAATAGACGCCCAAAATCGACACCATTCATGTTCATCACAACAACCATTCGGTAAGCATTTAAACTTTGAAGTTATTGGTTGTGAAAGTTGTGCAAATATGTCTATAAAATAATTTTTTTGCCCTTGGTATATTAACTGATAAAATAATAGTGATAATAATAAAAATAGTAATAATTATTTTTATTATTATCATTATTTATTTTTCTGAAAGCAATATGGTAAATTAAGCGATATGGAAAATGAAAATATCTTAGAAAGTAAGAAAAAAAATTTTTACAAGAATTGCTATTACTTTCAATATATTTTGTAAGTAATTTGTAAAAAAGAAAGATTTTCAAATTTTATTTAAGAATCTGTAAAATTTTTAAAACTAAAAAAATATGTCATTTAAAGAGCTTTTTCATTTAAAATGCAATGAGAATAAATTACCGAAAATTTGAAGAAGAAAAAAGAATATTTGATACCAAAACATTGGTTCATACAAAATTGTATAATATAGATTTTTAATTGACCAACCGACCGTCAAATAAAAATTCTTTATATTGGGAGGAGCAGTAGACTGGCAAGCAGGCAGGCAGGCAGGCAACAAGCACTACAGGGCGGTTTATATTTATGCAATTTTGTCGGGGCGTGATTCTCCTCATTATTTAAAAATAACTTTTTTTGGCTTGATTAAAATTTTTTTATTGCTCAATGCTTTATCAGAAATCAGCAATTGCAGTGCTTATGATAAATGCTTATCAAATGTCTCTTTACTATCTTAATGATTGCGATCTTTATTGATCTTATTAATCTTATCATTGTGGTTTTTTTTAGTTATGAATGATCCAAACCTTTATTTTCTGCATTCTATCTTTGCCTAACTTCCCATTTTCATCACCTTTCTTCGAAAACTTTCAATTGTCTAAGTTACCACTTACATAATCGTCGTCTCGATAATCTATTTACTTATCGAGTACTCCACCATATGAGATATACCACTTGTTCCTATAATATTTCTAAATGGGGACATTTTATAAGGATTCTATCTAAACAAATAATATAGTACATGCATGTAGTAGTGTTGTATAAGTTTGCAATAGATTCTTAGCCCGAAGTGCGTCGATTTCAAGAGGTCTGAATTTCGAAAAGAAAAAATTTATTCTTTTTTTTTCAATGATCTCTAACTTTCTTGTCTTGAGCCTTTTTTTCTCTTACGAAAATTGATAGTGGTACCACAGCGGTGTTAGTCTTATTATTTATTATTGGTACTAGGTGCTCAACCGATTTTTTAGATAATTTTTGTTGTATTACATTTAAGTTTATAGTTTTACGATATTTTTAAATATTATTTAGAAAGGATAAGAAAGTTTAAAAAGAAGTTCATCGGAATGCCAAACGGATGGGTTTTTTTTAGCAAAAATGATAAAGCATTTCTAATTTGCAAAAAATTTTCTTTTTTCCTTTATTGTATGAAATTATTTTTGTTCCATTAAAATCCACTAATCCACTAATTAAAAAATTTTATTTCCATAATAATGAAATAAAAAATTTTATTAGCCAAGCACTTAACTGATTTTAAAAACTTTTCGCGGTTTTATTCTTTGATAAGAAAAGAATTTAAAAATAAAAATTTGAAAGAATTTAAAGATAAATTTTCGGGAAATTTTCTAAAAGAATAAATAAATTTCGAATTTTTGTGTAATAATTATTGAAGAATTATCAATTTCATTTTAAAATTATCAAATATAACAAATAATTGCAAAAAATAAAAAAGTAAATAAAAACAAATTCGTTGAAAATCAACAGATTAATTTATTTTTATTAATTTCAGTGAATATTCTTTTATTTATGAAAATTTATTTTTTTTACATTTAAAAAAAAGAAAAATTTCAATAGAGAAAATCGATTTCACATTTTCAAATTATAAATTAAATTAAAATATAAATTTATCAAATTATTAATGGTAGAAATAATGCAAATGATATTTGCAATTAATGAAACGAATGAGTGATTAAATTAATGAATATCACCATTGCTGGTGACTCGCTATGCTGGCTTATGGTACAAATCCAAAGAGTTCCTCGGTACAGGTGAGTCACCAACATTACTCAGATTTTTAAAGGACGTTTACTCCTGCCGGCAATAAAACCTACAGTTTAATATTAACCGACATCGGCGCTCTGAATTAAGCAAAAACCCGAGTGATTCGAACCTAAGCTTCTATTCTCAGTGGCAAAGTAATTGAGCTACCGATGCTCGCAATGTAGTCCATTGTGGTGGAAATATTTAATTTAATATCGAAATAAATAGATAAATTGAGAATTTACCTAAATCCGATATAATGAATTGAGAATTATTGAAATTTATGAAATATTATTAAAATTAAATAAATTAAATAAAATAATATCGAACTGCAAATTTTGATTTATTTTTTAAAGAAAGATTTATGATTTCTTTTAATAAAATTCTTAATAATTTCTATAATTTCTACATTTTAAATGAATTTAATTAATAAAATTAATAAAATTTAAAAATTATTTCGATCTCATTTCAAGTTATTCTTTGAAGAAAATTCATTAAAAATCAAACTGAATTTACTTTATCTTACTTTATCTTATCATTGCTTACTTTATCAATTCATTGCTTTACTTTATCAATTCATTTATCATTCAATCAGTTAATTTATTATATTTAATTCATTTATCCCTTCTTATCCCAAATTTTTATTTCATTTTAATATATTTATATATTATTTCTCGTTATTTTAAGCAAATATTTGCATAAAATTTCGAAATTTATTCAAAAAAAAAGAAAAATTTTTTTCCCATCGATTTGCGGTTGATTTCTTTTTTTTTAAAATTCTTTCCACCATTTTTTCTTTTGTTTTATCAATTTGAAAATGCGATAATTTCGGATATTTGTTGAAAATTCGCTTCCTCTCGCATAGCTCAGTTAATATTTTCAGAGAATTTTTATCGTTTCAATAGATTAAACCAAAATAAAATGAGGAAATGGATCGCTGCCATCCTTGCACAAAACTGTGGCCTTTCTTTTTTCTTATACTCCTTTCCTAGCAAAAAAAAAGAAAAACGAGCAATCCTTTAATGCAAACTTCATAAGACCATAAAAATAAGTCGAACAGGCTCTTAGATCCGCAAATTAGAAGATTTGAATTTAGATTTATCACAGATTGACGTGAAATGTTTTAGTCGTTAATCTCTTCATAATTAAGCCATTGTAAAATCAGTAATGAGAATTTAAAATTTTTAAATGATAACGGAAAGTTCGAATAAACCAAATCAACTGAAATATAGTGGTACAAAGTTTACGATAGCTATTTGTGGCGAATATTTCTCGAAATTTTTATTTAATCTAATTTTATTTTTTTAATCTATTTTTTACTCTATTTTAATTCAATTTAGTTAATATATAGTTAATTAGTCCTATTAAAATTGAATTTATATTAATATTATATTAATATACATTAATTATATAAGTTAAATTAATTAATATATATAAATTATATAAATATATAAATTAAATATTAGAATTATATTATTAAATTACATTACATATATTATTAATAAATTAATTATAAGAATTTTTTAATTAATATTTAGGAATTAAGCGTTTTGAATATTTGCTAAAATGTTGGGATATTTAAGCGAATAGGAAAATTTTATTTGAGGAAATTTTATTCATTTGATACGAAACAATTTTTATGCATTTCAAAAATTGGTGTCATTCGAACTCGTTCATTAAACACCAATGAACGACGACGCATTATTGCTTTTCACTTTCATTTTGATTCTTTTTGGTTTTCGCTGTTTAAATTTCTCTTCTTTTCTTAAATTATCAAATAGCATTTGTTGCGAAAGAAAAATTACAACTATTTTTTTTTGTATTCTCTAAGAAATGACTAATTTTTCGAATTTTTGAAATGTTTCAAATTACTTAGTGCAAAGCTTTTTTCGATTTCTATTTTCGTTGAATTTCTACGATGTTTGTTGTTTTATAATTTCAAGTTTGCATCGTTTCATCGATGGTTCCAATGTTTACAAATCTAATATTTCATTTTATTTCATTTGTTTACATTTATTTTTGAAATCGGAAAAAATGATAATGAAATTAGAAAAAAACGAAAAACATTAAACGTTTTCGTTAATGGAAAATGGAAAAAAATGAATGAAAATTACAAATGAGAAATTAAAGTAAAAAAATATCGTTTTCGAATCTCTTATCAATAATTTTTCTTATATATTTATTAATTAAAATAAAGATAAAATTATTTTTCATTTTTCCACAAAATATTCGGTACAATATTCAATAATTATTTTTAATAGACTTATTATAAATGATATTAAATAATATTGGCCGATGAGATGGTGGAATGGCTCAGTGGACTATTGTCATCAGTTTGGAGTGCCGATTCTTGGATTCTATTTGTGTAAATCTGACCTTCCGAAATCCATGCAGTGCTATGCTCCGTGATAATTGATGCATTCCAATCGCAAGGTGAGAAATTTACTTGGTACTATAATGCAATGGAACGTAAAAAATGGTGAATGGTGAAAATGATAGAAAAGATAAATAAATTCTTGCAAATTAATAATGTTAATAACTATAAAATGATTATTGGATAAACTTTTCGATATTTCAATATTTAATGACACTTAATATTTATTTTATTTACATTTACTTAATTTCTTCGAAACATTTTGTTAAAAATTTTAGTTGAAAACAAATATAAAAGATTTTAGCAATTTGTCATTTATAATTTATAGAAATTATGTTTAAAAATTTATTGGAAAGCAATGATAATGAAAAATTTAGAGGAAAAATAAAATTATACGCTAAAATTAAAAACTGGAAAACTGGTAGAAATTTTTTTTTATTTACAATTATAATGATTAAATTGATAATATATTTAATATAACTGTTAACTAAAATTTTTCTCGAATTTTTCAAATTTTTATCATTTGGACAATAATCGGTGATTAGACAACATTTAGTGACATTTAACATTTAACTTATAAATATTTTGCTTTAAATTGCTCAAATTTTAGTTATAAAACTTGTTTTAGTCGTTTAATTCTTTATGGAACAAAAATGAGTAAATTTGTGTCAAATTTTTAATCACTTTTTTATAAATAAATAATTATTAAATATTAATTATTTTATTGCATAATTATTTTATTATTTATTGTTGATTTATTATTATTTTATTTAGTAGTTAATTCTGTTCTTATTACATCTTCTCGACTATATAAAAAAATATTCTCAAATTTTCAACAGTTGGCAAAGATTTAAGAAAAATTTTTCATATAAAAATTGTTCCTAACATGCTAAAATAATATTTCAGGCTGGTTTCAGGTCGCTTTAATTAAAAAAGTTTTTTATTGATTTTGAATGAAGCATTAGTTTTTCAGGTTCGGTCTAATAAGAATGATAAGATTAATAATAATTAGCATTAATATTAATATTTAAAATTGTCGACAAGATAAGTTTTCCAGAATCAATTCATATTTTCTTACGATCAGCAATTTTATTAAAAAATACATAAAAAATTATTTTATCCACCGAAAACTTTGATTAACGCTGACGATCGACTTCGATCTTCTATTAAAATATGGAATAAAATAAATTTCGCCAAATAAGAACTAAAAATTAGAAATTTCTTATCAATTTTGACAGTTTTAGCGTTCATTTAACCGACCGTTCAGCATTTTTTCAAGTCTTTAAAATTTCGGTTATGCGAGTTGTCTTGGTCGTCCTATCTTCTTCATTACAATTTTTTTTTCATATCATTAATGACGAATTCAATAAGTTCTTCCTTTCGAAATTTATTTTTCATGCTGTAAAAAAAATTATTTTAAAAGTGAACATTAACCGAAACTCGTTACTGATCATCGTTTATTGACTTTTGTTCAAAATTCTTTAAATTTTATTGAAAAATGGTTTTCTTACCAACAGCAGATTTTTAAAAAACTTAATAATTAAGGGGAAAATATTTTTTTCAATTTTTCAATGAACGACCAAAAAAATTAATTCTTTTTAGAAACATAATAAACTAAGTTTTCTGGCTAATCGATTGAGATTCTCCAGGCCTAATTTCTAAAAGGCCTAATTTGCCTGAGACTAAATATGTGATGTGAATTTTTTGAATATAATATAAACCTTTGAATTAGACCTCTAATGTGTAGGACGTGCTGCTGAAAACGTCTTTTACGTGAAAATTATAGTTTTTGTTCGTCATTCCATTCCATACAATGTTGGCAATTATCACGGTCGCATTTTCTTAATAAATAAATTCGAGAACAACAATAATAACAACATCCGAACGTTATTTTTCATCTTCTTTTTAAACTATAACCTTTATTTATTTCTTCTTCTCGCAGTATCCCTCATTTCTGGTTTGTCTACTTACGCGAACTGGTTCGATGGGGATCTTTGCTAGAGAGTTAGTTGAAAAAAGAGTTATAGATAAATTTCCCGAACTGCAAACGGGTTTCAGCTTTAATGATAAGCATAAATTATAATGCTTGGTCCGATCATCGATGAAATATATAACTCAGCTATATTAATGAGCCAACTTGTAATTCTTTCCCTAAGAAATTCGTCTGATCTACCTTATTAAATGGCGATGACCATATTCCCATTTATAAATTGATAAGCAATGAGACTGATAATGCTGATTTTTAATTAACTTAACTTTAACAATAAATAATTAATAATTAACTTTAAAAATAAGTAATCTTTCAAGGATTAACCAAACCATAAGTGTTTTATTTAAAAAAAAAAAGAAAAAGCATGTAAGAATCTTTGGAAAATACAAGAAAAATACAGTCGGCAGTTATGATACAATATTTTTAAAATATTTATAAATGGTAATGTAAATAATTCTCAAAACTCTTGAAAATAGATATTTTGGAAAGGCTGCAATAATATCAAAATTTATTAATTATTGCGTCTAAACTGCTATATTCATCTGCAGAATTTGATAAATGCTTCACGTGATGTGCAATTCGATGTTATCACTGTTATCACATGAAATGCTTACTATCTTGCAAAATCCTGCGATCTTATGAAAACCCTAGGAATCTCATAATAAAAGTTAAATCAGCTAATAAATAAATAAGCTAAAAGCTAAATCAAAATTCTCCAATTTAAAATAAAATAATCAAAAAATATTCGAATTATAAATATATTAAAAGAATGAACTACATAAAAAATTGTAATTTATGCCACATTTTTATAGCCAAAGATTTTTTTATTTTTTCTAGATTCAATAAAAAAGAATATTCGCTAATCCATACTGAAATTTCCGCATACCTCAATCCACAGCGCCTGAATGAGGAGCAATGTTTTATACGACTATCGGATTTATCGGCCTATAAATTATATTTTCTCCAGCATAACTCTAAAAATTTTTCGCTAATTTTGTTGGTAAATAGGAAGAAATCATGAAAAAAAATCTTATTGTTATAGCAATTGGACGATTAGAGAAATTCTCGTCAAATATTTAAAATTTAAAAATTTGAAAGACAAAATTTTTTCGCAATCCAAAAATTTGTTTTAATAAATTTGATAAATAACTTTAACATAAGATTCATATTTCGTTCAAAATTAACTTAACATGCGCAATTTTTTCTCGCAAAATTTAGGTGTCAATCGATGATCGCTGCGATTTTGGGTGTTAACGGTGAGAATATTAATATTTGCCAGCACCTTGTTGGCTAGTTAGTTAAGCTCTCCTTCAAATTTGGTATCCTTATTAATACACAACTTAAAATATTATTTAACTGATGAGATAATCTTCATTTATGACGAAGAAATCTGCAAAAGCGGTCGATAATCTCTTAATCTGTGGAAGGAAATGCACATGCAAACAAACAATTTTTTTTTAGTTTTATTGCTAATTTTATAAGTTCATTTTATAAATTTATGACTGCACATAATAGGGACAAATCAGTTAAGCGGTTTTGGTTCGGCTTCAACCAAGGTCAGGTCATCAGAGTCTCAGTTTTTCTCTTCTTTTGACAGTAGCAATAAATTGCCTCAGGCATTCTCTGAAAATGGAAAAAATTCCTTATAGTTATTCATTTATTATAACTTATATTAAAATATTATCACATATTATATAATAACAAACTCTACAAATATTACAAATATTACAAATTTTTAATTTCTGCAAAGTTTTTCATTTATTTTTTGTATATTTTTAATTGAAAAAGTTCGATTTAATAGGTAAAATAATTAATTATATGTCGTCAAAATACATTTAGGAATTTTTCTAAAAAAAAATTTCTGGAATAATAATTTTTTTATTTTATTATGCTTTGAATTGTATTTCAGCATTTTTATTACATATTATTGCGTATTAGATGTTGTGAAATATTTGATCCTTTCACCTAATTAAAAACGACTTGTAAACAGGATTTCAATAACCTTGAAATTTCATATAATAAAAATAGTTTTGAAAACTATTGGAAAAATCTTGGAACAGGTTCTGGAGCGCTGATTGGTAAAAACTAAAGAAAAGCAGTGAAAACTTGGTTTAAGGGTATTGCTTATAACTATTTTTTATGAGAAATTTTAAGATACCTTTCAAATATTTTTATAACTTTTATATTCGAAATTTTTCTCGTTGATGACATGACAAGCAAAAATTCTGTGGCATAAAAAGAAATTTTAGGAATTTTTAAAAAATGTCCAAAAAAAGTTGAAAAATTGTTCTTACATTTCAATTTTAGAGGATCGAAAATGCGCAATTATCAGTTTTATAATTCTCATATGAAATATTTTGGCTGTTTAAAAATGAACAAAATTGAATAAAAATTTATAAAAAAATAATCCCATGGAAATATATATATATATGTATATTCTAACTGATATATTGATAACTACTACATTGATAAATTGAATTGACTAAAATAAAATTGAATTATAACTGTTATATTCTAATTGAAAAAGGCTCGAAAAAACCAGTCTTATTATGCCATTTTCCTAAAAAGGAAATGCTTTTAGCACCAAATTTAATCTTCCGTCATACAATCATAACCAAGATAATAGAGTGCTCGAGTATCTAACTATAAATTTTTTGTTTGCCTCAGGCATTTGGCAATTCAAGGGTCAAATTTATTTCATGCATGGGAATACTTGCAAGAAAAATTATAATTAATGTAATCTTTAATTATAATTTAATATAATCTTCAATATAATTTCAAAGTTATATATCGTTAAAAGTTATATCATTAATTCTATGCAATAATGACCTTTGGATTTATTTCAAAATATTCTATTTGAATGAATTTATGTATTTTAAAATATCATTTAAATTCGTCATATTTGGGCAAATTTCATTTTTTTCTTATTATTTATATTTTGTATGTTACCGTAAGACAAATTGCTGAAATATGAAAGATTCCTTCAATTTTTTTCCTTTATAAATTTAATTATTATTAGTAAATTTAATTGTTTCAAACTTAATTGCACAAATATTGAAATGAGCAGCAAAGAGAAGAAAATATTGAAATGTACGATGAATGTTAAAAATAATCGCTAATATCCGTTTATTTGGCTTTTGCTCATATAAATCGAGCTGATCCCTGATCCTCGATTGCTGAATCTGCTGACTGCAGTGGCGAAGAGGCTAATAACTGTCGAATGCAATTAATAGTACTTAATGACTGAGAATGGTGGATTTAAAGCTTATAGATTGAGCGAAAAATAAAAAGGCCATGTCATATTATCATAAAAAAGGGCAAAAAATGAGCCATTTTTGCCGGATTCAGATTTGCGTTTCAAAACTTCGCAAATTTTGATTAGGAAATGTTGGGCTCCATTTGCCATATATTAGGGATCAAGAATGAAGTGCAGTTTTGGAATTAACTGCAAATAAAACAATTGCACATTTGTATAAACTCATGTAAGAGTGGTGATACTTCAAATTTTTCTGTCGTTTTCTATCAATGCGTCTTGCGAGTATTACTTTCTATTTTTTCAATAAATTTCAGTTCTTCGTT